AGTACTATGGCGAAGCCGAGAAGGCAGCCAGGGAAGCCATAGAACTGCAGAGGAAGACTCCGTTTGCTTGTCATGTAATGGGTGAGCTCTAGGACCACGCCCCCTGCCGGCTCTCATGTGACTGTCACATGCAGCTCATGTGATTGAGGAGACTAAGGAGGCGGGGGAGGGGGTGGAGTTTCTAACTGGTAGCCGTGGTGATTGGTCAGACACCGTATACAACAATCACCTTACCTGGCACCTTACTCTATATCACCTTGGTGGGTGTGGCTCTGTCACCTTGGTGGGTGTGGCCACATTAGTTGTTTGTGTACGGCTGTGTATCTGTGCAAATGTGAGGAAAATCCACGTGGAATTTGTGATGATTTGCCAGTGACATTAATTGTGATGTGTATGAAGAGCCACTAGTGGGAGAGGATAGTCAACTACCCTTTGCTATTGTTAGCCATCTCTCTCTGTCTTTCTCTCTGTCTGTCTCTCTGTCTATCTGCCTCCAGAACTTGGAGACACAGAGGCTGTTCTGAATGAGTATGACACAATCCTCGTCAAGTCTGTCACCCCCGACAACAGGTTGGGACTACTCGATGCCTCCTCGTTGCTATGGCGACTGAATCTCATGGGTGTGGATGTTGGTAACCGGTGGCAACGGATCACAGACTCCCTGAGAATCCATATTGGGAAGCACGGCTCTTCCTGGTGAGCAGAAGACAGTCATGAATGTCTTCTCTTAAGTGGGTGGAGAATGCATGCCAACATAGTCTGATCACTTTCATGTTTGCATGGACCTTGATATATATTAAGGCTGTCCCTGCCTTGGGTTGTGTTCATTTGTGAAATGCTTGAGCACAATTACAAATGAAGAGTAAGGAAAGTGTATTATATAAACAGTTGTACGGAGGTCAGTAAGTACATATTCCCTCCCTGAACTGAACTGCAGGTACGATGCCCATCTCATGTTCTCTCTGTGTCACGGGAGACTCTGCGAGGAGACTGCCAGACTGGCCCTCGCCAGGGAAATGGTCAAGGTGGGCAACTCTTGACAAACAAAACTGCAAAACAGAGGAGAGATATATATATATATAGGGACTGGTGTAAAATATGGTGTTCTTCCATATTCCCACTATGTGGTCTGAATTTGCCTTCTCTCTCTCCGGCAGTCAGTGGAGGAGTATGCCAAGAATGGTGGCTCCTACGACAGCTCTGTCAGCGAAATGGTCAGCCACGCCACTTGACCTTTCACCTCACTCCACCCCCACACACAGGTTGGTGTTCCATGTTGCAATGCTCTACTGGCATATGGAGAGGAGAAATATGACGAGGTAAGCATCAAGACGTAGCGTTTTACGTAAAGTCCCACTTCCATTGTCATACAAACCATATCATGTGTCGGTGTCGGGTGTCGTCTGTTGAGCCTCACGTGTGTTCCAGCGTTCTGGTGTGTCGGAACATTAGCTTCCCAAACTACACGTCGCACAATACCTTGCATCGTTATTGTGTCGTCCCAAAGGAACAACCCCTCACATAGTCCTTTATTACAAGACACAACACACGATGACATGTTGAAACTGTGTGTGTGCGTGCTACGAACCCAGGTTGTGTCTCTCCTCGTCCCGCTGCGCTATGACCTCCACCGACTGGGAGGGAGCTGGGCACAGAGACAAGTCTTCAACCTCACTATGATCCAGGCAGCTGTTAATGCCAGGGACATCCCCATGGCAATGGCTCTTGTTGCCGAGCTAAAGGTATGATTGAGTCTTTAGTAGCGAGACCACACTTTCAGCCACACCCCCACAGGCCCAGAAGCCTCAGTGCCGCTCTCTCTCCTCCCTCTTCAACTCTCTCAAGACCACCTATGATGCCAAGAATACCACACCCACTGACCACACCCCCTCTAGCCCAGCTCGGAAAAAGCCTCGCACAGAACAAGACAACTCATAGAAACATTTTTGAACGTGAAGAATTTACTTTTAGATTTTAGATTTCAAAAATATCATTCTTTTTGTTTTTATTTATAGAAAGACTATAATTTTTGCTGTTTATATAGAAAAATACAATTATTGCTGCTTGACACACAAAACTGCAGCGAACACGAGAAAATTTGGTGAAAAGGAACATGGGGAGGATTTAGAAAGAGTTTTTTGTGATGTCATGTGGTCAGGTTGCCCCAAGTCCCCCCACCTCCTCTGCCCCGTTAATCATTGACATGAGGAGGAGAGCGTCGATCCTCGCCTCCCCCTCGTGAACAAAGTGCTCCAGTCTCAGTTGCTCGGTGACCTCTGTACTGACCTCGAAGAGCGGGGTGAGGAGACACATGAGCTCCCCAAACCTCCCAGATCCCCCGACGAGTGCTTGTCGGTGTACTCCTTGAGGGAGATGTGACTCCTCTTCCGATGGGCTCGAACCACCTCTCTGTTTCTCAGACAACTGGACTCTGTGGAGGAGACAGCGAGAGAAAGGGAAGGAGAGAGGAAACATGACGTAGGATATCATATGAAAAGGCAGAGGAAGTGATGTAATTATATTACGTGAATGGCTCTCATCCGTTTTGGATTAATTACAACTGAGGTGTAGTCATGTACTTTAGCCAATTAACCCTCCTCCGCGCCACTCACCAGGGTTGAAAAGCACAATCTCCATCATCAGACTGTACTCCTTGTTATCCATGTTCACCACCTTCAGAGGCTCCACTAGCTTCTTCAGCGTCACCGAGGCAACCGCTGACACACCCGAGTTGCTGTTGGTAGGTCGAATGGCCTTCCCTGTCATACCTAGCAACAGAACCCCTGGGAGTTGGTGGGAGGAGAAAGTAGTGTGAAACTAATTAGGGTTGACACATAATAATGTGCCCTTGGGTTAATGAAGAACACAGACCAAAGGAGCATACAGTGGTTACTGTCATCGTACTGTTAAATAATGAGCCACTGTCATTTTGCACTGATGTTTACTCGCCACAAAGGCTCATTCTCTGGTCTTATATATACTTCTTCCAGTATATCTGAATGGGTGCTCCACTCTTAGTCGATGGATTGTGTCAATCCACACACTGATCTGGGTTGTTACTCTACAGCAGGAGTGGGGGACACTGATCTGGGTTGTTACTCTACAGCAGGAGTGGGGGGATTATATATACAATTACTCCTACTGACCAGCTAAACCCAATATGTAATGCCATCCTCCCACAACAAGGCCTTGTTGGGAAACACACTATATTGTAGGGTTATGACAGGCAGGAAATAGCTACACATCAACATCCTAGATAGTATATAAAGTACAGTCAGCAGTCTGGCCCCTGAGGCATTGCCTGATTTGCTGGAATCCACAGTTTTAGAGACAATTGCTGAACCCTGACCTAACCCCTAGAGAAAATGGTCCATGAATATATTTAACCCCTCCGCCACCCATGTCCACATGACAGTCTGATCGCCCACACCTGACTGTCTGCAGTACATACCTATACACACCAACAACACACCAGCTGAATAATACCCCACACTAGATATACACAAAGACATAGCTATCCCGCCCACTTGGAAGTTAAGATCCCATTCATTAGGCACCAGTAATGCCTGTCTGATGACCTCATTGCCTCGTTACCTCCTCTCTCTCTACACCTGCACACTGGCAGACGTGTGATATTGAGACTTGGATAACCAGCTAGAGTGTGTGGTCAGACGCAGCTGCTAGTGTACTAGCATACTCCCAGGTGCAATCTCTGTACAATGGAGCTGCTCCAAACCAACCAACCAAGACCAAAGAATCTTGAAGTGAAGACCACCTTACAGAGCACAGTGTGCAGAATAATGCCAATGTATGAGGTTGTTTACGATGAGCCCAGGTTTAAAATTAAAGACACAAGCAGGCTAATCGGTTACAGTGGAAAGGCATTTCTGAACTTTAGGCAACAGAAAGAAGCACTCTTTTATTAGGGAGTAGAGCTTTGAGTCTGCAGAAGCAGTTGTTCAGTGTTTTTCTTGGATTTAACTGAACCCTCGTCTCCAACTAGAATATGAAACAGTCCTATAGGACCTGGAGTCTGCCCAAATAAAGCTCCTATATATTATACATGTTAGCAGTTGTACAGAACCAGAGGCATTGAATATGGTGTAGCTGTCTGGAGGAGATAGACTCTCCCAGCAGGGCCCTAGGTGTCTGACTCTACAACTAACACCTCATGAATTAAGCCACCCTCAGCAGGCAAAAAATGCAATTCCCTGCTAGGCTGAGAGGCCGAGTGTGCGTGAGGTTGCTATGGGACCCTGTGGAGCATAAATAAACCCTGACCTCAGAGCCAGATAAAGGCGGCTGCAGCTGATTAGCATTCCTTTGGGCAGAAACAAAGGAAAAACACTGAGGTATATACTAGCTAGGATCTTCCAATAAATGAGATCAGGCACTACTTCCTGAGGCCACTATACCTTTGACCCCACCCCCTCACTGATCATGAAACAGGAAAACACAGAGGCTGTTATGTTTATCATAGTAAACAGCCCCTCAAGTGTCCTACTGGTATGCAGTGAAAAAGGACACTCTAAATAATGAACACTTCTGTACAAAGGACAATTGGTTCTGCGCCATACTAATACATTAGTGCATAATGTTTTACCTGCCAATCCCATTCTTAATGGATGGTATAAAGCAAATTCTAGTGGTTAGTATGCGAGAAGTACTTACCATCATAGGCAATGGAGGCCCTGGCAAAGCCCAGCATGACCAGTTCAGCCACCGTCCTCCGCAGCAGGGCCTTCTGGTCGAGTGGAGAGAGGTCCTCGAAGCCGGTCACGTCTGACTTGGCCCAGCTGAACATCTTCCTGATTCTCTGTCTCAGAGAGTCCAGAACTTCGTCCACCTCAGCCTCCGGGAATGTGTCTCCATCTGCTGTTTACATGGGAAGCATACAGTGGAGGCAGGGAGGCAACTACTCTCCATAGTGGAGGATCAGACACGCAGCTGTCATCATATTATTATTCCCAGCTAGCTACATACGCACTGCAATACATTGGAGGGATTGGCAATACCATCACCTACGTGAACCTACACATGTTTCTATTTGTAGGTCTTGTTAGAGCTACGAGCCACTAGAAAAACGACTGCGCTACCATATCAATTGAAGCGTCTACTTTTTCAGATGGACTGTTTTGCACAGCAATGACGGGGAAAAACCAGCTGGAAGTCTGTAGCAGAGTTCATAGTCTACCGGAGGACTTCCACTCTGTTCTACTCCAAACCAGAGCTGGTTTTTCTTCCTCTCTACTGAACCTTGTACTCCAACCACCAACCACACAATCACCAGCGATACTAATAGTGGGAACTTACAAATTGTTTGAAAACTATATATGGACGTGGCTCTAATACTTGTATCACTTAGCAGTTTTTTGTGGGGAAACATGTTTATTGTCGCTGTTTGAATTTCTTTTACCCGTGGATGAAGTTTTGAAAGATGGTTCAGGGCTGGCTCGGGTGGAGGGCGGAGCACTAGGGGGCGGCTCTTCGATGTCACCAGTCTCAGGAGGAGGGAGGGAGGGTTGAGGCAACTCCTCGTCATGCTGGGGCTGCACCTGAGAAAGAGAGGGGCTCTCTCAAATCATTTGTCACGTCAACAAATGCAGCAGAGCCCTCTCTAAGCTGAAATGAGGACACCTCTCTGAGAAAATAGTAAGGTTACTTCACTCACATTGGAATTTGCACAATTATTTTCCTCCAAAATCTAGCAATACAGCGGAACATCTGAAAAGAAGGACACGCTTTCTAAAGGACAGCCAGTTCTGCCCATAGGAAACCTCTGAATAAAAGTGTATGTCTCTTTATTCAGATGTTTCACTGCATACATTAGTACCTGAGTGGGTCTGGGGAGTCGGGCTGTAGATGAAGGAATGGGGATGATGGAGAAGGGGGAAGGCCCCGGGGCAATCTCGTTAGTACAGGACTGGACCTGCGGCTGGAATGAAGGGAAGGACGCCATGAACGGGAGGAGGGGCTGGGCCACGGGGAGGACCCTGAATGGAACCTGCTGTGACGAGTTGAGGAAGACAGCTCCGGGGCTCTGGGAGAAGAGGAGATTGTTGTGCCGGGTGAAGGTTGGGAGAGAGAGGAGGGAGGAGTGGGGAGGGTACTGAGGAACGTGGGGGGTGGATGGAAGAGGAGGCGGGGCCAACTGTGGTCGGGGAAGGAAGAGGAGAGTGTACGGGTGTTCCGTGGGGCGTGGCATAGGGAGTGTTGGCGTGAGAATTGTAGACGGAGGGAGGGTGCGACTCTGGACTGTTGACCACACTACCGGGGTGACTGCTGTAGGGATAATGGTGGTAGTGGGCCGAGGATGTGTGCTGGAAGGAGGGAGGGGTGTAGGGAGCACTCTGGGGGAGAGGAGGGGGAGAGAGGGAGGTGTAGAGGACCGCAGAGAGTGGGGGAGAGAGGGGACGCAGCTGGCTCAGCGTGCTCTCCAATCTCATCTTCTTGCTGATTAGTGTCTGGGGGTCCTGGGGTGTTCTCTTTACTCCGCCGCCGCCAGGAGCCGGGGTTGGAGTAGAGTGGGGTACCCCGCTCTCTCCGTTTACCACGTCACCTCCTCGGGGTAACGAGGAGACAATTGACTGGTCCCCGAGACCAATCGATGACATCAGCGATGTGGGACAGGGAGAGAACCTGAGGTCAGAGTCCACATCAGTCTCACTCTCGGCTTTCACTTGTTTCGGACGAGGAGAAAACAGAGTCCCGTTTGTCGAGGTCTCTTCCTCACCCCCTCCCGCGATGGCCGACTTGGCTCTCTTCTTCCCCTTGGAAAAGTTCTTCAGGACCTTCTGGAACTTTGCCTGGTCACTTCCTGTCCCGTCGCTGTTTTCTGAGTCTCCTCCTCCCGACTGCTTCCCCTCTCTCCCTCCTTTCCTCGGGAACTTCTTCACAGCTGAAACACAAGAGGCGAAAAAGAAAAGAAACTACTTGCTTTCAACAGATATCAGCTATGGTAACACACACACACTGTGACTTGCTAGTATGACAGCGGTCTCCAAGATTGTAGTCCAAAAAAAAACTATGGAGTGTATATAGTATGTAGTGAGGTCACACTGAGTAAATCAACGTCCATTAATAATAGGCACTGTGTGTGAGGTTGCTAGGCAGCCTCCCTGGTATGCAGGGTTACAAAGGCCAGTTTATAACAAAACAGGAAACAGGCTATTGACCTCAATGACCTTATGCAACAACATTTGGGCAGCTGCCAGCAATAAAGACAACCCTCAGACAACTGGCTTGTGTTTTGTTTCCTGCCACTGTTTCCATGGCAACTGAGACCATAGAGTTTCATACAAATCAGGTTGTAACCAAACATGGGAATGAGACTGGAGTGTAGTCCCATTCCGGTTCCAGGCACGCCACACATTCTAAAAAGGTCGTTATTACAGGAAGTAGGAGGAATGACAGAGGATGTGTTGTGGTGACTCAGTAGGGCCCAATTGGATACTCAGGAGCGACATGGTTTGCATGTCGTACATTTGGACAGACATACGTAAGTGTATGATTTCTTATTCTCCAACTGGGAAGATAGCCACACCCACTTTATGAGGTACAATAGTATTCTTACTAAAAACAGAACTCAATTTCACTGTGCCAGCAACCAAGATCAAGCCATTTGTGGAGTAGCTAGGCTATATAGCAAACAGTGTCTCAAGTAAAAGTTGCCCTATTGATCTTCAGTAATATCTCCAAATTTAGCCCATACATACTGCCCCATTCCCTATATATAATGTTCAGACTGGGAGAGATAAAATGGTGACGTTAGAAGGAAAGCTGGGAGTGACATAGGGGGTACCAAGAGATGTGTCCTGGTCAGACTAATTTAAAACCCCATAATAACTTCCAACAGCAACGACTTACATTCTATTTTCATGCCAGCTCTGAGGCATTGGGTGAACCGACAGGCTTGGCACACCTGCTTCATGTTCTCGGGGAATCGACCAATCGTACACCTGCCGTCATAGCGACACTTGTAGTCTCGACTCATCTGGACGGTCCGTCTGAAGAAGCACTTGCAGGCTTCGCAGCAGATGACTCCGTAGTGCTTCCTAAACATGGTCTCCCTGCTCGAGATCTCACCGCAGACCGCACACATCGTCCCCGTGACCGTACCAGTCTTCTGACCACCCGCCTGCCGCTGTGGTGGCGAAAGACTCGCCGTGGTCGTCTCTGGTGTGCTGTAGCCCCCCTGGGGGGTGGGGACCGACTGCGGCGAACAGGTCGAAACGTAGAGGAGCCCGGGAGGAGTTTCCTCACTAACGAGAGACATAACGAGTCTCAAGGGTGCTCTAATGAAATGAAAAACAAGATTGAGAGTTTGCTGCACGTGATAAGGTTAGTGATTACGTAATCAGGTTCTCCAGAAGCTGAGCCCCTGCCAACAAAGTTCAACGCTCTCCAGATCGTCAGTGACGTCAGTCTCGTGACTCTGCAGGGCCTGGGCAGGTCTCCAACGCACAATCTCCAGCTCCGGATGCTCTAGAAAGTCTCATAGCAGACGCTTCTCCTTCGGCGAAGGGCTTGAACCCAGCGGACTTTGTGCCCAGCAAGCAAAACTGGATCGTTTAAGGGGTGTGTCCCTAGTCACGTTTTGGTGGCCGGCCGGCCGGTTTCGGCTAGCGGCGGCGGCGCGCCTTTTCATATCATGTGACGTAGACTTACGCCGTATTCTTTCCTCGTAATCTTTAGTATACGGATTCTGTGCGGTTTAGAGCAAGGTTCAGTTTTGCACGGCGTTGAAGCAGAAGGTGAACTTTTGAACTTTCTCCTCCGCTGTACCCCGGAGTTTGAGCGCTAGCTTCGAAGCTGCAGCGTGCGGATCCGCCGAGCCAACCTATCGAGGTAAGCGGGAGCCCCGTGCGGGCTCTGCTGCGGTAGGAGGGTTGAGGGCAAGCGTAATGGCGGCCCGTTCTTCGTAGGTGAAGGCTTTGTCGGCTCGGAAATGATATTTTTTCCGTCTGTCGCCGTACTGCAAGCAATCTCAGCCTCATTTTAGGCAATTTTCAGAGTTAAAAGTCGTCAAAGATGAAGAGATAAATGCCTGGAAGAAAGCAGTGTGTAATTGGGTGGGGCATACCTACTGGGTGTGGGTAATATTGGTTTATAACTATGGAGCTGTCTGTGTTTAGTAAGTTGAGCTATGCGGGAGCTAAGATTTCCCCAGAATCCAGCAGACAGACAGCTGTTTTCAGTGGCTCTGTGTGTGACGTCAGACAGGCTGGCTGGGTTTTGAGCAAATTAGCCCTCGTTTGGATTGTTGGTGGTGTTCAGATGACATACATTGGCCACCTCCCTCGCTATGAGCTAATGTTTGCTCCCTCACGGTGTGCCATTTGTTGTTTTGAGTGAAAGACCCAAAAGATTAATGCATTGTTGGAGGGTTTAGAGATAAAAGGAAGTAAAGGGCAGGAAAGTGGGCGGAGGGGGTGTGTCGTAACTGCAACAGTAGTGAGAAATGTCGCTCAGACAGTGAGCTATTTCCTCAGACAGAGGAGATTATGCGCTAAAGTAGGCAGCATGGAATTTGGTGTGTGTGGGCGCTCATGTCTGGTGTCACATTATATAATAATTGCAGGGGAATTCACGCATGGAGGGAGTAGCTCTGGTGCATTGTTTACCTGAGACTGCTGGTTTTGAGAGAGAAGGAGGAGGGTATACGAGTGTCTGGTGTTGTTACTATAGTTGAAAAGCCAGTCAGTCATTGCTATGTCTTGCCTTACTGTACCCACCAATGGTTGTATACACTCTAGCGGAGAAAGGTAACGTGGGGTATTGTGACTGGTTGTCTGTTGTGTAGGATGAATGTGGACCAGGAGGTGGAGATTCCAGTCACTACTGTGGAGACTGTCATTACTACCACTGCGGAGGATGTCCCTGTCATTGAGACCACTGTAGAGGAGGTATGTACACGTAATACAGCAACTGTTTTCTTTATGATGGGGGCTCCTGCCAATGGTGTTGTCAAATGCGCAGCGCTGGTTCAGCTTTCTGACGTATTCCTTCGATACGTGACTCACGTCGTGTGACGTCATTAGCGTCAAATTGGCGAGAGTCGATTCGTGCGCGCGCGGGGCTATAAAAGACGGAAAGTTCTCCGTTGCTGCAGTTTTGACTGAAAGTTTTTTCTTCACGACGGAAGCATCGAAAAATATCTGTACAAGTATAGAGTATGTGCTACTCAATGATCTCTTGTGTGGGCCAGAGCGCCCAGGTCCCGGCAAACCCGAACCCCTCCAGCCAGCAGCAGCCGAGCGATATTCAGATGACGGCGGACAGCACCTCGTACGCCAGCTACGGCGGCAGCCCCTCGGAGAACTCTAGCGGCTACGCCAGCGCAGGTCACGGGAGCCCCTCCAGCGAGTTTGGAGCGTTCGAGATCATGCTGGACACAGTGGAGCTCAACAGCGTAAAGTTCGAGGAGCCGCAGCTGCAGTTGTTGTCCGAGGTGTGCTCGTCGCCAGCTCAGTACCCGTGGTCGCCTCATCCTCACCCTCCGCCTCAGTACGGCTACCCGGCAGCGCCGGGGAAGGGGTCGTTCGCGAAAGAAATGGTCGATCCGATGTGCGGCGGAGCCCCCTACGGCTGCAACGCTAGCAACCCAAAATTCTTTGGGAGCGGGTCGCCCTCCCCGTACGGGCCATACGGCGCGATTGCCGGGTCTAACTTCAGCTACTGTAACTATCCCCAGACCACAGAGACGACGAACAGCCCTCTGGGACTATCTCCGCCGGCCGGGTCTAGCCAGACTCTCTGCCACGTGTGCGGAGACACCGCCTCCGGAAACCACTTCGGCGTCCTCAGCTGCGAGGCGTGCAAGAGTTTCTTCCGCCGCAGCATCCGAGCCAGCGCCCGCTATGCCTGCCGCGGGAGCCGAACCTGTGCCATAGAGAAACACACTCGGAACCGCTGCCAGTACTGCAGACTGCAGAAGTGCATGGACACAGGAATGAGGAAGGAAGGTGCGTACCTACACATAGGAAGAGGGGTCATGGTTCTGTTGTATATGTAGGGACTCCTGAATGAGCCGTTCAATTGGGAGACTCCTTTAATCAATTGCTGTTTCCTTTTTTCTCACACAGCTGTACAGGAAGAGCGCACGCCTCAGGGCGCCAAGCTGCAGAGAGCCACGACGCCCCAACCCCTCGGATTCTCCAATACACTCAACCTCATGCCCCCCAGCATCCCTTACTTCCCTCCAAACTTTGACACGCCCACCAGCCCCATCCCTCGAGTCCTCTCCCAGGCCAGCCGAATGTACGGATCCCTCCCGAATCTCAAGATAGAGTTTGATCGCCAGCAGTCCAGTAATCCCATGGGCAGCGGTCCGGGAATGATGCTAGGCCGACCTTTCACCCCTCCCGGCGAGACGGGCAACAGTCAACTGAGTGTCTCGGTCCTGGTGAATGCGGACATGCAGAGCGAAGGTCCTCCGGAGGAGATCCTCATGTCAAACACCAGTCTCAAGTTGGAAGATCTCTTTGAAGGATTCCGCTCTTCGCTACTCAAAGTCATTGAGTGGGCAAAAAGGATCCCGGCTTTCGTCAACCTGAGCCTGGACGACCAGGTGAAGCTGCTCAAGGCCAGCTGGTGCGAACACTGCACCCTCAAACTCGCCTCACGCAACGGGCCCAAGTCCGACACCATTCTCCTGAGCCATGGGCTCTCGGTGAAACGTGACGCAGTGGAAGATCCGGAGGTACGCCGGGTCCTGCACCGAGTCTTCAACGAAGTCGCCTACTGGCTCGACTACCTCAACGTGGACCGCGTGGAGATAGCCTGTCTTCGAGGAATCATGCTGTTTAATCCTGGTAAGTTCTCAGCCTAAACCTCTCTCTCCTTCTTACATCACCTTAATCTCGTCTCCTATATCTGTATAGTGTGCAGTTGGTTTACTCTCTGTCTCTATGTTCTTCCCTACAGACGCCAAAGGACTCAGCCCTGCCTCCAGAAAGAAGGTCGAAATCTACCAGGAGCAGATCCTGCAGAGCCTTGAGACACGCACCAAGAGCATCTACCCAGTCTCTCCTCAGAGGTTCTCCAAACTCCTCCTGCGCCTCGCCCCTCTCAAAGCCATCGCTCTCGAGGTGATGCAGCACATGGAGGTCCAGCGAGCCCTCGGGAACACCAAGATGGACAATTTGTTTGGTGAACTCCTAGATTTCGAGTGAAAGTGTCTCCCTCTTGACCGTATGCATCACCTTATTTCATCAGACACACAAACACTGCATCCCTATCTGTCACCGCTGTTGTGTATCGTATGTAGAGTCTGGAATCTGTCTCGTGTGTAACCGTATGGGTTTTGTTGTCTAAAGCACTTTAATATTTATTTGTAAACCCCTTTTCTGTCTCTTCCTTCTGTGTAATTTGGAATTTGTACCACTGTGAATTGCTATCATTTCTCTATGGATCTAAACACCTGCTATTGTGGCTGCAGATATCATAAGTATACTAAAATTCTCAGTTTAAAACAAATTTTACGGGGTGGTAATCATTGGCTCCGTTCCAGAAAGCTCGGGAATGCATCTGGTGTGATCGAGTTTCAACTCTGACCTCATTATAGTAATGGAGAATAATTCATTTTTTGGAACAGATACGTAGAATCGTACTATGACGTCATAAGCGCGTGTGTTCCAGCTGCTTCCAATGAATTCATTTAGCAGCTGGCATTGCAAACACACACACAAATCAAAGGCAAGGGAACCCCAGGAGCTAAAACCAGGTGAGAGATGGCATCTCTGGGAGAGCACAGGATTCTGATGGAGGAAGAGCAGATGGAGAGGATGGCCACCTCAGCCACTGTCTCTCTCTCCTCTCTCAACCTTCAGGTCTGGCTAAATTATAGGTTGACTGGACTGTATACCACACATACTCTTTGGCCTCAGTGAGTATGTTTGGGAATATTCCAGAGTGTGTTTCTAGCCTACTGACAACACAAAGGGACACGTCTGCCCTTTGAACCAGCCTTGTTTGCAATGACAAACTGCTGAATATGGGCATTTGTACACACGCACACAGGAAGCTGGCTCTCTGGCAAGCAGTGTGCAGGCTGTGGAAATAGAGACTCCATACGGCCCTCTCCACGTCACAGTGCAGGTATGCAAAGTGATACTGGGACTCCACAGCTGTTTCGGTTTGCTCTTCTGCACATGTGGACTAACTATTATAACTCCCTGGCATGTGGAGTCCATTGTGAGCTCACACTGTGTTTACCGACTGTCGCTAGTCCACCATCACATTACCCAGATCATTAAAAACACGAGAGAATGAAATTCTAATACTATATAGTACTGAGTGTCTTGATATACAGGAGGCTGATATAATATAATGGCCGCCCTCCTCTCCTCCACATGCTGTGACATTCTTGATCATGTAGTTGTCATTTTCGCTAATCGACCCCCCCAATTAGTGCTGACCTTTCAAAACACACACACACACACACACACACACACTCACACAGGGGGACAGACACAAGCCCGGTATCGTCACGTGTCACGACTTGGGATTCAACCGTAAGATGCACCATGCCACCATCGTCATTGGGAATCTATACGTTGTTGATATTCAATATCATAATGACCCCCTCTGATGAGACTGTTGTTCTTGGATGTCTGTTTGTGCGCAGACTGTTCAAATTTCATGTCGTTCCTGGCCCAGCCTGTCATGGCGAGCCTCTCGGAGTCCTTTTGTTGGTACCACATTGATATCCCTGGCCAGGTGAGTCCAGCTGCCAGGCCAGGACCCTGCTAACATAGTTTGCTCTCATGGCAGGAACCTGACGCAGATCAGCTTCCTGATGAGTGAGTTGTGGCAATGTCTGACTGATGAACCGTATCCCCCCCCTCACTCACACACACACTCTCTCTCCCCCCTCACACACACACACTGGCAGCTATACGTTCCCGACAATGACGCAGATCTCGGAACAAGTTGAATACATGGCCGATCACTTCCAGTCTGCAGCCTAACATTCTCTATTGTTTTTAGTTTTGTTGTGTGTGTTCTTGTATAGGCTGGCATCTCTCATTGGTTTTGGAGTGGGCTGCGGTGCAGACGTACTGGCAAGATATGCGGTGAGTGGTCTGGCACCTTCTCCAGACGCTGCAGCCAGTCGTGTGCCTGTGTGTGTGTGTTGGTATTAAGATGCTGTGTCCAAGTCGTGTGCGAGGGCTGATTCTAGTAAACCCCAGTCTCCAGGGTCCAGACTGGATCTCTTCCACCTGGCTCTTCAGCAAGGTATATTCATACATACCCCTCTGCAGCAGCTGCCCCTCAATTTGAGCTCATTGCCTACATTCCTTCAGTCTTCCATTGGCATTCTCCTTTCCCTCCGCCTAGTTTGAGCATCTCTCTCCCTCGCAGCTGGCGGTGTGGCTGATGAAGGGGAGACAGATGGAGGACGGAGTTCACCCACTGGCTCTCTCCTCTCTCCTCAACCACAGCCTTGGACCTGTGAGCCATTATCTCCCTCCTCTAGCCTCTCTCTTGTTTTCCTTCACATCCCCAATCTATTGTCTCAGTGGCCATTTATTACTCTGTTGCTACGTACAGGTGTTGTGTAACCCATGTCCTGCCTGTTGGGCCTCTTGGCTCTCTCTCTCTCTCTCTCTCTCTCTCTCTCTCTCAATCATTCCAGGGAGCTAGTGGAGAGGCAGCGAGAATCTTTAGAGACTCAGTCTCGTGTCAGGATCCACACAATCTCTCCCTCCTCCTCCACTCCTTCCTCAGGTATATATAGTACATACAGTCAGTGGGTGGAACCTCTGAATACTGGACACACTGAGACAGTGACCATTATACAGAGGTGTCCTTTATGAAGGTTAATAACAGACTAAAGTAGTGTCCTCATTACTCACCAAGTATTTGCCATTCAGTTTCAGAGTGTCCATTATAAAGAAGTTCTACACTAGACACTGACAGAAACTGTGTGTGTGGTAATTGACTCTCTCTCTCTCTCTCTCTCTCTCTCTCTCCCACACACACACACACACATATTCCAGTCGCTCCACAATAGCCACAGAGTTCGCCCTAGCTGCCAGGTAGGCTGACATCATTTCACCACCCATCGCAGAGTAATAATAGCAGGAGCCATAATAATCGCTGTGGTGCCCTTTTTGGTCATGGACACCGCTGGCTGGCAAATCGCCACCTCATCAACTTCTGCATAAGTCCCTATATACTCTGCACTCTGTACTCTGTACTCTGATAAGTGTATGCAGTCTCAGTGAGTTGTTGTTTGACCTCCTTTCCCTCAGATGTGACTGTCTGTTGGTGGTCAGTGGGAACTTCCAGGGCAAGACAGAGCTGGTATGCAGCAGCTCCCATTCATTAGTCTAACGAGGGGGAAGTGGGGGCTGATGAGGGGCTTTGGCTACAGCGTCTGGCTTCCTGATTGGTGGTGAACCCTTATCCTGTGGCTTTCCTCTCAGCTTTGATCTCATCTCATTAAAGAGCAGCTCCTGGGATATTCCATTCAGTGTTGGGAAATTGAGGGGATATTGAATGTATGTCAGTTGAAGCTTCAGCTGAATTATACAATCACAGGTGAACCTGGTGTCTCATATGGAGGTCAACAGAGCCACTCTACTGGAGGTATGATACTAATTAACAGTGAAACCTCGAGTTAAGGGACATTTGAAAATTTCCTTCGTTTAGAGGCCTCCCTTATTCAGAGTATGGAGCAAAAATGCAAGCAGCCTTCATTTATTGAGAGATGTCCTCCTTCATTTCTAGTGGCCATTCTGCAGTGAATTTGATAAACATTTTGCAGAGAAAACGTTGTGCAAATGCACATTTGCTTTCTCCATTTGGAGTATTATGTCTGGTATATATACTACTGCCCACCTAAGACAAGTCAGTGACACCACCACTCTCACTGCTCCAGGCAGTGTCTGAGGTAATTAATTGATAATTAGGGGGCCAAGGAGTCCAGGAGGGGAGTAATTGGTTAGTCTAGACCTCCCTCCCCAAACAAGGCCTGGGTACACCACCTCCTCCTGTGTTAGGAGACTGCAATAACACTGCCTAGTTGGTATCTATGCAACCAAGGACTGTGTGTAGTGCTTGCTGTGTGACCTCATCCTAAACTGAGACTAACAGACTAGACACAACTGGTGTGCATATCCACGTATTACTCAATTGGTCAACTGCTTACACAACGCCACTGCCATTTGCATACACAGACGTGAGTCTCAACACAGTGGGTTCAAAGGGCAGACATAGCTGGCTGTCCTCAGTCAAAACTGTTTGCTTTCAGTCGGAGGAGATGACAGGGAAGTGAAGGAAACACGACTCACTGGTCCATAATTCCACTCCCCACAGGTGCCCTCCACCAGTGGACTGGTACTGCTGGAGGAGCCTGGGAAAGTGGCCACTGCTCTCTGCTACTTCCTCCAGGGGCTGGGCCTCATCCCTACTCACTCTTCCCCTCTCCTCCACCCCTCCCCACCGGTCCTCTCCCTCCAGACTCCTCCATTGCCCCTCCAATCTGCTGCCTGATTAACCCCCACCACTGTGCAGCTGGGAACACTCCCATAGAGAGCCTGTGTATATCCTCTCTGTAGCTCTTCATATGTCATACCTCACCCTCCATATAAGGCCTCAGCTAGCTACCCACTGGGACATTATGCAAATATGAACCCCTATATCTGACTGAATGTTTACTCTGAAACGATGTGTATCATGTCTACATGAATAAAACAACAGAAACACAAATATTGCAGACAAAAAAGTTGCGTCATGTCCACTGGTGATCTCCCTCTCTCTCTCCGCCCTCGTCGGCACTCTCGCTGTCCCTCATGGCCCCCATGGCCCTCCACGGCAGAGCTGAACTGGGCAACAGAGCTACTGCCTCCTGTGTGGGAGATCAGTATGTGGGTGGCAGACATGAAATACACAATGATAAAATGAGTATACCATATTGTACACATGGGACCTTTAGAATCGGGGACGGTGGGTTGAAAAAATCCATGGCATGTGAACAATGCATAATGAGAACTGTGTGACCTCTGAGCAATGTCGCCATTCCAAATCTAAGGTAGTGCCCCATTTCCAGCAATCATACTTCATGTGTGACCCTATCTTATGTGGCATGAAATGTAGTTAGACCCTTACTGGGTTTGCAGTATGTCGTTTTCACATACCAAACAATCTAAAACTAATTTAGCACCAACGGGGTTAATTGCGAGGCAGCTGACCTTCAGACCCAGGACAGAGAGGGTGTGGTCAGGGTGTCTGAGCAGAAGGCCCAGATCACTCAGTTTGCTGAGAGAATCTTCCACGTCAAATCTGAACCCCGTCAGCTGGTACTGCCCCTCCAACCAGCCCTCGATACGCAGTCTCAACTCATCTGCCGTGTCGCGAGAGGGAGGGAGTGCTGTGTGAGCTGTCCCGGGGATACCCCTGCGATTACGAGGCGATAACAGAAACACGTACGCCAGAAACGCCTCCTTGAACTCCTCGTCAACCGCTCGATCGGCTAATAAGGTGAGGACCCCGCGATTATTAGCAACGGTCTTGAAATACAGCGTGGCTGCAAGGTTGGCGAGGTACTTGTTTCTCTTGTTGCGGTATCCGACCCAGGCTCTGGCTCCAGTCAGAGCTGCCAGTCCCAGCCCCACCCAGGTCCAGTTCAGATGGTAGTTCTCCAACACTGGGAGACTCCTCATGCCCACCAGCACACTACCCGCCAACACACTGCCTCCCAGGAACCACTTGTCGTACTCTGACATCTTTATCTTCCCGTCCGGCAGCAGGTGCTCCATCTTGTCGCACGCCACGTCCTTGAACACCTTGAGGTGGAGTTTCTTCTCTGATTTGAATCTCACGGTCACAAACACTCGAGTGAAGTGGTTCAGCGACCGAGATGACTGCTGGGGTATTGGTTTGGTGTAGCGACTGAGTCGGCCGCGGAACCTCTGCAGCCAGCGATGGTCCCCCTGAGAGCGCCCCCTGGTCCAGATACGGAGTGTGTCGTAGATGTCGGGGTTCACCGAGACCCTCAGACCTCCTGTGTTGTGGTCTCGGAGAAGGTCCCTCAACTGGTCCTTTGGTACCTGAGGGAAGGGGGGTGGGGTGCCAATAATGGTAGAAACCGTTTGGGAATCGTAACAGACAAACTTATGTGTTTCGTATATACGTTTGAAAGTGGAAGCTGAAAAGGCATTATGTAATGTGTCTCTTTGTGTAGTAGATATGGAATTAGGGCACCCCCTGAATTATCATAATCTCTCTCTTCCTGCTAGAGAAGGTCATACATGGCATAGGAGGCCGAGAGAAGACCTCTGACCTGGAAGTAGTTGGCTTTGTCCAGCAACCTCTCCACCAGCAGGAGCAGCTGGTGCTCAGTGTCCAGGAGCTCCTTCCTGCCCAGCTGCTGCCGCGTCGTCAGTGTGTCCTTATCAGGATCCATTGCATCATACAGGTTCTGAGACGAGTAAGGTATCAAAGACAAGTAAGGCATTTCATCATATCACTGTTGCATGTTGTATCAATGCTGCTGTACATGGGACTAGGGTTTTAAGGAATCACTATATAACTGTGTGTACAAGATTCTGTGCAGGGTAAGGTATCATCAATATCACACTACTGCATGGACATGTACGGTTTGGTTCCCCCAGTTTGGTTCCCCGGCCCCCAGGCTGGGAACTGCCAGGCTGGGAATGAGGACCTCCTGACCTTGGCTTCCTGGAGAGTTGCCAGGAATCTCTGGGAGAAGTGGGAATCGAGGGCGGCGGCGAAGCTCTCCAGCTTGTCCCTCTCCTCCCAGTTGAGGAGACCTTCCTCATCCCGCAGCCGCCGCATCAGAGAGCGACGAGTGACGGGAATAAACTTCTCTCGTCTCTGCTGCTCCGCAGTAGCCACGCCCACCATTTCTTGGCTCTTCGTTTTCCGCCGACTCCATGGCAGGAGGGACGCTGTGTCAGCTCCAGCCACCAGAGAGGTTGTCGAGAAGTGTCTGATGGTGGACTGAGGCCGTAGCACGTGGCTGAAGAAACGTTCCAATCTTCTCGCTAACATTATGGTGGGCGTCAATTGGAGTAGAAGTTTAGACCCGGCCGCCCACACCCCCTACAGTATAGCGCATGCGCAATCTGCAAACGAATTTCTGCACATGATTTCAGCACCCATCATAAAGTATTAGTTCTCATACGACAATACAATTTCCAAGGTTTAGTGAACTACACCAGCCAGATCTGAATATTGGCAGTGATGATCTTCCTGGCTAGCACGAGATCAGGGAGGTCGATGGGGGAGGGAGGGTACATGTTGGCACAGTGAGCGGTGCCGTTGATAAAAACAGCATTCAGAGATGCAGCGGGAGACTCCAGAACACCCAGAGCATGCCACGGATCAATGGAGCCATTGGGGAAGACAATGTTGGTAGCGTTGCTGGGAATACCATCTCGCCCTCCGTAGTGTTTGTTAGTAGCTGCCACAGCAGTGTACACTTGGTCGGGGGTGAGGCCATACACGGCAGAACATGTCTGGAGCTGAGAGGCGAGGGTGACGAGGTCCCCAAATGGTTGGTAGGCGGAGTCAGTGGTCTGGTAGTAACCAAACTCTGTGCAGGTCTGGTAGACCCACTGTCTCGCCCCGCCGGACACAGCCGGGGAGTCCCACGAGGTGTGCCTCATGAACTCAACCTGAGCCGTGAAATTGGCGTCGACTGGTTCTCCTCCTGTCATTAGCTGATTGACTGCAGTGTATCTGGCCAGAGGGGACCCCAGACTGGTATTAGCCATGACATCACAGAGATCAGTGATGGTGATGTTGTTGGGCCGTCCCTCAAAGGCTGTATTGTCTCTGTTGTACTGGACCACGTCCATGAAGTTCCCCGCCAGAGTCTCAGCAAGGAGCACGACGTCATCTTCACTCTGGAGAGGAGGAGAGACGTGAAACATTTTCTCCACTTCTCCCCACATTGTCTTATCCCACAGCATGGCGTCCAGCTCGTATGTGGCGTTCTTTATTGCTTCCACACACTCTGCACCTAACACATGGAACGTAACGGTGAGATAACTATATATATTCCTAAAAGATACCCTAACAAAGGTGGGAATTCCCTGTGCTATATTTCCATAATTTCTCTACATCAGTTTTACCATTTGGAGGTGTAGCTAGAGAGCGAGCAACCACCTCAAGGTACAGGTAGAAATCCACTGTTGCCTGGTGAGAAAAAATTTCGCTGAGTCAGCAGACATGCAGACCCAGCCCCACCCACCTGGACTGGTCCACTGGTTGCCACGGCGCCAGCCACAGTGTCTGGGTAGTACATCCGCAGCCAGCCAGAGAGTGCCCCTGAATACGAACCGCCAAACGAGATCCAGACATTCTTATCTGTGAGTGAAAACTCGTCCACGATGTGCTGCTTGAAGGAGACAACATCTCGCAGGGCCTGTCGACTGGAGAGGTAGGCCAAATTGGAGAGAGAGGCGTCCGGTGTTGGGTGACTCTCGCCATAGTACCTGCAGATGGGAAATTAGAGGTATCAGGGAGCGAGAAACGGACACACCTGTGCTCCAAGAGGAAGACGAGTGCTCCGAATCTGGCGGCGTTCCTCATTATATCGGTGTCGGTGGCCAGCCAGGCGGGGTTGGCGGGACCTTCTCCCCCCAGCATCAGGAAGACAGGCCCGCTCTCCGGCTCCCAGAAGGTCCGGTTGGAGAAGAACCGCTGCTGCCAGGTCCGAGTGTCGGACTCGGAGAAGTGGTCCAGTTTCTGCTGGAACCACTGCGGCTTGGCGACCTCTGTCCCAGCAGGCAGCGGTGGAGCTCTTAGTCCTACCAGTTTCCTGGTGGGACGAAGAGCTGAGGCTGACAGGGACAACAACAGCACCAGCAAAACAGCACGCATCTCTTTCACTCCAGCCTTTTTTGTGCGCATGGGTAATGCGCATGCGCAGTTAGCACACAGTCTAGTGAGAAAAAATGGCAGAGATCGTGTACTGCAGCTCCGTGTCCCGCTCGGACCCTAGCGACAGGCCCGTCACCATCCTGGGCAAGAAGGCAAATCTCTCGAAACTGCACTTCAGCGACGTGGCTCCGTTCCTAGGCTCCAAGGCGTCTGCAGAGGTAAGCACACTCAACTGAACTCTAACCACGTGAGCTGCAGTAAATCCTGGAGTGTGCTCATTAGGAGTCCACTCCAGTGCTAATGAGCTGATGTAAGTCTTCTGTCTCTGCAGACGTGGAGTGCAGCAGTTGGTACTCTGAGGGAGGAAGGAGGCTCCTGCAGTCTCTGGCTGACCTCTGCCAGTGTCGCTGTTCTGCCGGCCAAGTTCTCTCGACACAACACTCCCTCCCAGGCCCACAGCCTCACCAAACTGGTGCAGTCAGAGAGGAAGAAGGGTAGACAAACCCTCATCATTGTAAGCCGTCCAGTGTGATGATAAACCAAACAGGAAACTACTCTAAACTCCTCTCGCAACAGGTGGTGTGTGAGAGAGGAGAGATGCTGGCGTCGGGGTGTGCGGTGGCGCGAGCCTTCCCCACCTACTCCAGTAAGACTCCGTCCACACCTCCCCAGACCGTGACCGTCGGGTTCATAGTGGTGGGGGGCGGGGCATCCCCCGTTACCGATGACGACATCAAGTGCCTCTCAGCCGAGTGTGAAGGTGGGTGGAGCTTCACCATAGATCTTTTTGATTCCTTTTCTCCATCTCTGTATGTAGGTATTAGGCTGGCAGCTGAGATAGTGGATGCTCCTACTAACGAGATGCACACAGACATCTTTATTGAGGTAATGCACCCTCCATCTGTCGTCAACTTTCACCAGCTGCTCTCTCTCTCTCTCTCTCTCTCTATAATATATCTCTGTACAGAAAATTCGGGAGGTAGCTGGGAAACTAGGACTGGAGCCACCTCTAGTCATACAGGGAGAGGAACTGAGGGAGAAGGGGTTCGGAGGTAAGGAGGGTGTGGTGTGACTGTCATGTGACTATCACATGATCCCCACAGGTATCTACGGAGTCGGGAAGGCAGCTGAGCACAAGCCGGCTCTGGTGGTGCTAAGCCACACCCCCTCTGGAGCGGAGGAGACCATTGCGTGGTGTGGCAAGGGCATCGTCTATGACACAGGAGGTCTCTCCATCAAGGGAAAGGTGAGAAAAATGCCTTTTTCTTATTCTTTGAAAGGCCCCTCCGAATAAGGACACCTATATATGGGATTCTATATGATGAGGTCTCTCTCTCTCTCTCTCTCCCTCGTGTTGCCCAGACCAACATGCCGGGTATGAAGAGGGACTGTGGAGGAGCAGCTGCCGTTCTGGGAGCCTTCTACACTGCCGTCAAACTAGTGAGCCTTCTTCTCCTGTCTTACTGCAAATAGAGCTCCAGCCCAGCTGTTTCGAGAGCTATGCTCTTCGTAAAACCCCTGTAGGCATGTGTACCAAAAAATTGTGAATTTCTCACATTTTGTCAGTGCGGTTCGAGTTGCGCAGGACATACAAAAAGTATTCACAAAAGAACAGACCGCCAAAGTCGAAAGTTACACCTCTTCTCTCTCCTGCAGGGGTTCTCCCAGAAGCTGCATGCGGTGTTTTGCCTGGCAGAGAACTCGGTGGGCCCGCTGGCAACGAGACCTGACGACATTCACACTCTGTTCTCGGGGAAGACGGTGGAGATCAACAACACCGACGCAGAGGGCAGACTGGTGCTGGGGGACGGGGTGGCTTATGCCAGGAAGGTCCTGCAGGCAGAGTGGGTCGTGGATCTTGCCACTCTGACCGGAGCTCAGGTTTTGCAGAGTCTGTTACCTAACTGCAGCGGTGTCTCTTTGTCCACGTTAGCATCTCTATAATTTGGAAGCGAAGCGAGCCTGCCTAGTTGTCTGAATGCAGGATTTTTCTATATAATTATCTCGTACAACCAGCACTCCACATTACACTGATTCTGGATATGCCTGGATATGCTTTGCTCGCCGAAATAATGTTGCTGGATTTTTACACAGCCAACTATAGTTATGTTCACAGGGTATTTCGACGGGCAAGTACCATGCAGCAATACTGAGCAATTGCGAGGATTGTCAGAAGGCGATATTTGACGCTGGCAGGACCTGCGGCGACCTCAACTTCCCTCTTCCGTACTGCCCGGAGCTCCACTTCAGGGAATTTGACAGTCCCGTGGCCGACATGAAGAATTCTGTGATGGTAAACCAGACCTTTACTTCTCCCTGCCTTTCTCTTTCACCTCTCTCTCTTGTCTGCAGAATCGCGCCAATGCCCAGAGCTCATGTGCCGGACTCTTCATAGGAGCTCACCTGGGGTTTGACTACGAGGGAGTTTGGATACATGTTGACATGGCAGCTCCCGTGTCCTCCGTACGTTGACTTATCTTGCCTCTTTCACCACTCCACTGTCCCTTCTCCCTCTCCTTGTCTCTCCCTCTTAAACTGCCCCTCCCTGAAGGGCGAGAGGGCGACCGGCTACGGAGTAGCTCTCCTGACAACTCTGTATGGCTCCAGGTCTGCCAACCCACTCCTCCAATCCTCTGCTCCTTCCTTCCACTGCGAGGAGAGATGTCGCCAGATGAAGGCCGCAAAGTCTGCTTCTACTGAGTAGCACCATAGATGCGGTGACTGTACAGCTAGGGCTATAATTATAGAGGTCAACCTGTGTTCATGAATTATTCATTATGTTTTGTTTTGCTCGTGCGCGTTCGTTAACCGCACGTGTATAAGGTTTCATGCGGGATGAAAAGAAGGCGTTTTACGGAAGTGCGGAGAGACCGAGCTAGACGGGGAGAGGGAAAGGCGGTGGAAAGAGTCGAGAATGACAGACGCGGTGGTACGGAGAGGCTACTTAACACTTCACCGGAACCCCAGCGGCAGAGTAAGACGGAGTAGAGGGAGAGTTCGGGTGTAGGTACAGTAATACTTAGGTGTGAAAATGTGTCCCTGACATTCTTTGTGTGTGGACTGAACTTCAATACCTCTCCACTCCCTCCCTCCCCAGTTCCCCCTGTCCTCTCTGAGCTCCAAGAGGATGTGGATGGTGCTGTGTAGGAAAGGTCCCAGTGGGCGACCGAGGATTGAGATGTATCGCAGTGAGGACAGTGTAGGTGGCCAACAGCCTGTGAGAATGATAGATCTGGAGACTGTCCGCTCCGTACAGCCAGTCGGTGAGCCTGAGAAAAGTACAGTGTTTATACGGAGGACCTGTAGTTCCCAGTGTGAATATCCACATGCTGACAGTAGTTCTGCATACTGTGCCATCAGTCACCACATGATATGGCAACATTTGCTAGTAGAATCTCAAATAGAGTTTTCCTACTATACTTTACACCACCTGTTGCCTCATTTGCACTTATTTACACCGTTGATATATACCACTGTCTCTCTCCCTCCCTGGACAGAGAGGAAGAAAAGCTTCCTGATAGAGCTGCCAGAAGAGACGATGATGCTCCAATGTACGTCCAAGGCTGACATGGAGGACTGGGTTCGAGACACAAACAGACTCAGAGGAGGCAGAGTTGACCTGGCGTCAGGACAGAACATTGGAGGCCATCTCCCTGGACACGACATCTATGAAGGTAGGGGAAACTGATTGGTTTAGAGGAAGGAAGTGAGTCTATAGAAAGAGCTGTCGGCTGCTGTTGAGGGAAATGCGTCATGGGAACCAAATATTTGATTATGGCTACCTGGAAAAGTGGGTGGGAGGTGTACAGCTGCTCTATGCACTTACAACACTGAGATTCTATTAATGTAGTCAGATCCCTTTTCAATAGATGTTCCTGACGATGAGACGTTCCGAGTTGCTCTGCGACCAACTAGTTCCATAGGGTTCGCAGGATCCTGCTATATGGAGATACAAAGGTCAGATCTCTCAGGAGTGGGTGTGGCACTGGTGGGCGTGGTCACTAGTGGGTGTGGTTTACATGCAGGGACCTAAACAGAAATCTTTTCCACATTGCGTTGACGACAAAGGACGAGCCGTCACGCCTCATCGTCAAGTGGCAGATTGACCACATTAGACAATACGGCTCCAATCACGCCGCCTTCAAATTCCAATCAGGAGGGTCAGTCCCCACTAATTATTACAGATGACTGCGTCTTTAGTTCTGCAACTGTCTCCCTCGCCTGTACAGGAAGTCTCCAACAGGTGTTGGTTGGTTTATAGTGGAGACAGAGAGCGGGGCAGCTCAGCGGATCCACAAGGCCGTCGACTACTGGGCCAAGTACATTGTGGAGCAGATCAGGAGCGTCAAAATGAATCAGAGACCTCCAATGGTCCGTGCCCTCACACACACACACACACAGATTGTGACACCTGCACACAGTGTGTGTCCCCTGTTTGTGTGGTCCGTAGGTGGTGGGTGCTTCAGACAGTTCAAAGAAACTGGTGTTTGCATTCAGTCATCGATGGGTTTACTTGTGTTTGTGCTGTACCACAACATTGAGTGGTTGAGTGAGAGTGGATGTTCTTGCGTTAGCGTCCCTTTTCACATGCTAGACACAGCATTTGACAGTTTGGAGAAGCCATGTTTGTGACTTCATGAATATTCATCTCCTCTCTCTTTCTCTCTTTCTTCAGCACCAGGCTCACTCTGTGCCAGTGGCGCAGCAATCTCCCTCCCGCCATCCTCCACCTCCCCTCTCCTCATCGATGGGTGGCTCAAGTCCGTACGCCCCTCTCTCTGTGTCCACTCTGGACCAGCCACCAGTCTACCAGAAAGTCTCCGTCACTGCGACACCAGGCCGCCACTCAGCCACTGCTGCCGCCAGACACACTCCCACTACTGCTGACAATGGCTCTGCTGGGGTCTACCAACCTCTCGGAGTGAAAGACGCTCCATCAGCATATGCTGTGAGTCACAGAGTTTTAGTGTAGTCTCCTGTGCAGACTTTAATATAAACAGTTTGAATGTAGGCTTAGATATTCATGGTAAGTACAATAGCAGTGTGTATAATCATAGAATGACATTCATATTCTCTATTCCCAGTCGGTAAACGTGAGCCATCAAGGTCAGGGGGGCGGGGCCGTAGCACGAGGAAGCCCCACCCCTCCAATGAGGGAAGCCACATACATGGGTCTGCGTGCCGACACTCGCCAGCCAGACAATCGCGAGACCTACGCTGTCCCAGAGCGCAATTGATAGACCAACCACCACAGACTGACTGATGAATATCTGAGCAATCATTAAAACTAACTCACCAATGTCATTATAAGTATCATCATTATTATATTATTATAGTGTGTCTCATGTTCTGATTATCATTATGTGTATACGTGGTGTTTGGTCTAAGACGTTGCCATGGCAGCCGGAGTTTCAGAGGTCATTTTGTCCGCTGTCTTGATATCTCCAACAGTGATGATGCGGCGATCGGAGAACCCCTCCGTGGAGATGATGTAATAGCTGAAGCTGGCAAGGTTGATCAGAAACCTCAGCTGAATCTCCCGCACACATTTCTCCAATAAATGCACACCCTCCTCCTCGCTCATGTCCGGCCGGTGGTAGCGATCCAGAGTACCCAGTGTGAAGTAGGACCCGTAGCCGTGCGCCCCGTACGGTACGTCTGCCATTGTTCCCAGGTAGTCCAGATAGTAGAGGTGGGTCTTGGCTTCCTTGGCGTCGAACCCACCGAGCAGCAGATTGACTGCCTGCGGACTGCGGCTTCTAATGCTCTCTGCTAACTCCAGCCTCGTGAAGTTTGCCGCTGCGTGCGGGGACAACTCGTAGCCGTTACGGACACGGTAGAGAGCGACGTTTTTCTGGATGTACTCTCCGAAATAGGCCGTGTCGCCGGCCTCCCCGCACACCACCATTCCCAGTCTGTCATCCAGCCGCACCAGCTTGTCCTGGTCCTGCTTCATCATCAAGACACTCCGCCCCGCCGAGTTGTCGTGGGCCAAGATGACAAACGAGTCGAACTTCATCCCAATGAGACATTCCATTCCGCCAGCCATCTTGCTTCTCTCTCCTCTTTCGGGATGCAAAACGTGGACTTGTTCCCTGCTGAGTTGTAGTGTGTATTCCAATTAGAGCGCACGTTCTCGCATGCGCACGCTAAAGTTCACAGTTCAACATCCTCGAAGTTTACTCGCGAGGGACCGCGAAAACAAACTTACTCACATGATGACCATAATGAAACACTAAGTAGTGACGAGGAATGTAGGTATAATACGTGATAAGCCATGTGAACGCAACACAAAGACAATTTGAAAGACACACAGCACGGCAGTCCAGTACAAGTGGCAACTCTGGGGCCACAATGATAGGTGGAGTCACTTCCGATCTGGACAGGCATAGTTTCCCCCGGTGTCTGTTTGACGAGTCTCCTGCCTCAGTCCCATGTACACAGAGTCTCCGCCCCCTGACATCGGGGAGGTGGGGTTACTCCGGCTGGCCCCGCCCCTTCCTGGCTCCTGAACGTTGACCATCTGCAGTGTCACATAGTGAAACCTCTGACAAAACTTGGGGACATCGATTGCGTTCTTTATTCTACGCCGCGTGCCTCATCGGCTTCTCGACCACATCCTCGCTCAATAATACCTGTACTATACTCCCAACGGTGCTTTAACAAGTACTTACATATATATACATGTACTGTAGTGTATATTATCATACACTAATGGTATGGGGTACAAATAGAGAGGTGTCCTTGACAGGATGGGTCCCTGTTATGAGGTTTAACTGTATTCCTCCCTACTGATGTATGTATGTACTCCACACCAACATGTCCACTCACCGCATACGCAGAGGGAGAGTCCTTATTCTGTCCGAGAGGCTGATACATTCCGCTACTGTCCCCAGTATCAGGTCTCCTCTCTCCTCCGGAGGAAGTCTTCTTCTCCAAGCTCTTCTTCTTCCCGGAGCTGGCTGGAGGAGACACGGTCTGGTACACTCCGGCCTGCTCTTGGGTGTGGATGTCGAGAGGAGCGTAGGCACTGTTGAGAGGGAAGCTGGTGTGGTCAATGGTCCCTGCGTTGGAGAAAGAGCGAGGGGGACGGTCTGGTAGAGCAGGACACGGCATGGAGGGAGCTCGCTGCAGGTGGTCGGAAAGAAATGGAAAAGACAAATCAACAAAATAGAGATGGGGTCCAGGTTCAACCAGTCAACACTGCACTCTCTCATATTATCTGTAGTTAAAGGGGCAAAGCCATATTCAGGGGCATTTCACCAAAACCTGAGGAGAGTGGTTAAAGGTAAGTAATGAACGTACCCTGACCCCAGGACGTGTGTTCTTGATCTGGTCCACGATATGCTTGGCCCAGTAGTCGACCGCCCTGTGAATACGAACAGCTGCTCCTACGTCAGTGTCCACGATAAACCAGTCCACACCAGTCGACGACTTGCTGCAGGTGAGAGAGCACACTGTCTCTACCTCTGTCAGAGGGGGTGCAGTGTGGCTAGCTGACCTTCCCGACTGGAACTTGAAGGCCAGGTTGTTGGAGCCGTACTGTCTGATGTGGTCGATCTGCCACCTCACTATCAGTCGCGGCGAGTCGCTCTCCGTGAAGAGGGCAATGTGGAACAGGTTGCGATCGAAATCCCTGCACATACACATACACAGCAGCAATTGTTTCACCACATGAGTCACGGGGTGTAACTACAAGGCAAGTATAGCACTAGCCTACAATCAGTGGACAACCAGTTTCAAAAGAGCTCATCTAGAAAGACTCCAACCCTAGTCTTTGGGGAGGTTACTGAGCTACAAAGACGGCTCAAAGCACAACAAAAGTCAAATGCAGAAAGAGAGAAAAGTAGGAAGTGGAAGAGACAGTGACAAAGGAGGTACCTCTGTATCTCAAGGAGACAGGATCCAGAGAAGTTGATAGTACTGGACTTGCGCAACCTGACTCTGAAAGTCTCGTCGTCAGGGACAACTGCAGGCATGGCAACCAGGGTTGAAAAGAGCACACAGGGGGGCAGTGGGGTTGTTGACACAAGTGGGGAAACAAAAACTTTCAACCATCTCTCACTTGGTGTGTATGCACACCGTAGGCATGCCGGCAAACAACACTAACCTCCGGTGTGCTCTAAAGACAACATTCAACAACAGAACTTTGCAACTTTCACATTAATTGAGTGTCTCCAAGCAAACGTCATAACACAAAATTTGATCTTCCCTCTACCTTCATAGATGTCGTGTCCAGGGAGATGGCCTCCAATGTTCTGTCCTGACGCCAGGTCAACTCTGCCTCCTCTGAGTCTGTTTGTGTCTCGAACCCAGTCCTCCATGTCAGCCTTGGACGTACATTGGAGCATCATCGTCTCTTCTGGCAGCTCTATCAGGAAGCTTTTCTTCCTCTCTGTCCAGGGAGGGAGAGAGACAAGTAAGACACAGCTGTAGAATTCAAGGCTCAGCCCACACATATTTGAGGATGCCCCTCATTGCTAGCTTATAAGACACGTCACTGGGCTCACCGACTGGCTGTACGGAGCGGACAGTCTCCAGGTCTATCATTCTCACAGGTTGTTGGCCAGCTACACTGTCCTCACTGCGATACATCTCAATCCTCGGTCGCCCACTGGGACCTTTCCTACACAGCACCATCCACATCCTCTTGGAGCTCAGAGTAGACAGAGGGAACTGGGGAGGGAGGGAGGATTCCAGCAGATGAAACATCTAGCTATACTACTCTATGGATGAACCTCGGACGCTCGATCAAACAGTTCACATCAGCGACGGAGCGCTCGAGCGCAAACGCTCAAAGCCGAAGGTGTAAACTGAACCTCCAACACACTCACCCTGCCTCCCGGGTTCCGGTGCAGCGTGAGGTAGCCTCGTCTCACGGCCGTGCTGTTGTCTTTGCTCGCCATCTTCCTCCTCGAATGGTCGAGAGGAAACTCCGCTTGCCTTTGCCTTCGCTGACCCGATCTCTGGCTCTGGCACGATCCCTCCCCTGGCGCGCCGTCCGCCCGCTCCTGCAACTTCAGAAAGAAATTTGATAGCTGTTTGGAACGGAGACTCTGTAGAGTCTCTAATCTGTTCTCACGGGCGGCACGTGTCTGTTCCCGCGAGTTCCGCGGGTTTTCATGGGCAAAGGGCAAAGGTCACGAAAATGATCTAAGACCGCAGAATTACAGTAATTACTACAGACAGAGTATGTCATTTGCATTTTAGAGCAGTGCTCATATCTCACGTCTGCGTCGTGCAAGGTCGGAGTCATGAGCGGACAGGCGGATATTATCAAGAAGGCGAGTCTGAAAGTGAAGGTGGTAAGGAGCAAGACTGGAGCTGCAGGCCTGCAAGGGGTACGTTATTCTCTCTGCGGGTCTGCGGGGCGGTACAGCTGACTGCTGCCGCCGTGCTGTGTAGCTAAACTAACTAGCGTGCAGGGTGACGTGTATCGGTGCGTGTCCCTGTGAGACCGGCACGGAAAAGTGCGTAGCTAGCTATGTTTCTGGTTACCGTCCATTAGCATTGGCAGTTGGCTGGGGCCAGGACCGTCTTTTCTGTATTATACACAATACCTCTCAGGATTGCTAATGGCTGCGGCTGGCTGGCATCTTGTAGCAAAATATTCCCGCCCCATGCACTTGGTACACATAGCTACATGTTGACTCGGAACTGCAGCTGAGACCCCCTACATCTAGACAATGGCCCACACCTATCTCACAATGGAGTCATGTCTACCTTCAATGATACCTCTATTGATATTACAAGATACAAGATAGATAACACCCACAGTAGCTCTCTGTATATGGCAATAGCACAGGGAGCTGTGGATGTGTGCAGTGAAATCATTTCCTTGTCTTGTTGCTCCTCTCCACCTCTATTTCCCCCTTCTGTTTGTTGAATTCTGTTTGCATTTCGCACTAACTGACGAATGTCAACAGCAGCTATGCCCTTTGTAAATCCTCTCTCTCCTTTTCCTACTTCTCTCTCTCTCTCTTTTTTTCCCTCAGCCAAAGGTTTTCAAAGAGTTTTGGTTCGTGTTCCGAGCCCTCGTGGGCGGAGACAAGATTCTTGAGTATCATCAGAACGAGAGGAAGTTCCAGGAGTCTGCGGCCTACCCCAAGGGTGTGCTCCATTTGGGGAGTGCTCTAGCCGTCAGCTACCACAATCCGGAGAAGAAACAGCAGTTTAGCATCGAGTTGGCCGGCGGGTCTTTCATCTTTCTCGAAGCAGGGACCCAGAGCATTGCCAGGGAATGGATGACGTGTCTCAACGCTGTCCTTTTCGGCAAAGGAAACGGACGTAAGTTTCTATTCTTTCGACATTTTGTTTCTGTAAGGGCAAAGACAGCTGGGTTTCTGCAGTCGCCCACCCGGCAGCTGGGATTTGGTTTCAAGTTGTTATGTTTCTGTTGTGTACACACACACACACACACACACACACACACGCACACACCACCAGCAAATGGAGCGCTGCAGTATTTCGTGGATGTTCCAGTTGGCAGCAGACTGCAGTATGCAGGGCCTTCTCTCCTGGAGGTAAAGGACGAGGAGCTGACACTCAAGACCAACGATGGGACGGCTAATCTGGTGCGTTGGAAGCTGGCTCATCTACGCTCGTTCAAAGCCAGGAAAGACACACTCACTGTCTTCAGTGGCAGGTATGTTTTGGCCTGAGTCGAGTGGGAGCTATCAGAGGGTTTAATTTGTTATTCACATGAGAGGGATAAGGTTAATAAGAGCTCATGTGTTGATGTGTTGTTAATATAGTCTCAGCCAGTTACCGAGCAGTGGGTAGAGTTACCATACTGATGACCATGAATGGTAGCTGCGGAATATCTTGTGTGCAAACAAACTCTTACCAGTTCCCACTTCTCTTTCTCTCTCTCCTCTCTCCCTCTCTCCCTCTCTCCCTCTCTCCCTCTCTCTCCCTCCCTCAGTCGGAGTTCCACTGGGGTGGGTGAATATCTGTTCAGAACATCACAGAGTGTCCAGATAACCCACGCCATCGAGACTGTTGTCAGGAGATTGAAATATGAGGCACTGGGCTGCAACCAGCAGGTAGTGTACCTCTCTCTCACTTCTTTCTTCATGCACCTCTCTCTCAGCCCCCCACACTTCTTTCTTCATATAACTAAACGGAAAGTCATGCATGGAAGTACAGAAGGAGCAAGTAGTTTAGTGCAAGGTAGTGGCCTTGTCACACTACCAAATTAGCTGAGAACCTGTTAGTAGTCCCACAGTGCATCATCTCCCACACTTCCCCACATAGGTCCTGTTAGTGGTCCCACAGTGCCGCTTCAACCCTCGCATTCTTTAGTTCTAACAACATTTTCCACAGTGCATCATCTCCCACACTTCCCCACATAGGTCCCTCAATTCAGTCCCTAATACTCTATGCATTGTTCACCACTCTATGTTTTGACTGAGGTTAAGTCCCTCTTCGCCTTTTGAAGGCTACATTGTTAGTCAACACCTGTTCATGCGCTAAAACTGGAGGGTATTGCTCTGAATAAAGGACACCTGCCTGTATAATGGTTTACGTTATCCCAGCATGCCCATTTGTGTTTGGAGGTTCCATTGACCTTTCCCCTCTCCCTCTCGTTAGGAATTAATTCCACAGCATTCCATGTCACATTCCGTGTCTGCTCCCGGGATTGTACGAACTCGACCTTTCACCTCCGAGCGTCGGCGACCCCTCCCTCCTCCCCCTCCCCCTTCGCACCCCGCACCTTCCCCCAGTATTACTCCACCCCGTACCCCATCCCCCAGCGAGCTCTCGGTGATGTCATCAATGTCTGGAGTACCAGACCACATTCCAAGTGAGTTCGTTTCTGGCGGCGAGAAGACGCGGAACAAGAAGTACATCCCGGCATTCCGTACCCCGGAGTACTCCACTGTTGGGGACGCAGAGTCGGGGGTGGGGCCTGAGGAAGGGTATGAGAGGTTGGACCACTCCAAGGCACTGGCCAATAAGCAGCGGGATTCCTCTCCTCCACAAGTGAAAGGTTACAGTCGACTGAGTCACAAGAATGCCCCGGTACTCCCACTGAGGAACTCTTCTAGATCTCGCAGTGGGTCCCGAAGTCCCACCCCTGGCCCCGCCCACCAGAGCCATTCTCCCAGTGAGGAGTATGGGAGACTGGACCACGGGCTACCGTCTGGAGTATCCCACCCCGTCGACGATGCGGAGTATGGTAAACTGGACCATGGGGTAGCGGGGTCTTCTGGGGTACCCAACCCCATCGGTGACGATGCGGAGTATGGAAAACTGGATCATGGGTTGGGGGGTGGAGCTAGCATGCCGCCGGGGGAGGGAGAATATGGGAAACTGGACTACGGAGTAGAGGGAGGTACTCACCCCGAGGTGGATGATGGTTACTCCAAACTGAGAGTGCCGTCACCCCAAAAGAAGCCACCCCCAAAAGCTCCTCCACCCTACAAGCCTCGACTTGGATCCCCCATGGCTAACCTCATCCGCAAGTTGAACAGCGAGCAGCCTTTGTCGGAGACTCCGCCCACTAGTGACGGAGAGGTCTACTCTGAAGTGGCTCCGTCGGTGCCAAATCCTGGAGTCAGTGAGGGCTACGGACGACTCAACCATCATCGGTCTTCGCTCCTCCCTCCCTCATCCCCTCCCACCTCGCAGGGGGAGGACTCGGCATACTCCCGTCTAGGAGCCACACCCACCCTTGATCCATATGCCTCACTATCTGATGCCCATATACAAGATCTTACAGAGGCACTCCGGAATGAGGGGGAAGAGGGTGGAGACTACAATCAACTGGGTGTGGTTCCTCCGCCCGGCCACACCCCTCAGGTCGACTCCCTAGGCTACAGCAAGCCGTGGACCAGCTACACCAAGGCCCTGAACACCACCAGCAACAACAACACCCCGCAACCCTCCCTGAATGGAATCAAGACAGGGAATGGGAATGGGACTGCTGCAGTGGGCGGAGACACGGAATACGAGACTCTATATGACAAGATGGAGGATAGCGAGGCCACACCTCCTCCCCCGCCCCCTCGTCGGGGTAGCTTCAGCCGACACTCCAAATCTCCACCGACTCCACCCATTAGAGCGAGCCGCTCCCCAGCACCTCTACCTCCAAAACCTGTCAGAGACTCCACGACGTAGACACAGCAAACCCTTCAGTCTGATATTTTTACTCATTCTCTTTTCATGATGGTGTGTGTTGTTCATATCAGGGGGTTTGTTATTATATATACTGCTATATTATTATTTTTATCGTCTCAGAGTGAAAATGAAGTGTTGTTCATATCAGGGGGTGGTGTAAGGCGAATGTCGAGTGATGCCGCAAGCTGTCAGGTGTGCGGTGATCTGGGGTAGGGGGAGAGTTACTCCACTGTCGGGGTACAGTGAAGTAAGGAGGGAGTGGAGTAGGGTAGTGGGGTAAGCTGGGTCGATGTTCATAATGGCAGTCTCCACCTCCGACATATTCAAATGATCACTGCAGATGATAAAAGGTGGGGAGTCAGATGACAATACACCGGAACCAACACCAGAAACCAAAGAAGAAAGTGGTACATGGTGCACTGCCGGCGTCCTCAACCTATTCCCTGCCATGTCTAAATCCCCAACGAAGACATTTAGTACAGTATGACCAAGTGTTAGATCTGGACCTGGATGCCTGGAGGATCTGTTCCAACATTTCTCTTGTCTCGTCAGATTGCTGGTCCAGTAGCAGCAGAGCCAGTTCGCTGGGTCTCCCACTCTCCTCCTATATATTCATGTAGACACATTATTTACTGTGAGACACACGTGCACGACTTGTGTGGTGGACACTGTACCACTGTTTCATTGGCCACAATAACAGTAGCTACGAGATACGTTCAGGACTTGGGAAAATTTGAATGAAAAGCACTAAAGTGCAAACCCTCGGCACACTCTATAGAAATGTGGAACCCATACACATAGTGTGGCACCACCACAATTGATGGTCTTGACCATGCATTAAAAAGAACAGCATGTTATGCACCATTTCCATGGATTGTTTTCAATAGGTGAAAAAATGCCCAGCCCTATATATGTTTGAGGGAAAAAATATATATAAGGTTGAAAAATTGCCAACCTTTCATCTCTCTATTAATTTTCGTATTACCCGTGGATTGTTTAGTGAAAAAAAAATTTTAAACCCAAGGTTAAAAAAAAAACGGCCAGCCCTTCATCTCTCCAGACAGACGTCTACGGACGTAGTGCAATGCCGAACTATACGCTGCCCTTTGAGAAACATGGGTCAGTGGTAGATTTGTGGGTAAGGGGAGGAACCAGAGCTGTTCCCAGCCAATGCTCTGACCACCTGACATTTTAGTGCGGGATCGAGGATACGAACCCCGCACCTATGGTGTCAGTCCCCACAACTCTAACCACCTAGCCACTCTGGCTGGCCTTGAGAGGTGATGAAAAAACGTTCCATATATTATACCAACACTCCTATTACATCATTGTAAAAAAGGCGTACACACCCGGGATCGAACCAGGGACCTCACGATCAAGAGAGGGGGGTGCTTATCCATCAGACCACCACCATTACTTGATCGAATGGGAACAGAAAAAGCACTGAAGTGCAAACCCTCGGCGAATTGCGCTTGCGCGATACCGCTAATTGATGGGCTGGGCCGTAGTATATAGTATGCGTTTACTCGTGGTCTCCCGCTTGTAGCACACGGAGAGTCTGACACGGGCTAGCTAGATAGCATGGGGGAGTCGATACACGCCCTTCGTTGTGACTTCTTGTGCCTCCAAGGTACGCAGATCAAGCACATCTTGTCGAGGTAAGCCCGTGCTAATTTGCATATTGGCTTGTTCACTTGCTTTTCACGCCATAACTTTTGAACGCAGTGTTTTTACGAAAATCGCCAGTTTGCGCTGAGCCCGTTGGTGTAGGGTTTTGGCGATCTTGATGCGTCTAGTGGCAGAAAACGTGAACGGACACACAGACACACACACAGTACAGACACAGTACAGACACACAAACCAAGTGCCGTAACCCCCGCTGCGCATGCGCGCCGAGGGTTAATGAGGACGAACTAACTGTGACGAATAGGGGTCACTTTTTGAGGGTTGGCTCTTTGAAGGGAGCTGCTCTTATCCACTGCTCCATTTACAAACAACACAGTGATCTAAACAGACTCACAGGACTCAGCGTTTTGACCAGACTGATCCTCTCTCCACCGGTGACACACGAGACCAGCCTCGCACACATGACTGGTGATTTGCCAGGAAACGTCTCTCTCACTGCTTCACTCACAGACTCCCTGCTCAGATACCCCTGTAGGTGGTTAAATTAACAGTGATGTCATCATTACAGTGAAACATCTGAAAAAGGACCCTCCGAGTATAATACACCTCTCTATAAAGGACACTGTGGTTCTGCCCCACACTATGAATAAAGGACACTTTCATCCCAAAGGTGCTCCTTATTCAGAGGTTCCACTGTACCTCACTGTCCTGTCGCTGTGAGCAGGCCTCCACGAGACTGGCTTGGGCTGTCATCCACTGGTACACCACCTCCAGTCTGGCCTCTCCTGCCAACACCCGACAGAACAGAGCAATGTGAGGCTCGTGCCTCATTCGAGATGCTGCATCCTGGAGGAATCAGGTGACAGTCACATGACTTTAGTCCAAGATCACATGACACGGCTAACCTGAAGATTGTAGGCATCTTCGACGGCTCTCTGCTCGTTTCCAGAGTGGAGTGAGAGGAGATAGTCCCACAGACAATCCTCCACCTGGACACAGAGATATGGACTCACTCTGCAGTGTCAGACACCTCTGATAAAGGACCCTCTATAGAGGACACTGTGGTTCTTCTCCAGACTAATAGATTGAGTGTGGGACACCTCTGAATATAGCACATGTGTGTGTCCCTAATTCAGATGTTCCACTGTAGTAAGTAGAGAGATGGAACGCACCACGGGAGACTGGAGGTCAGAGGTGAGAGCGTGTTTCCAGAATCCGGCCACGAGGGAGTTGACCTGAGACTGAGAGAACCTGTGGTTGGGGACACGCCCCTCCCAGCGGAGGTAGCGAGGAATCTCCTCCCCCAACCCCTGGAGGAGAGATCAGACACACACTCGTGTGTACATTTGTGAGGGTCTCAATAACCTCAGCCAATTTATGAGTAATACATACAACCAAGACCCTCACTAGAGCTACTTGGTGTAAACAGATGTGGAAATGATGATGAATACATTGAGACCTCTGAAAATGGGACATCTTTGGGAAAGTGATTATTTCCCCTTATTCAATGGGGCAGAACTACAGTCTCCTTTATAAAGAGATGTCATTTTCAGAGGTTTCATTATTTATTAACAAACACACACACACCTGTCCCTGGAAGCCGGAGAGGGTCGTGACCTCCTCCAGGGTCCTCCCACTCAGTCTGGCGAGGAGCAGATCCACAAGTTGGTCAGAGGACCGCCCGACCCTCACCTCCTCCCACCCCTCCACGTAGCCTTGGCAGCGAGACCACTCCGGTCTCGGGGTGGCTGTTCCTCTGAGCCGGGAGAGGGAGGTCTGCAGTCTCTCTCTGTCTCCCACCACCCCCTCGTGAACCTCCTGAAGAGTCCTGTGGCGTAGAACCCACACCCTCTCTAATAAAACTGATAATCTCAGTAGGTACAGTATATAGCTGACCTGTGTTCAGCCATCAGTGACGTGTGGTCAGTCTTGATTGTCTCCAGGTCAACATCCACTGCCTGAGGTTACAGAGTATCTATTTTTAGGATCAAAATTCTCTGGCAGTAGTGCAAGGGGTGTACCTTGTAGGCAGTCTCCATTCTCTCGAATTCCCTGCGAGGGACAACGTCGCTGTAGTCGGCCATCATGGCCGTGATCCTCTGATTGGCCAGTCGCAGATCCTCTCTGGCTCGACTGGTGTGAGGGAGACAGCGGAAGGGAGGGTGGAAGAAGGCAGAGTTTGGTTCACAATACGACGCTAGACTGGTTTCGTTTTGTCACCGACGTTCGTCAATATACTGCACTGTTCACATTATACAACGGTGGCCGACGAAACCAAATGAAAGTCTAGCGTCGTATTGTGAACCAGGCTTGAGAGTGAGGTGAGAGGTGCCATTAGCTCACGCTAGCTTTAGTTTCAGGACAGTGGGGTCTTCTCTCTCATCTGCCTTCCCTGCCACCTCCGAGCCTTCCCGTTCTCCCTCTGTCTGCTGCAGCTTCAGGTCGTTGTAGTCAGCCGTCAGTAGTTTCCTGTGGATCACATCACATATATACTGGTGTGTGGATTAGAGGAGTTCCACTGTAAATGTATACCTGGCGTCAGCCTCATCGCGGTACTGCTGGTATAGTCTCCCCACCTCCTCCTGCAGCTAAACAGACAGACAGACGACAGACAGACAGACAGACAGAGAGCATGACGTGAGAGAATGATGCAGCACATTCCAGTGTGTTACCCTCTCAACTTGTCTCTGGTGGTCCTTCTCCTTACACCTGCAGGCACGTCATGTGTACATGTACATGTAGAATGATTGCGTTGCTGGACAATTATATACACACACAAATAAGGACAACAATTTAGCAACTTGGCAATTGTGCACAAATTGGGATTACCAATATTTATCATTATTACTGTTTGTGCACTTGTAGAGTAGTTGTTTTCGGGAGAAATTGACTCAAATGTTCTATTCAGACGTGAGGTATATACCAAAGAGACAGACCTGAGCCATCAATGACTGACAGAAGTCTCTTATTCTCTCTCTCCACCTCAGACTCAGCTGCAGGGACAGACGGCTGAGTGACCAACAGCACACACCAGTAAACTACCACCTCACCCCTCTTTTCCTCCTGACCGATGGCCAGCAACTGCCTCTCACACTCTTCACGTACCACCTCCATCTCTGCCTACCATCAATCGTTGGAGAGAGAGAGAGAGAGAAAAGTAAAACCTCTGAAGATACATGAGAATGTCCCTCATTCAGAGGTTTCAAGAGAGGAGAGGAGGTGTATGTATACTCACTGTAAGAGGCTCGAGAATGTTGATCTTCTCCAGCAGGTGAGATATGTAGAGTTCGTACTCCGTCTTGATGGCCGACAGAAGAGGTTTGTATGTCTTGAAGTCCTCTATCAGGTACTCAAACACCTCTCTGTGAGCCTGTCACGTGACCTAATGGTGTCATCACGTGATCAATCATGTGATACCTGTAGCCTCAGCTCATGAGGTCCAGACAAAGGACATCCAAGTAGACGGAGTTCCTTCATGAGGTAGGCTTCCAGCTGCTGCAGGAACTTTGGTTTAGGAGCAGAGAGATGAGCCAGAGCTGCAGGAGGCCTGGTCCCAGTCTTTTCAGCGGCCAGAGAGAGAGACGAGGGGGCCTGCTTCAGTGGCTGGGCTGGCCATGACTCCAGCTCCACTGTCTTGCAAGCTCTCTGCAGCAGCTCTCTGCAGGCAGTTAGATACCCACCTACCGTTCTCTCCATTCATAGTGCCTCCTACTTACTGCGTAGTCGCCGTCGACGGCAGAACACCAGTCGAATTTGCCGCCATTTTGTTTCTCGTGGTATACCGTTGTCATGGAAATGACGTATGCGCATTGCGCATGCGTAAATATTCAAACTTTGAACGCGGTTCAAACTGATTATCTGTCAGCAGCCATGGCCTCAAGCTCTCAGAACGTCGCTCCGTCTTCCAGCGCTGCATCTTCCTCCTCCAAAGCTAACGGGAGCAGTTTGTCAATGCCCAAAGACGGCCATTCCGTCACCAAGAGGCTCCAGCAAGACCTCATGAAGCTAATGGTGCAGTGTCTGACCTCTGTTCCTAACCTTACTCTTCTTTCCTCCGTGCAGATGACGAGCAACACCGGCGTGTCGGCTTTCCCAGACGGTGACAACCTGTTACACTGGATAGGGACCATATCTGGAGCGGAGGGCACTGCATATGCAGGGCTTGACTACAAACTCTCCTTCTCCTTCCCTTCTCGCTACCCGTACTCCCCTCCAGTGGTCAAGTTCACCACTCCTTGCTACCACCCCAACATCGACGACCATGGGAACATCTGTCTGGACATACTGAAGGTCTGATTGTAAGCCCTCTCTATTGCCACGTGATGTTTCTTTTTTCCTTTGCTGCAGGAGAAGTGGTCTGCTCTCTATGATGTAAGGACTATACTGCTATCCCTACAGAGCTTGCTGGGAGGTGAGCAGTAACACTCCACTCGGGAAAACTAATTCTCTCTCTCTATTCTCATTCAGAGCCTAACAATGCCAGTCCATTGAATGTGGAGGCAGCAGATCTATGGTCAGATCAACCAGGTACAATCTTATACCCTTTCTCATTTTGAGTAAAAAACCAATTCACACAGCCTTCAAGAAAATGGTGGTCAAGAAATACAAAGAGGCCACTGCTGCATTGTGACTGAACTGCCGTCTAGTCTCCCCTCTGTGTGTCTCTTAGCGTTTTGTGATTTTCATTCTGAATTGCGTCGTTTGTCGTACTCTCCACTGACTGTGTACAACACTCATTCCCTCACAATGCCTATTGTATGTAGTGGACACTATGATACAATGATCACGTGGAACAGATGCTGAAGTGAACTAGTGCTGTGGGCATGTCAGTGATGGGGCTCCACACCCCAGGGGAAGGCCAGAAAGCCTCCACTGAACTCAGAAATGTTCCATTGAATCCTCCACAGGCAAAGAGGCGCCCCCCGTGGGCAACCACACCAAAGGCACTACGTTGAGTTGTCATGGGAGCCACCTCTGACCAGGTGTCTTGCCCAGGATTGTAACAGAGGACAGTGTCCAAGTACCTCTGTCCAGAGTATCCCCCTGCCACGTACAGACAGTCTTGCAGGGAAGCCACGCCCATTACAGATCGAGGAGAGGGCAGAGGTCGAACTAGGCTCCAGCTGTCGTTGATTGGATCGTATCTCTCGACAGACACTAGTCTCTCTCGTCCGTTGTGACCGCCCACTGATAGCAGGAGTCCCCCCACTTCAGCCAGACCGTGGTACATTCTCGGAGTTGTCATGTGACACACTGCTGTCCACTTGTCTCTGGAAGGATTGTAGCATTCCACTGAGTGGGTTACTGACTTGGCAGTTTGGCCTCCGCACACGTACAGCAGCCCATAGAGAACAGCTACGGTATGATACCTGTACGGAATGATGAAATGCTATTCACGATCATTACAATTCACTAATGAATTTGCGATCTATACCTCCTGGGAGTTGCCATGGACGCCAAAGGGAACCATTTCTCAGTCTTCAGATCACAACACTGCACAGTCCCCAAGTACCCCTGCCCAGACTCACAGTATCCCCCCACCACGTACAGTCTCTGGCCCAGAACACAGCTTGCCAGCCCGTAACACGGTGCCTGCACGCTACTCATCTCCCTCCAGCTGTCCTCCCTGGCACTGTACTGCAGGATGGAGCTCATTGGAGCCACCCGACTCATCCCTCCAGCCAGCAAGATGGAGTCTTGGCCCATACTCAGTCTCCGAGGCCTCGTACGAAGACTGTATTTGAGAGCTGGTCGTTTCTCAGGGGAGTTCTGGTAGAGATATGCCTCGTCCAGGTATTCCTTGCACTGTTCTTCAGCAGTGACTAGTTCCTCTGTGGCCACCTCCGAGTCCAGGAAACGGGCAGACGTGAAGGGAAGACGAACGTGTGCCATTAGCTCTGCAAACCTATCTTTCCTGGCCTGCAGGTCGTGTCGCGTCCACTGGACCACAGCTCGATACACTGCCTCCTCGCCTGGCGCCTGCAGGTGATCCCGCGATAGCAGCTCGCACAGCGGGTCGAAATCGAGAGCCAGAAACTGACTGCAGCTAGACACGGCCGAGAACTGCTCCAAGATGAAGTCGGTCGAGGCCGAGAACAGCTCCTGGGTGTTGTGGAGTCGAGCGAACTCCCTGATCCCCAGGCAGTTGTCGTGGCTGAGCTGCGAGACGAGGAAATCTGAACAGTCGTTCAGAAGAGGTTGAATCTGGAGTCGGTCCGCGGCCTCCAGTAGACCTCCCGCAGCCTCGCAGTCCGTCAGTCGCAGGCCTCCCTGGTACATGTAGTCCACCACCAACTCCAACACGTCTCCAGCCACGTCCATGAGGCGAATGACGGTCGACGTTTTCTCTACCAGGTCGCTGAGGAACATCGCGTAGAAGAACGGACTCGCGGCGGCGAGAACGCAGCGGTGAGCGGGCACTCTAGTGCCGTCGTCCGTCTCCAGAGTCACGTCACACAGTTTCTCAGCCTGGCGCATGCTGCGGAGCCCAGCCAGGAGCTCCAGAGCCGTTCTCTCGCTACCACCGACCTCCATCTCTCTCCCGATCTTGCTGCACAGAACGTGGGAGGGGCTAGAGCCTGAGCTGTTGGAAGTTAATTAACGGGTCTTCCCCGCAGCCAAGCCACACGTGCAATGTTGAAGGCGTTCAGAAGAAGCTACAGCTCAGCGGAGGCTGCGTTGGGCAGACTGACAGATCGACAGCTGCTCCAGCAGGCCACGCGGTGAGGCACGACGTGTGAACGATAGCCGATGCAGTCTCTCTCCATGCTCAGAGTCTCCGCTTCTCCTCCCCCACGGGACTGCGCCGTGTACTGCGGGTTCGACCCCACGGCCGCCTCTCTGCATGTAGGCCATCTCCTGACGATATCGGCTCTTCTCCACTGCAGACAGAGCGGCCTGCATCCCATCGCTGTGGTCTGTAGCTAGCTGCAACCGTCTCCTCTTCACACATTGACGTCATTGTGCAGGTGGGCGGGGCTACAGGTAGAGTGGGGGACCCAAGTGGGCGTGTCACCGAGAGGGAGGAGGTGGAGAGAGACAACTTGAGAACCAATGCAGCCAGCATCATCGATTGCCTCGAGAGAATCTTTCATAATGACCAGAAAATGAGAGGGGCAGGTCCCGATATCAGGTACGTGTGTATGAAGATATGCCATAGTGTGGTGCAGGACTAACTGTCTGTAGAGTGGTGGACAACTGGAGCTGGTGGAAGGATGTTGGTGCTGTGGAGTTTGTGTCTGACATTGCGAGACCGTTCAGAGTAGCCAGCATGTTGGCAAAAGAAAGGTAGAGTTTTGTCTCATTCTCTACCTACCCTTCTTTCGGAAAGGCATTTCATTCATGTTGTCTTCTCTGCTGTGGTTGTGTGTCAGTGTGTCTCAGAGGATGAGTAGCGAGGAGGGAATGAGCTGTGCTGAGTTCCTCTATCCTCTCTTCCAGGCATTCGACTTCCTCCATCTTCATACCAAACACAACTGCTGGCTTCAGGTCTTTGTCCATCCATATAAGAGATGGAGTTGTAAGAACTTTGCATGCTAGACCTTGCCAGCTATAGGTAGAGTGTTATGTAGTGTGTTTAGATGATAAAGAGTAGTGATATGATGTGTCCTGCAGGTAGGAGGTGGAGACCAGTGGGGCAACATTACCTCTGGCTGTGAGTTTGTCAGGAAGAAGACAGGACACCTGGTCCATGGTCAGCACCAGTACATTCCAACACACATTCTTCTTTTGCTTGAAAAGAGGTTGTAGTGACAGATTTTCGAGGTATCTACATGTTTGTCTCAATCTTAACTCTGTGACAAACAATTCAACATTGGTAACTGAGAGTGTTCTCTGTGAGAACTATTCTGGAAGGTTTTGCACCTCAAAGTGATGACAGACTAGGTTTTGCCTATCTTAGTATAGTTTTACCCCCACCAGGAGTGACTGTCCCTCTGCTGACGACGTCGTCGGGAGACAAACTGGGGAAGACTGCAGGGAACGCAGTGTGGCTGACTGGCTCCAGCTACCCTCTCTACCAGTTCCTCCTCCAGACTGGGGACCACGACGTGGCAACCTGCCTCCACAGACTCACCTCCCTACCTCCAGAGGAGGTGGACGTCATTATGCAGCAACACACGGTGAGTCCCCGACGAGGGGAAGACCCTGTAATCAGAGTATCTGCAGACTGCCCCAGAGAGTTTCCTGGCCCAGAAAAGACTGGCTGAGGAGGTGACTCGACTGGTACATGGAGGTGGGTGGGGCTACGCTAAGGAATGTGGTAATTGTGTTGACTGTAGCGGAGGGACTGACACACGCGGAGACTGCGACAAAGGCTCTATTTGGAGACCACCATTCTCTGAGGTCTCTTACCAGTGAGCTCTGATTCCCTCCCTCCCGCTTTCCTGTTCCAAAACTGCAGGTGATGAGCTACTCAACCTCTTCAGTCATGTTCCAACCACACAGCTCAACTTTGACCACCTCAGCAGCGACACAACAGTCAGCGAAATTGCTGTGCAGGCGAAAGTTGTTAAATCTGAATGTAAGTCTACCGGTTTTCCTCTTCTCTCTCTCTCTCGTTCTTTTTTCCTGCGCTGTCTGTCTCCTCTCGTAATTCTTCATGCCTTGCCAAAGACGCACTACTTGTGCAAGAAAATATCTCGCTTCAGTTGCAGTTCATCAGCTGCTGTCTACTGGAGGGCTGTATGTGAATGGAGACAGAGTGGCGGAGAATGAGACATTCCTTCCCTCGCTCCACATGTTGCCTGGCAACCTGACTGTCTTCAGAGTCGGCAAAAAGACTCATCATCTCATTCAATGGACACACTAGCTGAACCTTGCGCTCCACACACAGAATATCTGCTGCTTAAGATCATCATCATGACTGACTGTAATGCTGTAACATTTGAAGCTTTGTTCTTCCCACTCCTCTATCATCTATTACTGATCAGCTCTCTAAATCACACTTCTGTATTGAATACTTACGAAGCCAATAGCATAATGTTTCTTTACAGAAATGGAGGGCATATTACAAAATCAACACACAGTCTTGATAAAACTCATATATAGTCTAATTGTCATCAGGAGGTGGTTCCCTGAGCCCCTCGCTGTGCCTCGTCTTCCCTGCCATCTCCAGAATATGCCCTGCCACCTTGTCTTTGTCCAGAATACTCTGCCCAGCTCCATCACTCTGAGGGTACACACATTATATACCAGTGGAGAATTTGGGTACACACTTTTTTTATTTGGGTACACACTTTTTCCATTTGGGTACACACTTTTTTATTTTGGGTACCCCAGTTTTAATTTGGGTACACACTTTTTTTAATTTGGGTACACACTTTTTACATTTGGGTACACACTTTATTTTTTTTGGGTACCCCAGTTTTCATTTGGGTACACACTTTTTCCATTTGGGTACACACTTTTTTAATTTGGGTACACACTTTTTTATTTGGGTACCCCAGTTTTCATTTGGGTACACACTTTTTTATTTTGGGTACCCCAGTTTTCATTTGGGTACACACTTTTTTTATTTGGGTACCCAGGTTTCATTTGGGTACACACTTTTTTATTTGGGTATACCCAAATAAAAAAGTGTGTACCCAAATTAAAAAAAGTGTGTACCCAAATGAAACCTGGGTACCCAAATTAAAAAAGTGTGTACCCAAATGAAAACTGGGTACCCAAATGAAACCTGGGTACCCAAAATAAAAAAGTGTGTACCCAAATGAAACCTGGGTACCCAAATAAAAAAAGTGTGTACCCAAATGAAACCTGGGTACCCAAAATAAAAAAGTGTGTACCCAAATGAAACCTGGGGTACCCAAAATAAAAAAGTGTGTACCCAAATGAAAACTGGGTTACCCAAAAAAAAATAAGTGTGTACCCAAATGGCAAAAGTGTGTATATACCCAAAATTTAACGGACGTTGGTATGCGTAATTTTGACACTAATCTCTCCCCCCCCCATAGTTTTCTCTGAAAACGCTCCGTTGCTAAGCTAGAGCGGGAAAAAGCCAATATGGAACGGCTTACTACGCCATGATCGATCCGCGTGCTCTGCGTACCTCGGAGGCACCAGAAGATGCAACGCAGGGCGTGTATCGCCTCTCGCGTGCTATCTAGTAGTGTAGTTAAGACTGCGCGAGCTGGCAAGAGACCGCGAATACTAAACCCAGCCCATCAATTAGTGGTACGGCGCATGCGTTTACTTACGCGCGCCCGTCGCGCGTCACAGACAGTGCGCCGAGGGTTTGCACTTCACACTGTTCCCATTCGATCAAGTAATGGTGGTGGTCTGATGGATAAGCACCCCCCCCTCTCTTGATCGTGAGGTCCCTGGTTCGATCCCGGGTGTGTACGCCTTTTTTACAATGATGTAATATATAGGAGTGTTGGGGCTGTTGGTATAATTATTATATGGAACGTTTTTTCATCACCTCTCAAGGCCAGCCCGAGTGGCTAGGTGGTTAGAGTCGTGGGGACTGACACCATAGGTGCCGGGTTCGAATCCTCGATCCCGCACTAAAATGTCAGGTGGTCCAGAGCATTGGCTGGGAACAGCTCTGGTTCCTCCCCTTACCCACATATCTACCACTGACCCACATTTCTCAAATGGCAGCGTATAGTTCGGCATTGCACTACGTCCGTAGACGTCTGTCTGGAGAGATGAAGGGCTGGCCGTTTTTTTTCCAACCTTGGGTTTTTAATTTTTTTTTGCACTAAACAATCCACGGGTAATACGAAAATTAATAGAGAGATGAAAGGTTGGCAATTTTTCAACCTTATATATTTTTTGGGCCTCAAACAGATATATATAGGGCTGGCCATTTTTTTCACAAATAATCCATGGAAATGGTGCATAACATGCTGTTCTTTTTGGTCAAGACCATCAATTGTGGTGGTGCCACACTTGTGTATGGGTTCCACATTTCTATAGAGTGTGCCGAGGGTTTGCACTTTAGTACTTTTAGTTAGTCGTGCAGCTTCGTGTATTGTATGATCTGGTTGCGATGAAAACAGCCTTTCTGCTGTGTGCAAGATGTTGCATAGTTTGGGAGACACGCATCAAGGTTCTATCAAAAAAGAGAGAATATTGGGTCATAGACCGACCTGTTCAGGTGGAGGTGGAGGAGATCCGACATGCCACACCTCCACAGTGTCCACTGAAAATTCCTCGCTAGAGGAGAGAGAAGGACTGCCGTAGGTGGTGCAGTGAGGTCGACCTTTGCTGTGTCCACTGTCGAACTCTGCACTCAGCCACAGTCCGCAGTACTCCAACTGCCCTCCCATACCCTGCACATCACAACACAAGGCATTCTTTGCTCTCCCAGTAAGCTACAGTACTGTGTACTTATCGCAATACTAAAGTCACAAGTAAATCAGATTCTGTCATAGAGAAAGAACAGTTTTGTGCATTTGGATCAAGAAAGAGAGATGGAGTCCTACCAGTCCATTGGGCATGGTCTGTGCGGTCTGCTGGAGGTACATGTAGTGGTCATTATAGCCAGTCACCGTGTACACAGCCATATTTGGGTGGAGAGAGAACAGGAAACATTCACTACTTCCTGCAGTGGGAGACGGAGAGATAATTACATTCCACCCTCCAACTATAGTCAAATTATAACGAATCATTGGTTTCTCATTTGGTTTACTGATATCCGTGCAAAAATTGCAAAACCGTTAAAACCCTTATTCGGAGGGGAGATCCATTCCACCCACCAACTATAGTCAAATTATTAGGGATGGTTAGTTTCCTACCCATACATTGAAGCTGTCTGAGACTCTGTCCGATGTTTATAAACAGTTCTGGCCTAATGACAGAGCTCACCAGTAAACTGAGGTCCAAACTGCCAGGAGACTGCGGCAAATCCTCCAAAAACATGTCCGCCATAGTCTCTAACAACCAGGAGACATGGTCCACTCCCCACCAATCCCTTGCAGAGAGTCGAGAAGCTCTTCCCGTGCTGGCTGCTCAAGAACAGTGGGTATAGCTGTCCCCTGATCTCCGCAGGGAGGAAAGAGTTAATCATCAGGAGAGCTGCGGCAGAGAGGAGAGAAGAGGAGGGGGAGGGGTCTCGCTGTGTGGCGTGGGGGATGAGGAGGGGAACTAACACCCTCTGTGTGTCTAGTTTTCCCCCTCCCTCCTCCTCGTCCACCCTCACTGGGTGGCCTACGTGGGCAGCAATTTCAGGAGGTGCATCTTCTGAAGAGGTCAGAGTTCTATTGTAGAAACAAGTCCCAAACGCCACATCCAGAATCCTCTCCACAGCCACCGACGACGCCAGCCACGACTCCACTTCTCCGACTGTGAGACTCCGCCCACCAGCCACACCCACATCACCCAGCGGCTTCGTCAGAAAGTCGACCAACGACGCCAGGCATTGTGGAGAAGAAAGAACCCAGGGTGAGGTGGGGGAGGAAGAGTCACAGAGGTTTGCCAGCAGAGCCTGAAGAGTCTCTCTCAACAGGTCCAGATGACCAGAGGTAAGAATATGGAGCCTTTGGCTGCGCTGAGTGAGAGAACCTCGCAATAACTGACTGGCGAACTGGATGAAGTTTGGGAAATCAACCCCAGCTTTGTCTCCTCCCCCTAGAGCCAGAAATATCCCTCTGGACACTCTGTCAGTGGTGGAGGGAGGGTACAGGAGCCCTGTCAGGTAGGCCTGTTGGTCAAAACTGGGCATATGTCTCAGCGTTGACTACAGCATGTATAGTAACCGACATTTAGCTGCTGCTGAGTGAGGAAGGAGGCGTCGGGTGAGCCAGCTATGTCGGTGAAAGTGGTCTCCACCGCATGTCTCTCTCGAGGAGAGAGAAGGTGTCCGTATCGCTCCAACTGTGCTTGCTTGCTGCCCCCTCCGCCCATTATCTCTGTAGCCACGCCCACGACCCCGCCCACCTGTCATTTTTCGGCGTGTGTGTGTTTGGTGTCCGTTTGGTGTCTGTTTGTTTTGAGGCGAGGGCTTCGTTGAAACCTGCAGCGCAGCAGCAGCCAGCAGCCATGCCTCGAGTGGTTCCAGACCAGAAGAACAAGTACGAGACGGACGAGTTGTTCAAGAAGCTATCACAGGATGTGGACGTGAGCTGTACCGACGTCTGCATGCGCCTAGAAATGTCGCAATATGCATGCGCCCCTGAAACAAGTGTGTGTGTGTGTGTGTGCAGGTCAAGTACACGGGGTACAGGGACAGGCCAGTGGAGGAGAGGAGGAGGAGGTTCCTGGAGGATCTGCAGGAGGGACACTCTGTCATTGTGAGCAGCTCCGTACCCACCACAAACACCAGTCTCTACTGTCTCTCTCCCCAGACCTTCATTGCCACTGGGGCGAACCTCAACCTTCAGTTCTGTGGGAGTGCCTTGCAGGATGAGAACCACCCAACTGCAGACCGTCAAAGGACACAGTTGACTTGGAGAGCGAGCCTGGGAAGGTGAGAGGTCATCTGGCAGCTCCCTGCATGCAGTGGCTCTACAATACCAGTCTCCACTAACTACAGGCCCATCTGTGCAGTCCGATAATCTTCAATGGAGTGTGTGTCAGCTGGGTGGGGTGTATGGACATGGAGACCTTGACTGGGAAAGCCAGACTAGCCTTCAACGATGAGATGGCCAAAGTCAGTGGTATATACAATCATGCACACGGCACGACTTTGTTGCATGGGACAAAATGCAAGTTCAATGTATGGGACAGTGTGTGTTCATGCTATAGACAAGTTGTATGGTCCATCATACACGTTGAAACTTGCATGAGACTTTGTGGAACAAAGTTTCGCAGTGTATTTTAGTTTATAAGCATTTAAGGAAGAAATCATTTATGAGAATCATCAACTTTGCTGAGAATTTATGCTTGCCTGCTTGCTCAAAATGATCTCCTAAAGTCAGTTTTCCATTGATGGTTTCCTGCTGTAAGATCTGTTACTGTGATGAGGTATTAATTATGGGGGCACAGTTGGAGGACGAGGTAATGAGGAAGGTGGTGAAGGAGACACAGGACAGAGTGAGATTGTTTGAAGAGAAACAGCGACGCTGGCAGGAACAGCAGCTGCCTGCTACCCAGTGACAATACCCACTCCAATTGGAGCCACCCATCATTGATCAATCATTCTCACCCTTTTTTGCTGGTTTTTCATTAAAAATTCACTTTGATTATTTCACACAACTAAAAGACAAATTGGCATTACGTAACCTAAACTAAAAATGATTAATACACACATATCCTAATGAGAGTGTCAGGAGTTCATGTACTGTTTTGGTTTAGTTCTCGTGTTGATGGACAGGTCGAGGGGGTGGGGCATTGGGTGGAGCTGTGAACGTGGTCTCCTTGGTCTGGGGTGGGGGGCGAGGGGGAGGATGAGAGGGGGCTTCTGGGAGTGTGCGGCCGGGGGTTGCCTCTTGCTTCACCTCTCGTCCAGGTCCCCACGCCAGGGTGGGTGCCTTCCACTGTTCTCCGTTCAGAGCAGCCTGCGAGGTGGAGGAGAGCGTTTGGAACAATGGCAATACAAGGAAATGCTCTTTCCATTGTCTGCAGGGAGTCCTCAAGTCTGTACACACTGCAGTACCGTAGTTTAGTGCTAGGAATAGTCTGCCATCTACTTACGAAGCACTAGCGTGTGAGGTAAGGCAGCCTTATCACAGTGGCACAAACATTAGAGACTATAGGGTAATGATTCTGTACAACAGGAATCTACCATGTAACACGGAATTCTGAAGGGAGAGCTTCAATTCTCACTGCTCGTATCCGCATGCATGAGTGCAAGTTTCAGGCACTCACCACAAAGTAGCAGACGCAGGCGATGAAGAGACACATGGCCCCCATGATGGTGGACAGGACAAAGAGAGCTGGTACCAACAACCTGTGGGGAGAGACCGACAGTTAATAGTCATCTTCAAATGGAGGAAAACAGACAGACTCACAGCATGTATATCACGAATCGGACCACATAGTTCCTGCCAATGAAATGGAGATTGTGCAGCAACGGAGCCACGTACTTCTGACCTCTGTGTGAATGAGAAGAAAAGCAGTGGATTGAGGATGAGTTCAAAAACTGGTCTTACGGTCTCTCGACATTTCTGCCTCTGTTCTTGCGAGCGCTGCGTGGATACTCCACAAGGAAGATGAAGAGTGAGATGGGTCTAGGCATGGAGTCAAGGATGACTATCAACTGAGGGTTTCAAATATGGCAGTGAGTGTGTACTGGCAGGAAGAGCGAGGGGACAGGAGTGAAAGGTTACTGGGGGCTTCCCTCATTGTGGACAGGAAGTTGGTACACACCACAACCTGTCTGGTTGACCTGTGCACAGGAACCTCCATTCAAGGGCCACCCATACACTTGAACAGTGGCTAGAGAGTGAGTATGGTAGGATACATGACCATCCATCTCGTTACAGCTCCAAAGTTGTGAGGTGCCACATTCTCTTGGTCTAGTTCAATTGTCTCCACCGTCGCCCCAACCACTCCTCCGATGAACAAAACTACCAGAAGAAAGGGAGTCATAAATACGACACGCTAAAACTACTTTTGCCGTTCTCTAGGTCAATCCAACTACTTTCAGCCTCACTAGCAGCGGCATAGAGAGCGTTCATGTTTCCCCACATCGCCCACTCCACTCTACAGCAGCAGCATCCGGGCGCACCGTCTTGGCGAATACAACAACCCCGCGCCATCTTCCACCTTCCTCTTGTTTAGTATCTCTTTCCACAAGTGAGCCCTTGTTGCTTTTATACGGAGGATGCGCGAAATTGACCCGGAAAGCACTGCGCATATTTCAAATTCAAATGTTTTCAGTCGTCCTGTCGTGCTTTCTTTCGAAGTTGTGTTGTCGCGCACGAAAGGTGCGTGTTCTCCTGGTAGCTGTCACTGCCGTCGTCTTGCTGGGTCTGGTGTGGCATATCCTCCTATGGAAGACCCTGCTTAAGTCGTCAATCAAAGTGCTGCAGTCACCATGCAGTGATGAAAACAGCTCCGCCTACTTAGAGGACCTAGTGAGCTCATTGACTCTGTATTTCTGCCCCACTACCTCTCGTACAGTGTAGGGACTACCTGAACGGAGTTGTGGGAGGTAGTCTGTGTGAACCTCTGTGTGTCAGGAAGGAGGTGGAGTTTGTGAAATGTCTGGGTCATGGGGTCAAGATGCACGTCCTGAAGGCCCAGTGGGCTGCCAACACTATCGTCTTGAAGACTGCCAAACCACCTGGAAATGAGCGTGCCACCTCACATCTCGAGCGGCCGAACAAATTCTCCCGGATAACCACCAAACAAGAATTTCTGAATGAAGTCAGTTTTGTGAGATATTTGTTGTGAGACGCTTATTACATTACTGTCCGTCCGCAGGCGAATCTGACACTGTTTATGAACTTGGCAGGAGGGAGGGTGGTGGGTAGGACGGAGGAGACAGTAGAGAGAGTGTTCTCAGAGTGTGATGTGTTGGGAGATGGCCAGCTGAGCTACTCTGAGGCAGTGGTCTGCTGGAGTCTGCTGGAGACTGATGAGTTTGTCTTCCTCTCTCTACTGAGAGGGCTCTCCGCCGTCCCTGACCTCTACGGAGCATGTGGGAACATGTATGCCTCTCAGTTTGCCACCTCTAAACCTCTCCTGGCCTACACCCTAACTGTAGCTGACAACAGGACCTGGGCACTCAGAGCTCAACTGGCAATGGCTCTCATTGACATGGTAGCTAGTCTTGAAAACACGCTATATGGAACTCTGTACTTGTGCGATGTTCAGGAGTCTAACTTTGGATTTGTTCGAAGTGGTAACTCGCAGGATCTGGTGGCTAAGACCATAGATCTGGACATATCTTGGTTTGAGAGTGGGCTGAAATCCTCCGTCGAGTTTGAGAGAAACAAGAGTTGCCAGTCGGATACTGACTGTGACTTTATCTCTTGCCACGTTCCCTGTAACACCACCACTCACACTTGTGCTGGGAGACTGTGGTCAAACAACCTACAGGTATATAGTATATATGCTCATACTTGTCAAGGTCCAAACTTTCACTTGTGATATCACGCTACTTGTATTGGTCTGAAGGTCCATGCAATATATGTTGGACAATTTGTCAGAACCTGTTGCGTGTACCGTTGACACACACACTGAAGTTGGCGAGATTTTGGTCTCAGAGTGTGTTGGCCTTCACTGCAGGTGATCTGTAGAAGACTGTTGGACCAGAGGATACCAGGAATATCCAGTCTCCTCCACAGTCCTCCAGCCAGCATAGAGACAGAACTGGGAGCTGTACTGGACCAGTGCAGTAACTACTCCTCCATTCCCCAGCCACACATCAATACCACTATCATGAACAGACTCCTCTCTCTGTTACGTGGGTCATTACCCTACAGCTATCACCATAATGTGTGAGTGTGACTGTTGGCGATCAATTCCACTGCAAAGAGGCAGAAGACAGAGTTGTGAGGACCTAGAACAGCTCTGGATGATACTGCCGACCTCCAGCAATTCGTATGCGCGTGCGCAAGAAAAATACGTTTTCTAATATCGCATGCGCTTGGGTGATCGTGATGGTTGATGATTTTTCGTGCGAGAGTTTGGCGGCTGTTGGCCTGTGTTCTCCTGGCCTTCCTTACACTCTCCCTGGTTTACAGCAGCAGCTGGCTTAGTCGTCACGACTTGCCTAACATCGTCATCCATTCTTGGCATACCGCTCCCAACTGCAGCAATGACGCCAGTGCGGCGTACTTGAAACGTCTGGTGAGCTGCAGATTGACACACCAGGCATGCAAAGCAGCAACACATTGTCCCCTCTCGTACAGTGTAGGGACTACCTGAACGGAGTTGTGGGAGGTAGTCTGTGTGAACCTCTGTGTGTCAGGAAGGAGGTGGAGTTTGTGAAATGTCTGGGTCACGGGATCAAGATGCACGTCCTGAAGGCCCAGTGGGCTGGCAACTCCATCGCCTTGAAGACAACTGAACCAGCCAGGAATTACAGTGTGGTCGCTGAACACATTGTCTGGCTTACAGACCACAATAGACTCATTTCAAAAGAGGAGTTTGTGCTGAAAGTAAGGCAGCAAACCTTTTGTTGATCTTGCAGTCTCTTATATAAACCTCCGCAGGCAAATCTGACACTGTTTATGAACTTGGCAGGAGGGAGGGTGGTGGGTAGGACGGAGGAGACAGTAGAGAGAGTGTTCTCAGAGTGTGATGTGTTGGGAGATGGCCAGCTGAGCTACTCTGAGGCAGTAGTCTGCTGGAGTCTGCTGGAGACTGATGAGTTTGTCCTCCTCTCTCTACTGAGAGGGCTCTCCGCCGTCCCTGACCTCTACGGAGCATGTGGGAACATGTATGCCTCTCAGTTTGCCACCTCTAAACCTCTGGACAGCCAGCTCTCTCTGATAGACAGTCGCTCCTGGTCACTCAGAGCTAGACTTGCAATGGCCCTCATACACATGGTAGCCAGTCTGGAGAACACACCATATGGGACTCTATACTTGTGTGACGTGAAGGGACCCAATTTCGGAGTGGTGAGGGAGCCTGGCTCTGACAGACTCACAGCAAAGACCATTGATCTGGACCTGAGTTCGTTCGACACGTCCTCCGATCTGTTTTGTGTCCACAGAGAGAGGCAGTGTCATCGCGACTCTGACTGTACGTATGTTGACTGCCGCATCTCCTGTGACAGAGGCACCTGCTCTGGACCTATCATCTCCAACAATCTTCAGGTGAGCACAAACCTCTTTCTCCCATCCATTACTAACTAAAATTGGCGACAAAGTAACCTTTCACAATTGCAAACTACGTTTTAGTATGCTACACTTGCAGCCTTAGTGTGTTTTATTTAATCAAAAAGTGTCCTATAATATAATTATTCTGACAGGTGTTGTGTGCCAACCTACTAGCACCTGGCTGGCTGCAGCTCTCCCTCCTCCACAGTCCTCCAGCCAGCATAGAGACAGAGCTGGGAGCTGTACTGGACCAGTGCAGTCACTACTCCTCCATTCCCCAGCCACACATCAATACCACTATCATGAACAGACTCCTCTCTCTGTTACAATCATCACTTCTCTCACCATCATAATAACACTTTTTTAAAGCCATACATGTGCAAACTTATGAGGCCGCAGATCCTTTGCGGAGTAAAATTTTGAAGAAATTGCTTGTCCAAGACATGGCAAAGGAGAACACAAAATCAACATCACACAATGGAGTGGTGTATAGATATGTAGTTACATCTTATGAATGTTGTGGTGGTCCTGGAACTGCTGGAGACTGTCCAACTGGCTCCACCAGGTGAAGAGGAGGTTGTCAGCAATTGCCTTGAACCATGGAGTCACCACTACCCCACTCCCCTCCCTCTCTGCCTCTCTCAACAACTCCCGCAGCTCCTCCTCTGTCACGTAGCGATGACTCTTGACCTCATTAGGGTTGGCCGACACACTCACGTCTCTCTTGACAAACAGAATGTAGTCAATTTCATGTTCTCCCCACACGTCGTCTGACTTGGCCTCATAGAGGATCCTGGTTAGGTATGTGAAGGACTCCGCAGGCACCTGGAATACAGAGACAAATTATTTCACACCCACCTCTCTCTTTCCCTTACCTGCTTTGGAGGGATGCCTAGTTCATGCTGCAACTTTCTCCGAGCAGCTCTGACCACACCCTCTGCCCCGCCCCTTTCTTCCTCCCGGAACAGTGGGTGGCTGCAGCATGTGTTTGTAAACATCTCTGGAAATGTGATCTTCTCCTTTGACCTCTGCTGCAGGAGCAGTCTGCAGTGAGATTTACACGCAAGACTAGAAATATACTCCAGACTTAGAATTGTCCTCCCTCACCTGTTGTTTGAGTCAAAGAGGAAGACACTGAAGGCTCTGTGGAGGAGACCAGAGGAGATGTTGGAGTTTAGATGACAGTCCTTCTTGGACCTAGCCCCCAGCTCTCTGTCCTCCTCGTCCACAACTATACACTGCTCCGCCAGCAGCTTCACCTGTTGTACACATGCGTATGGCCGGTACATAGGGAGTTCACATACCTGTGTGACGTCTAGATCAGAGATGTTGGGCTCTCCGTGCGTTGTGCCGTTCATCTTCCACTCGCCTTCCTGGTGTGTAGACAGCTAGAAAGAGTTTTTACCGTCTGAACGTACGATCATCGCCGTTCACGTTCGACGTTCAGCATCTTTCGATCGTCACCACGCCCCTCTTTGATCTAGGGTCAAGGTCGATTAGTCGCGCGAGGGATCGAGTGGATTCCCCTACACGTGCGCCTCTGTTCTTCGTCGTCCGCCTGACTTCTTGACAAGTGTGTAAGAATCTGTTCTAATCATGATATTGTTCTCTTTCTGAGGCATTTACTGTGGTTGTACCTATAATGTATGTCCCTCGCCTAGGCGCTCGAGATGCCCAAGCGAAATGGAGTGATACCTAACGCGCACTTCAAGAAACACTGGCAGCGGCGAGTGAGGACGTGGTTCGATCAACCTGGGAAGAAGAAGACCAGACGTCTCAAGAGACTAAAGAAGGCAGCAGCGATAGCGCCGCGCCCCGCGGCCGGCCTCCTCAGACCAGTGGTCCATTGCCCTACCTTCAGGTACAACTCCAGAGTGAGAGCAGGAAGAGGGTTTACTCTGGAGGAGCTCAAGGCAAGAACCAACTCTTTGTTTTACATCTTTGTATATAGTGTTGCTATTATGATAGGGAGCTGGTATCAGTCGTCATCTGGCCCCTCGTATTGGAATAGCCGTGGACCATCGCAGGAGGAACAGGTCGCTGGAGGGTCTGCAGGTGAATGTACAGCGACTGAAGGAGTATCGCTCCAAACTCATCCTCTTCCCTCGCAAGATGAGTCTGCCAAAGAAGGGAGACAGTGACGTGAGTTAAACTCCTCTAATCTGGACACCAAGAAGACAGACGAAAGTGTCCTTATTCCAGGGGTTAATTTGAACGCAAAAAATTGTTCTTATTGAGGGAAAAGGTGTCTTTATTAGAGAGGTGTCTTTAGAGCCACTGTCATAGTGTTGGTAATACGCCAACCATTGACACCCAAACTTTCTCGCCACAGCCTGAGGCGTGTAAGATGGCAGTGCAGCTGAGAGGACCAGTGATGCCAATCAGGCAGGTGCGACCAGTGGCGCAGGCCCGTGCTGTGACGGAGGACGAGAAGAAGTACAGCGTTTTTGAAGCAATGCGACAGGCACGAGCTGACAAGAGGTTGCTTGGGGTGAGAGAAAAGAGGGCACGGCAGAAAGCTGAGGAGGAAAAGACGAAAAAGAAATAGCTCACTAGGTTGCAGTGAACTGATTTGTCCGTCTCACTCTTGTAATTGTGTAAATATTGTTTAAAAAGGTTCTGATGGGAAAATACATAATTGCTGTGCACTTATCCGCGTTACAGTGGCTTTGGCATTTGAAAATTCTTAATGTGCCAAAACAACGTATACACTGCAGAGTGAAAATATTATGCCTTTTGATGCTGAATATTATAGGGAAAACAATCATATCTCTCTATTATATGAACTAACAATAACAATAGGGTTCTGGTGTGAAGTATATAGGCATTGAATCAAAGAGTGATATGGCAGCCTATTCTGTCAATGCTGTCTCCAGTCCCACGGAGGGGGCCCGCCATGCAGGGGGAACCTCCCTGGGCCCGAAACTGGGGGACCCGGGGATGGACAGGGTCCAAATGGTGGCGGGGGTCCAAAAGTTTGTTCTCTGGGGGGCACTGGGCCTCTGTAGCCATGAGGGGGGCCCATTGGAGGAGGCGGTGGAGGGTGGAAGTCTCGTGGGAGAGGGTGCATGTGGGGGTGGGGACCTGGGGAGTGATACGGAGGGGGCATAGAGGGAGGGGTCCGTGAACTTGAGGATGGGGGCGAGGAGGGGGAGTTGGGGGAGGGGTGGGGTGTGGGGAGGGGGCGGGAGACATGGAATGCAGACTGGCAGGTGAGGGGCTCGGCGGAGCGATGGGTCGGAACTGGACCGGCTGGAATCTGTTGTCGTGCATCGGGTGTGGTCCAGGAGGTGGGTGGAGTCTTGCTCCCGGCGGTCCATGTGGGCGTGGCATTGGCATCTGACGCGGAGGGAGGGGAGGTCCACTCTGGGGATGAGGGGGAGGACCATCGAAACTCCCAGGTCCATGCCAGTATGGAGGATGGGGTCTGTGATCCATCGGGGGACCTGCCAGAGAATGGTATATACAGTCTCACAAGTGTGGAAGAGACATTAAAAAATTCTGTGACCTGTGCACAACAAGCAACGAACCCCTCTGCTAGTCACCTGAATGCTGGATTAATTATGCAATGCCGCACTGCACCGTAATGTTCTACGTGATTCTAAATACGTGTGAAAACACATGCAAAAGATTGAACTGCTCGCTTCACTCGCCAAAAATGCGTTGCATTCCTCTAGTATATTGTCTTGACCTGGAGAGAAGTCCCCAGAATGTCCTCTCACTCCTCCCTGCATTGAACGACTGTGCCTCTCATGAGGGGGAGGCTCCCCGTAGCCTCCCTCGTAATTGAATGGTCCCCCGTGCGGTCCCCCTGGGGGGCCAGAATAGTTGTATGGAGGGTGTCCAAAGTGTTCAGGAGGACGAGGATGTTCCCGGTAGTCCCAGTAGTGGTCCTCCAGTGAACCCTGAGACAGGGGACCTCTGTAGTCAAATGGGCGTGGCCTGGACCCGGGGGTATGGTCAAAGTCATTGAGACTGGAGGTGGACCCATGGAGCGAGCCTGGCGGCATTGAGTGGGTGGAGGAACGAGACTGTGGGGAGAGAAAAAAGGTATCAAAGCAGAAGTTTTTGAGAAAGAGAGGAATTACGAGAAAGGTGGACAGAGACTCACCGTTGATCTCTCAGGAAGTCGGATGTTGTCAACACTGCGGGTCCGGAACATGACAGGACTGGATCCTCCACTGCTAGACGACGAGACAGGAGGTCTGCAGACACAACAGATGTACACACTGTAACACACAACCATTCAAACAAAGAGCACACTAACATCTTGACAACTGTCAGTGTACAAATACAACCCCACACCATCAGTAACATCACAGACGGGGTTTCAACTTAGTGAACACATGGGACGAAATTAGAGCTCTGGGCAGCACACACCCCGCGCGACGCTCAAGGCAGCACACACCCCGCACGATGCACGATGCTCTGGGGAGTGCACACCCTGCACGATGCTCTGGGGAGTGCACACCCTGCACGATGCTCTGGGGAGCGCACACCCTGCACGATGCTCTGGGCAGCGCACACCCTGCACGATGCTCTGGGCAGCGCACACCCTGCACGACGCTCTGGGGAGCGCACACCCTGCACGACGCTCTGGGGAGCGCACACCCTGCACGATGCTCTGGGGAGCGCACACCCTGCACGATGCTCTGGGGAACGCACACCCCGCGCGACGCTCCGGGGTAAATGTTAGGCACCCCCTAAATTTACCCCCGGAAGTCTCACCTCTCCATGTCAAACATTGTAGGGTAGTCTTCTCCCTGGTCTGGGTGGATCAGGGACCCCAGACCTTTGCTGCTCAGGTGGGCAATGGGCAGGTCCTGAGCCCCACGATGAAGCCGCGCCACCTCCTCCCCTCCTCCCTTCCTGGCCCCGCCAACCCCAGAGTCCAGTGAGGTACTGGAGCTGTGTCCACCTCCTCCGCCATTCCCCCGCTCTCTCCCTCCCTCCGTCTCTGGATGCATACTGGCAGCACTCCCTGACCGCGAGCGGTGGTTGTACGGATCCTCGATCCCTGAACTGTTGGAACTGCCAACATCTCTGTCCTTCTGTTCAGGATCTCTCCCGCCTCCGTAGCCAGTCCCCAGATACCCTCCCCCAGCACCATACCCCCCATACTGGTACCTCCCCTCCCCGCCACTGTAGTCATTGCCATGACGATCCTGAAACCCTGCCTTCTTTCCGGCAGGGTAGCTTGTCTTGCGCCCCATTTGGTAGTCAGGGTAAGTGAGGGAGCTGTTGTCAGAGGACAGTAGAGAGTAGACTCTTTCTAACTCCCTGTCCGACACTATACTGATATCATGACCGGTTGGAGACCCTGTACACATACACAATTATAGTGACTCACACTAATACTCCATGGGTCTACCAACACTGTGTACTTACAGAGTTTCAGACAGACTGACCTTCGATAGTTCGCTGGTCATCTTCTTTTTCCTCCTCCCTCTCTTTCCCTCTCTTCCCCACCTCGGCCCGGAATGCCTGGTAGCTGTGCAAGCGGTACTTGTCATGAGCTCTCACTCTGGACTGAGTCAGAGTGGGTCGCGAGGTGGGTATGAGGTCTGCTATCCCCAGAGGATTGTCCTCCGAGTGGAGGAGCGAAGAGTGGGGGACGAGGGTGCTCTGGCTGCTCATCGTGTCGTCACTTCCACTCCTCCGCATTCCCTGGCGGTATCCTGGCCTCAAGCCTCGCCCAAAACTGTCACTCCGACCAGATGAGTATCGACCGATGCCAAACGGAGCTGGTGCAGTGTGTCCCTCTGAGTCTGTGGAGGTCTTACGTTCGCTCTCCTCTTCCCCCACCTCCTTCCCCTCGCCTCCATTTGTCTCTGTCTCGTAGATCCTGAGAGTGGGTCCAGAACGAGGCGACTCCATCCGACTACGAGTCTTCTGTGAGATGTTTCTGAACTTGTTCCGAAGGATTGTGAAAGACCCCAGCAGCTTTTCCTTCTCCCTGCTGCCGACAATGGGTTGAGGAGGGGAGGACGAGGCAATTGGGGAGAGAGAGGGACAGGGAGGATGGCGGTAAATCACTGACACACTCGGCAGTTCAGGGAATGGACTGAGGAGAGAAGAGGTCATTAAGTGAGACAATACAGTGAGAGAATCCAGTGTACCTGTCACTGCAGTAGTTTTTGATACTGAGAGCGATGGTGTAGCAGGCGTCCACCACTCCTAGTGAAGCTGATGGATCCACTGGTCTCTGAAGGACTGCAAACGCAGCGTAGTCCTCCACAAGCCACCTGTGAGATGAAAAGCACTGAAGTGCAAACCCTCGGCAAACTGCGCATGCGCGATACCACTAATGATGGGCAGGGCAATTAGTATACGTTTTTCCCGCTAGTAGCTCGCTAAGAGTCTGACATGGGCTGTAGCTACAGTAGTAGATAGGATGCGGGAGTGCCCCCCTCAAATCCCATGTCAGGGAACCTATGTACGTACCATGACGAGAAGACAGTAATGAGGATAGTGGAGTCGTGTTTCCTGGCAGATATCTGGACAGGCTTGCTGTCCTCGGAGGCAGGCGAAGGCCTCACTAGGACAAGGTTGGCCTTTCCGAACACCAGCTGGACCGCTGTCTTGGCGGTGGTGTTGGTGACAGTGGTACACGACTCGTTGAGGATGTGGTGAGAGTAGTCCTCCAGTATCTGGTCTCTGTTGGAGTCTAACTGGGGGGTCGTGAGGTCAGAGTCCACTAATAGCCTCTCCAGGAGATCTTTCACTGCAGCCTGGAGGAGGAAGAAGTAGCATGGAACAGTGCTATATAGTCGTATAGAGGCATGAATCATAACAATGGTACAGAGGTGCACACAAGGAACTTTTTGGAAAAAAGTAAAACTCCCCTGGGTGCCACTTGAACCCACAACACATTCCAACAGTTAATATGACATCACACTAAAAGACTGTCAGAGGGCAATTGAGGGCAGAGGAGACTAGAGGTGAAAAGGAAAAGTCAATGGAGGGCAGCAGGCATGAATGGAGCTGTCCCTAGCTCAGGTTGCCATGGGAGACAACCACCCGCAGTCTCCACTCACCTTCTTCTCCCGGACATTGGCTGCTGCCTGCTCCCCAGTGGCAGCTCCGAACTCTCGACCTCCGATGTTGTAAGTGGTACGAGGTACATCACACATCACCTGCTCCATCTTTGCCTCCATAGTGTAGGCATGATCTGCCCCCGCCCCTTTTGCCTCCAGCTCACTACAACAATCCTACAGGAATACTGACGTATATTTAACCCTTTCAACCTCTGCTACACAAACCTTTAGAGCTAATTCAATGGCTTTGGGGTTAAAATGGAATCCTCCAGTCAGTACGTGATGTGGCGTCTCCACTCTCACTAGCTCTGTGCTGTACACCTGATGATGTCATTGGAATGAAACCATGCCCCAATTAGGAAGGCCACACCCACCTTCAGTAGCTGGTCGACCTTTGTGTTGATACCGGAGCGAATGGTGTCAGGCAAGCCGTCAGGATGTTGGTACAGCATGCACTGTACGTCGTTCCTAGTCAGACCTCCAAATGATCGCAGGCTCTGGTTTACCTGAGGACGTGGTGAAACAGAGACAACATCGCTTGGAGGGAAATTAATCATAGAGGGGGCAGGGGTAAGGATTAGCCTGAGGGACTGTCCCCCCCCCCCCCCTGTGTTTACTGTTAGTCAAGGACAAATAGGCAGCAACAAGGCATGTGTAGGGGGACAGGCAGGGCCCGGACTATCAACTGTTGTCATGTGGACAACCAGACTAGAGAGCAGGTTCCCCTGTTCTCACTCCGGATCGAACCTCCGTACCTGGGTTGCTGCCAGCCAGCTGACAGTGGCCTCTTTCAGAACAGAGGACCCTGGGGAGTCGCGGAGGTCATTTCTCAGCTCCTTGTAGGAGCCGAGGGGAGCAAGGAGGTCAGACGCAGACTCTAGCACTCGGAACACCACCTCCAGGTAACCGAGGAAACAACCTCCCATCAGCTGCAGGGAAATGAAACACTCCGTATTAATGAGTACAAAACTCAGGAGATCCCCAAAAGTAACAAATCCAACACATTGGGAACACAGCAGTAAGAGTCAACAGTTTGCAGTGTTCTCTAAGACACTCGCTGTTGTCGAGTGACCAAAAATCCTGACGTTTGTGTGTAACTATACATGTAAAAGGACATGCTCCGCTCACGTGTGGTCAGACTCACTCCACCCACCTCTGTCCTCATTTGAGTGAACTCAGTGTTAGCGAGGCCCAATTGCTGGTCCTCCAGGGCAAACTCCTGGGCTGAGCTGCGGAACTTTCCCTCAACCTGATCCTTCTTGCTGCGAGACGCTGAGGAAGACAGCATAACCCCCTCCAACTGCCGCAGACAACTTTCGTGGCGAGACGCTGCCTTCGCATGGCTGTCAATGTGGCTCCGCAGGCGACTGACAGTCGGTCCTAGCCTCTTAACTGGAACCACAAGCTCTCCCTTTAGAGCCAGAGCCGCACGTGACGTCTTGTCCAGTAGCGTCTCACACGCCTCCTTGTAGCGAAGTGCCAGGAGAAGGAGGGGCGAATCTTGAAGAACAGTCTCCAGTAGAGAGGCCAGCTTTATCCCTGCCGTGCAGTGGGCCTCCAGCCCCTCCACGGCCTCCTCCATGGCAGGAGGAATGGCGTTCAGCGAGCTCTCCAGTCGCTCCAGTCGCTGCCGCATGGCCTTGTGAGTGTTGCTGGCGTCTCGCCGAGTCCCGTTAGCGTTACTCCCGATCTCCATCTTCTGCCGAGTCTAGGGTTCAACAGAAGTCTGACTATCATCTTCACAAGTCCATATTCTTCCTGTGTGCTTAGAGACCCATCGATCGTCGAGACTCGAGGTGTGCGGAGGATGGTGCGCTTCGATCGCGGAGGAGTTGTGGCCAGCGGAACCCCACGTGAATGACATCATCACTCGCGACTCGCGAGTTCTACTCTGCGTGCGTGGGATGGAACCGAGACAGCTCACGTCAGCACGGCTCACGTACGTACGTCACTATATCGTCGCGCCGCGCCGCGCCGGCCGGGGGTACCGGGTCCGGGTGTGTGTGTGGTGGTGGTGTGTGGTGCGTGTGCGCGTGCTAGAGCGCGTGCGCAGGATGCTTCGAATTGCGGTGCAGCAGTGGCGGATCAGGATTTTTATGGGGCACATCATCATCCGAACACACTGACTTAGCGGGAAGGCGACTGCTGGTGATGGGAGGATCAGCAAGCAGCAGCAGCTACCAGGAACCTAGCGAAGGAAGTCAGTCGTGCGCGGAGCATTGCGGCGACGCGCAGCAGAACGTCAATCCCTTCTTCTACCGCCCCAGGATGACTCCGCTGGACTGGGTGAAGGTGAGGAAAGGGAGAAAGGTACTGTCAGTGGTTTGCAAGGCGACCCTGAAGCTTTGGTTTTACCTTGTGGAATCCGACCTTATTTAGTGGTGTTCTCTTGCTGCGAGGAATGTATTTGGGTGTTGCCTGCAACAATTTGCGCTGATGTAGATGTGTGTCACTCCATTTACGACATGTGTCTGCAGGTTGTATTCAACACCTTCTGGTTGCTCCCACTGCGACTGGTTCTGTTCGTCATTCCGTCTTTCTGTCTGGGGGTGTGTCTGTGCATCCTCTCCATTCTTGGAGACAGTCTTGATGAGAAGAATCCTCGACCGCTACGTGGGTGGCGCAGGTCAGAAACCCTCTGCCTGCTTAACTGTCTCCCCACCCTGTGGTTCTGCTAGGTTTCTTGTCAGTGATATCGGGACTCGTGTGGACCGCCTGCTGCTGTTTGGGTGTGGTTTCCATTGGATCAGGGTGCGTGGGAAGCCTGCCACTGCAGCTGAGGCACCAATCATTGTAGCCAGTCCCCACGCCTCCGTCTTTGACATGTTCATCATCTCTCTCTTCCACCTCCCCACTTTTGTTGCCAAGAGCGAGGCCAGCTCCGTTCCTATCCTAGGGTGTAAGTTCCTCTCTTCCCTTCCTTCTTTGTCAGTGATATTCATCTCTCACAGACCTCGTCACTCATACCATGAGAGCTATATATGTTTCCCGTGACAACCCGGCGTCACGCAGGGAATGCACAGATGAGATTCTGCGTCGTGCAAAGGACTCGGCAGCTGGGTGGCCAAAGATCCTCATCTTCCCTGAGGCCACCACTCACTCTACGGAAGTCCTCCTGGAGTATAAGAAAGGAGCCTTTCTTCCCAGCGTGCCTGTCCAGGTGATGTCATGCAGGTCCATACAAGATTACAGTGAAGCCTTTGAATACTGGACACTTTGTTCTGGCACATAATCTATTACCTCCAAGTAGGACACTCTCAATAATAGAAACTTGAAAGCCTATTGTGCCTCTTAGTTCAGAAGATTCACTGTGGTTGTCTGCAGGCAGTGGCTATAAAGTACCAGAACAGGAGCAACACAATGGTGTGGTCTGACAGAGGAACTGGTCTCATTGCCAGCATCTACCTTACACTCTGCCAGTTTCACAATAGTCTGGAGGTGGAGTTCCTCCCTGTACACCACACTACCCCAGAGGAGGCCGCCAACCCAGGTATATAGGACTGTGGACTGTGTGTGTGTGTGTGACTGCAGTGTGTGCGTCTCTCTAGAGGTGTTTGCAGAGAATGTGAGGAAGGAGGTATCGCGGGCCACTGGGATTCCAACCTCCCACTACTCAGTGGAGGACCTTCTGATGTGCAGGAAGGCCGAGCAGCTGGGGCTGCCTTTCCACTCTGGCCTCATCTCCTTCCCTTGTCTCAACAGGGAATTCCAGTGCGTTAACACATTCCTTGTCAAAATATTTACCAGTATCCGATTAGGGTGTATAGTTGGTAGAAGCCATAGCAGCTCTTGTCTGATCTCATCCTCCTACCTGAGTAGCTCAGAACCATCCTCCCCCACTGCAGACTGGGGTTGCCACAGGCCAAGTACTGGCTGGAGAGGTTCTCTGAAATGGATCGAGACAAAGATGGATTTATCACTAGCGAAGATTTCTGCCATTACCTGGCTGTCCCTACTGATGCCTGCTCACTGGCTGTGTTCTCTGCTCTAAGGAACAAGGTTTGCCACATGCCACACCTGTATATATGCAGTGGGAACTACTGACTGTGTCTCTCCCAGCAGGCATCAGAGGGTGGGCTGAATTTCAGGCACTATTTGTACAGAGTTCTGCGTATGTCCCTCCCATTTACCACTGATGAGAAACTCTTGCAAATGTTTCAAGTAATTTGTACAATTTACACTACTTTGCCCCATATTGCTGTACGCTCTCATTAGTTCTTTGACAGTGAGAACAAAGGACAAGTCACTCTGTCAGATATTTCATCTCGACTTCCGGTGCAGTGGACTAGGAATTCAGACCATTACAGGGGGAACCCCCCTCCACGGCAGAGGGGATACAACCTATGTGGGTGTGGTCGACAACAGTTGCCACGGAGACTTAACTGCGCCCCCCAGCAAGCCTCTCTCCCTGAATCCATGAACTATGGTACACAGTCTGTTATGAGACAGTCACCTCGCATCTGGTGTCCCTATATATGTACCCCCACAGATGAGTTCTGCTCAGCTCTAAAGAAAAATCCGGAATATCTTCTTCTCTTCAACGAGTGCCAGGTTGCCGCTATCTCCTCCAACTCCCATGGCAGCGGTTTCCATGACAACACCATCTCTGCTGAGCTGCTGGCAGTGTCTGTCGAGTCCTGACCATGCCCCCCATTGTGTTCCTAATTAATCACTGGTGACCAACTCTCAAACTGATTTTCTTAACTCTTTTGGCATGTTTTTTACACAGAGGTTTTAATATTATATGAGATTATCAATAGTTCAACTGTCTCAGTGTTTCTCTGACACCGAGTGTCTCCTCGTCCCGTCTCCAACAGAGCTGTATGTTAGACAGAGACAGAGAGAGAGCGAGAAGAGAGTGGGGAACGAGAATTGAGTCAAGGAACGACAGCAGAATGTGCAGTACTTGTCTTGTGAGAGGAGGGACTTGAGATGGTGTATCTCTGTCTTGTAGCATCTGCGCTGGGATCTGTGCTGTGCAGCCTGTACCCTCAGTCTGTCAGGAGAGCCAAGCTCACATACAGTGGTGTTGTAGTCGGGGAGCACTCACTGATGTTGAGCCTCATCCACTACCTTGGTTGCCTCACCCTCTCCTTTTTCCTGCCATCTCTTGGCCTGTAGAAAGAAAAGAGAGACTTAGGCTAAGACACACATCATTTCATTCTCACCAATCTTGCGTAAATGTCTCTCTCTGACAGGGCTTTATCAACCTGAGACCAGGGCACATGACATGTCCATCGCTGTGATTGTACAGCTTCACCTGTGTGAGGGCATGTGCCATCTGCAGCTGTGTGGCTTCCTCTCTCTCGTGAAGCTCCTCCAGCTGGTCCCGTAGCCTAGCAACAGTCTCCTCCCCCTCTTGTACCACTCTCTGGACTTGTCCAAGCTCTCCCTCAAACTTGCTGGTCACTGCCTTGGCCTCTGAGGCAGCATGCAACATTCCATTACTCTGACATATAGTTACCATCTAACCTCCAACCTTTCCTACCAGCACCTGTTTCTCCCTCTCCAGACTCTGCATTTTCCACAGTGGAGCACATTTTGCATAAACAGAATTATGAAGTGCCGTTTGTAATTCTTACTCAGGTGGTGTGGCGTTTGAGTCGACATTAATTTTTGTCACGTCGCGTGTAAGAATTTGTCAAAAATGTACAATTTGACACAAACGGCACTTCCATACAGATACTATTAAATGTGCAACTATCAACATGCTAAAGGTCCACACACACTAGCACATGACGATTGTGTTGTAACTTACAGCAGTTTGTTCCTGCCAGGCAGCTAGTTGTCTCCTCTGATCATGACCAAACCACTCCAGCAAGCTATTCAAACGCGACCGTGTGAATCCCTGAGGAGTATCTAGTGTTGTGCTTACAAACCTAGCCACATGCTGCACACTTTCTGGACTAGTGGCTCCATGACTGATCAGAGAAACTCCAGTCAGTCGTGATATTTGGTGAAACAGGAGGGCCTGGCCCTCCATCAGCTGCTCTACCTCGTACTCCAGTGACTTCTTGACCTCGTTTACTTCTGCCAACTCTCCCTCCAGCTCCGCAACTGGCGGGAGAGGTCGGAAGGTAAAATCCCTCTAGAGTACCAGCACCCACCTTTAGTGTGGTGCTTGGTCCGTAGCTCAGAAATGGCGAGCTGTTGGGCCTTGTACTGACTCATCAGATTGCGATTCTCCTCCAAAACAACCCTTGTTTGGGACGCCACTTCCATCCTGTCATGTGACAGTCACATGTGATCTGAAGACTGGAGCCAGCCAGAAACTCACCACTGCTGTTTGCGTCTGGCGAGGAGAGAGTTGGATCTCTGCAGAGACACGAGCTCGTCTTTCATCTTCTCCACTCCCTCCCTCAGATCGTCTCTCTCTCCCTGCACCACATGGAACAGTCGAGAGTCTACAGAGGACTAGTCTTACCTGCACTGCCTGCACCGCCTCTTCAGCTTGCCTGAGGCTCTCTTCCAACTCTGCAACTACAGCCTCCTTGAGGGAGAGAACGATGCTAAAACTCTGTGTATTTAGTTACACGACGAGTCATAGATTTAGGAGGCCAAGGGCAGCAAGGACGCTAGCTTCCTAAATTGCATCTAAGTATTGTAGAGTGCAGCACGTGAAAAACTTGAAAAAATGGAAAGAATGTTCCAAAGTATGCGCATAGGCCAGACGAGTAATGAACTCATTTGTTAGTAGCGTCCTTGCTCTATTTGGAATACCACAGCCCCAAAATCCGAGCAGTGTCGTCTAATCATTACAAGTGTCGTCTAAATCATTACAAGTGTCGTCTAATCATTACATAACTAACAGGATGAGGGGAAGTAGTTGGCTGTGCTGCACAGGACGCTCTCAGCTCAGTCCTCAAGTCAGCAACCTCAGGCATGAGTCTCTTCTCTCTCAGCTCCAGTGCCTGGAGTGCAGCCTGACATTGACGAACCTCCTCCCCACCTCCATCCTCTGTCCCCCTCTTACAACTGGCAACAGCTGGGGCACCAGTAGATGTGGGAGTTGAGGTTGCCTGAACTGCAGAACTTAAAGAATGAAAAGCACTAAAGTGCAAACCCTCGGCGGTAAACTAGCGAGTTGTATATAGCATCGCTGTATGCTGGGCCGTGCGTCATCGACAGAGCCAGTAACACGAGTTTCACCGTAACACAGGGTAGTTGCATTAGCGGTTAGAGCAATAGCTCAGGTGTTTCAGAGGCTCTCATCTTTGCTTTATTCAATCTATCTGCTCTTCTGTGTTTCAATGCTCTCGCCAGACGTTTTATAGATGGGAAGGCAAGGCCGCAACCACAAACTGCTCGCCACCTGAACTATTGCTTGCTCAGCATGTTTATCGTTTATCCATAGGGAACAGAGATCAAAACTGACAGGAGGCCGTGGATCGTATATACAACCAAGCGCATGCTCCGGCGATTAGTTGACATTACGCATGCGCGCTATATAGCAATTATATCCTGCAGGAGAGGGCGCGTGCGCGATCCACCGCGCGTTGGCTTTTTCGCTTGTTTTCACGCCATATCTCTGGAACGCAGTCGTTTCGGGAAAATCGCCACATTAATATCTATCTTCTCGTCGTTCACAACCCGTTGGTGCCTCTCATTGGCCGCCTCGTAGCCTGTAGTGCTAGAACTCGCGCGGACGGACAGACAGACGGACAGACAGACAGAACGACTACTGTAACCCTCGCTGTGCATGCGCGCCGAGGGTTAACAATCTGACCATTGCAACACCTGTTTTATGACCAAATGTGCTTCATAACAGATATTGAAACCCTTGAAACCTTGTGTGTGCAATAATTAGCATGAACTGAACAAGAAAAATTCCTGTGTTTACGGAAGCCCATTGGGCCGTGCTTCAAACACTGAGAATCTCACTTCCAAATCTGAATTTCAAAATATACCACTTCCAAAACTGGTCACTTGAAATTTTATATAAACAAATTCAGACTTGGAAGTGAGAGACTCGTTTTGAAGTGAGTATGGCCACAATGGACCACTGTATGCATTTGAGCTCAAACAATAGACATACTTCTGTCTGCGCATGGAGCTGTTCCTCTCTGCACTGGAGACAGGAGAAAAAGTTAGAGAATTCCCCTGTCCGCAGGAAACTGGAGTGAAGTTCCCTGAATGTCTCTGTCCACTGAAGACTGCAGGGAAGGTTGGGGAGGGAGTGGAGTGGCTCGGAGTGATCTGTAGCTGCCGGGAGGAGGGTGGCAGCATCTGGAAGTGAACATTCTCTGGAGTTGGGGAGCGACTGAGAGTAAAGGGAGGAGAAGGTATAAGTGGATGAGGCAGATGCAGTGGTCCATGTTCCCCTCCTACGCCTTCCACAGAGGCACCAACTGAGAACATAGCTCCATCCACCTCTTCCTGAACCACTGATCTCTGCCTCCTCAAGCCCTCGCCTGGTGCACTGTTGGAGGAAGATGGTGAACATTATGACTAAAGTAATGGTATACGTACCTGGAGTTGAGGAGGCCATCCAGATGAAAGCTAGCGGGCAGAGGTTCACTCTGGGTACCTACACTACTGCTGGTGATTGGAGGACTCTGCAGCAGAGACAACAAAACTCTCAGACTGCAAGATCCCAAGCTCCATAGCTATATACCTCAGATTCTGCACTGTTTCTGCTTTTCTGCCTCTTCAGTTTATGAAAGAACTTTGCCATATTTTTACATCCAGCAACTCGAAAGCCATAGAATAGACCTACCTACCTAGGTACCTCACGATTGCAGCTGCTTCGCTGTTCGTTGTACGCATGCGCAACCCCGTCGTTCCTTAGCAACGATACATCGGTGCGGAGGAGACGGCCTGAGGCTGTGCCTACGGCAAAAGAAATGTCTGGCGCGGGAAAACATGCAGCAGGTGACTGCAATATCGTTCACTTGGACGATAGTTGGTGAGCTCTCATCAGATACCAGGCATGTTTGATTGTTGTGACGTGTAGGAAGACGTATGTCCGGAAAGAGGTTGAAATGAGCCGAAAATGGGTCGTTAACTGGGGCTTTCTCCCTCTCCAGTATCAACAGGTACCAGTAGTTCTAGAGCAGATGGGGGAATGTCTGTCTCTCATGAATGCCTTTCCCGGCACAGCTCCGTGAAGACTTGGGCAAGTCATGTGCTCCTGTGTCCACCACTACTCGCTCCTGTGCTCTCCACCTCCCCCCTCTCCCATGTCCTCCACAGACAACTCAACTTGCCTTCCCCAAGACCACATCAAGGTGTGTTAGCCAACACCAGTAGATGCTACCACAGTCAATATGTCGTCACCTCTGCAGAGAGATTGGCTGGAGATCAGGTGACAAGGCCTACAGTCTGGAGGTGTATGGTCGCTGGGGAAGACCTAAAGTCTCCATTCTCCATCACCTCAACTGGCCTCATGATGCCGTGGAGTAGATAATGCCTCATCTTTATGTGCATCTGCTTGCTTTTTGTTTTCTGTCTATTTCTTGGTATGGAGGCACTCTTTAAATTTTCAAAATTTCCAATGGTAGCACGCATAGAGATAAAACTTGGTATGTATGCCTATCACTAAGTACGGTAGTGCTTAGTATATAGGGATTGACATGGTACCTAGCATCATAGATGTATGGGGCTATGATAGGGAGTTTTGTTCATCATCTTCTTCTTCTTCTTCTTCTTCAACCAGCGTAACTCAAAAACCGAAAGAGATAAAGCCATGAAATTTTGTAGGAATGTACATATCGATAACCACATGGGACTCATCATACTTTTTGGTTTGTAAACAATGTTGTTTACTGTAAACAACAACAAAATTTCCCCAGGCAATACATTATAATGGACAATACATTTTAATGGGCATACTACATGTGTCAGTGTAACTCACAATTGGTAAGAGTTATGCGAGCGAAAGTTTGTATACACAATGTATTCAATAGCCAACATCAAAATCACAACAATACATGTTTGTAAATAACAACAAATATCCTCAGGCACTTTTCTTTAAATAATACTTCTTCACTTCTCAAACTTTCCAATGGTAGCACGCATAGAGATGAAACTTGGTACGTATGCCTATTATATCATTTCCATGACGATTACATGTTTCCATGACGACCGCATATTGTTCGAAAAGGCCTCAGGCACTTTTCTTTAAATTACTTCTTCACTCCTCAAACTTGCTAATTGTAGCACGCATGCGAGGTGGTGAAACTTGGGTTGCGCAGTTTATTACATTGTTTCCATGACAACTACAACAACAAATAGCCTCAGGCACCTTTTCTTTAAAATTACTCTTCATCCTCAAACTCGCTATAACAGTATCACGCATGGAGTATGAAAAAACTTGGTCCGCGCATGTGTATTACATCGTTTCCATGAACACACACAACAACAAATAGCACTCAGGCAATGTTCTGTAAATTACTTCTTCACTCCTCAGAACTTGCTAATTGTATAACCATGGAGATTGAAAACTTGGGGCGGCCATTGTGTATTACATCGTTTCCCTTGACGACCAAAAATCAATCGCCTCAGGACTTTTCTATAAATACTTCTTGTCCTCCTCAAACTCGCTACAGTATCAACGCAGGAGATGAAACTTGGTACGCCAGGTGTATTACATCGTTTTCCCATGACGACCACAACAACAAATAGCCTCAGGCAATTGTCTTAAATTACTACATAACCTAAGACGAAAACCCACAATCAAAAAACAAACAAAACCACAAACCACAAAACAAAAAACAAAACAAAACCAAACAAAACAACCCATAACTATAAACAAAAAAAAAAACTCCAAAAACAAATACCAACTAACCACCATTTCCAAAAAATTTCTCCCGACATCACAAATAACCCTCCCCCCCCCACAAAAAAAAATAATAAAAAAAAACCAAACCCAAAAAACCAAAAACAACACGAAAAAAAACCCAAAATACACCTAAAAAACAAAATCAAAACATCAATACACCTCCAACAACAACGCCCCCACCCGTCCGCAAACCAGTCACAAGAAAAGCCATCCCCGACCTCAAAAAGCCCAGAAGAGCCCCACAAGAGGAGGCCGACGGCGAAACCCCCCGATTCCCGTCCCCCCTCCCACAAATGGAAGCGGGGCAACCTGAGCAACATGCTGCGACCCCGTACGCCCGACAAGATGCCGCCGGTGGCCGATGGGCTTTCGATCTCTCCCCCTCCCCTGCGCCAAGCCCAAAGATCCTCTGTCGGCCTAGCACACCAATGCGGTGGCCAGAAGTGCTGTCCAGCGGCCAATCCTGACAGCCCCCACAATTGGCCCCCGGCCGCCGGCCAATGCCACTGCGGCGGCCAATTGTAGCACGCATGGAGGTGAAACTTGGTGCGCATGTGTATTACATCGTTTCCATGACAACTACAACAACAAATAGCCTCAGGCACTTTTCTTTATAATTACTTCTTCACTCGTCAAACTTGCTAACGGCAGCACACATGGATGGTATGCATTTCATTTCCATGACGACAATTTTTCTCTATTATTAATTTTTATAGGGGCTTGCCCCCTTCATACGTAGTAGTATATAAAAATGAGTGGAGACAAGTAAATTAAAAATCCTGCGGATTAAAAAAAGAGTGCATATAGGGATCGTATAAAAAGAAAGGGAGACAAGATAGGGATTGTGTTTGTGGAAGCACAGAGATGCTAGCGAGGAGTTAGGACTCCCACAGGTCATTACAACAGCCCTATATCGTCGTACAGTGGGAATACCTAGCATCATAGAGATGGGGAAAGTTTTCAATCTTCTTCGTAGGGTGGGAGTGGGAGTGATGAGAGAGTCTGTAGAATATTGCTATAGGTAATGAAGTACTTACTAATTACCTTTGATAGATTTGTCATGCTACATTTCCATGGAGTGCCATTTAGGTGGAAGTGTAATCAGCTGACCATAACATTGGATATACATGTTTATACATGGAAACATGGAAAAATTGTGTAACGCAAGAAAACTAAATTCAAGTATGCAAGGTTGGCTGATATATTCACGAGGAAGTAGTAAAGCACCGATACGACGATATAGGGCTGTTGTAATGACCTGTGGGAGTCCTAACTCCTCGCTAGCATCTCTGTGCTTCCACAAACACAATCCCTATCTTGTCTCCCTTTCTTTTTATACGATCCCTATATGCACTCTTTTTTTAATCCGCAGGATTTTTAATTTACTTGTTATATTATCATTTCCATGACAATTACATGTTTTCGTGACGACTGAAAAAGCCTCAGGCAATTTTCTTTAAAACTACTTCTTCACTCCTCAAACTAACTGCAGCACGCATGGAGGTGGAAATTGGTGCGCATGTGTATTACATCATTTCCATGACGACCGCAACAACAAATGGCCTCAGGCACTTTTCTTTAAAATTACCTCTCAAACTTGCTAACTATAGCACACATGGAGATCAAACTTGGTCAGAATGCGTATGACATTGTTTCCATGACAACCACAACAATATAAGCCTCAGGCACTATTCTCTAAAATCACTTCTTCACTCCTCAAACTTGCTAACGGCAGCACACATGGAGATTAAATTTGGTGCGTATTACATCATTTTCCATGACAACAACAGGCATTTTTCGCTAGAATTAATTTTATACGTAGTAGTATATAAAAATGAGTGGAGACAAGTAAATTAAAAATCAAAAGAGCCATATAGGGATGGTGTAAAAAGAAAGGGAGACAAGATAGGGATGGGATACATGAAGCACTGGTTCATATTTTCAAGCTAGACTATTGTGCAATGTTGTCACCTATGCAACAATATAGGGATTGTGTGATGGGGTTGGGGGTGTCAGCGTGCTCAAATCTGTTGAAAAAGTCATGCGTAACCAAGAGTACAAATGGAGTGCCACACCAGGCAACAATGTTTTATGTAAAACCAGACATTATTATAAAGACTTTGCAGTTTCAAACTGTGAAAATTGATACAGTAAGTATGGAGCAGGGAACAAGAGGGTAGTTTGAAAGAAGTCAGAGTCTATGATGTCATGAGGGCCTCCAGCTGCACCAGTCTAGCATTGGTATCCCCTGGCAACTGGTAGGGGACCATCCCTGCAAATGTGATGAGTGTTCTAGCCTGTCTGCGTAGTTTCCGTCGCACCTGCAGGGAGAAAGATAGGACTTGTCAGGCAAAGGCAATACAACAACTCTCAGTCAGTCTGGTATCCAGGATGGTTGGTTTGGCCCCAGAGAATGTAACACCATTAGGACTTTACCACCCACTATTTATGACACATGCAAAGACCATACGCAGAGTTGCACAAGCTCAGTGATATTCGCTGCCCCTTGTTTGTATGTATATACACTGTACGGAGGTTGGCTAACATCGTTACAGTGCAACATAACGTGCTGCCAATCCATGTATTAAATCAGTTGTAGAAAGGAACATACAGCTTCCTGGCCACCATCTTGTTGACCTGGTCTTGAACTAGGAGCACTGCACAGAGATATGGGGGTGGGGTCTGGGTACATTATTATGATAGTGACATACTTGGTGCCGCAGTATTGGGAGTAGAGGAGACTCATTGATGCCAGGAGAAGGTCAGGTAGGCATCGTCTCACCTGCCGGTAGTCGGTCAAAGGTCAATTCCAAGGGGTGTGGCCTTCTTACCTCGTCTTCCATTGTCCGGAACAAGGCCACTTTCTGCTCCACCGTTTCCCCAGCAACAAGTGGGAGGAGTTTGAGTTGCTGAATCACCTGCAGGACGAGGGAGGCAGAGAAAGTCACACGTCATTGTGTGTACCCTGACTGAATGGAACCTCCAACCACATGTAAACAATAGGATGTTGTCTCAAGAGGGCCGCAAGATTGCATTCCACGCATGCCACAAGTGATAAACATGTTGCTGACTGGGCAGGGGATATAAAAGGCTCCACAGTTGGCAGACCTTCCAGTCAGGCAGAGACAGAAGTAGGCAAGAGCCTTGGTCAACTGACAGAGACAGAGGTATATAAGCAAGAGCCTTGGTCAACTGTCCATAGTGTGCTGTGCTGCATAATGAAGTGGATTGGTGTGGGCGCCTACAACTTGGACCTGTGGCTGGATGACTTTGATAAGAGGGGCTCCCTCTCACAGGCAGTCATTCTGCAGCTGCAAGAGGACCCTGACCTCCAGCCACACCTCCAGCTGGTGGCCCGCATCGCGGAGGAGCTCCTCCGAATGTGTGAGGATGAGGGGAGGGGGAAGATAAGTGACAACCTCCACGACCCCGAACATGGGATCCTCATCCTCAGAATCACAGTCTCCAGTCAGCCCCAGCCTGTCTGGATGACTCCAGGCCACTGACCTACTCTTCAGACCTCATCTACCCTTCAATTTACTCTTGTCCTCTCCTGCTGTCCTCTCACCCTCTGACCACAAGCCTGGAGCCAGGCGATAAATAGGTGTAGTCCTATCCATTCACCAAGTGACCATATCTCAATGTCATTACTTGGCTGCACTCTATCATCCCAACCCAGTCACCATGTATTTGCCTTACAATACCTCGTTAAGGACCAAATATAGGTGTAGGCCACTCAGCACGTGTTGTGTACATACAGAAGACAGTAAACAGAGTTACAGTGTACCTCAAGTGCCTGATCCTCTCTCTTGTGGTGGTAGTGGTCAAAGAATGTCATAATGTCCAGCAGAACAAAGAAGATGTGGGCCAGCGAGTGGGGGGCAGAGTGACCACACCCCTTATACCTGTCGGCAAGGGCGACGGCAAGCTGCTGCAGACGATCTCGCTGGCTCTGTGGAGACGGAGGAGAGGAAGCCACAGAGCTCAGGAGCTGGTTTAGCAGAGTCAGCACTTTCTCGTGGTCCTGCTCACCAAAGACAGACAGTCACCTCGGCCGACTCCAAATAGAGCCCCTCACCTTGCAGAGGTCATAGAGTCGCACTGCGTCCTCGTATAGACCCTGGGCCTCAGCCTGAGCTGCCACGAATGCCGTCAACTCCGAAGTGTCTCTCAGGAACTTGTCGACAGCGCCGGGTCTGCGAGAGCCGTCTGGCAGGAGGCGACCGAGGATGAGGGCAAACTCTCTGCTCTCCATGACCAGCTCAGCCACGCAGAGAGAGAAGACATCATGCCCGTCCCTCCCTTCCATTCCCTGTGGGTAGCAGCTGGGAGGGCACCACACTCTACCAGAGGGGACCGACCTTGAGCAGGAAGAAGTACTGGAGTGCCTCTCGTGGGTCGGTCTGAGAGAACCTGCGAGTGTAGCTGATGACCAACCGGGCATAGTTGAGTCTGTGGACCCCCCCGCTGTCCCTCACCACTGGAGGGAGATACCTAGCAGCCAGAGAGAGGGGAGGGAGGGGCACTCACACAGTCTACTCCTGGGGGATTCCGTCAGGCGAAGCAGGCCCAACTCCTGCAGTCCAATGGCAAAGTGGACAGCATGCGACTGGAAATGCTCGATTCGAGACAGAAACTCAATGGCCTGCACAGGATGTATGTAGTACAACGACAATCGATGCAAAGTAAGAGATGAAGAACTCACAGCCTCAAACTGCTGACTCAGCAGGAGTACAGTGACATAGAGCATGGGCACTTGACTGGCATTGAAATAGGTCTCACCTGCACCATTTGAAATACTCGTTCGCACATTATTTTAAACACAATTAGAACCTAGTCTAGAGGAGGTGTGAAGTGGGGAGAAAGACTCACCAAACTCCTCCAGCAGCGTAGCCTGCAGTTGCGACAGAGTTAGGTCATCTACTGAGGGGGCGTGGCCAGAGTCCGGGGCCTCACAAGACACCTGACTCAACTGTGGAGGAGAGAAAGAGGCAACGCAAAACTGTGGGCTACGGCACAGAAGCGGTTTCCATTAACTTTGAACCACATGTAGTCTTCAGTCTTAGAGCAGACGTCAGGATGACTATCTGCCACCTCACACCTGCCCACCAGACAATAGACTGCTCTCTTGTATGGATCAGTGCTAGTACGGACAGTCCTCTTGTACAACAGCCTCAGCCTCGTCTCAGAGGAGTGGGACAGTCTGCCACCAGAGGAGAGAGAGGGAGAGAGAATCAGTAAACAATCGGTGGAGAAAATTGTCACAAATTCTTGAAAAGGTTGCCTTGTAAATACAAAATCCTTGCCTACAAAATTTCACAACGTACACCTCTACCGACGGCTAACAATCTGTGAAGTTTGCACAAGTTTCCAGAGTTTCCTGTAGTGACTGACTAGAATCTCACCTGAGGTCTTGACTCTGGACATATTCTCTAAGGTAGCCACAGAACTCCACACAAGACCTAACACACACACCCAATGACACATGGCACATAGAGAGAGGAGACATACTGGGCTCTGGAGATGGTGGCGAGGGCACAGTCTCTGTCTCCACAGCGCAAGCAGTAGAACGCGAGAGCCCACACCGGCTGGCCCTCCACACACCCATCCTACAGAACACGCACTCACAATCTCTTGTAGTCTAGAGGCTGAGAGAGGGACATACCTCGAGACCAGGGATAGAGGAGGCTTGTCTGAGGTGGAGGAAGCTGCGGACCAGCTGGAAAGTTCCTGGCACTCCACCAAGCTGGGCCTGGGCGAGACTCTGGTGCACGCTCTCTCTGATGTACTCAAGGTACCTATAGAAGACCCACAGTCAATAGGCCAGAGGTGAGGAGCCAAGAGTGGGTGACCTGTGCTCCAGATGGTGTCTGGCCTGGGAGAGGAGAGGCAGTTGGAGAGAGGGAGAGGAGCGGAGGGTGTGTGCAGCAGGAGGCAGACTGGGAATGTCAACCAGAGCCTTCACCAGACTCCAGCAGTCATGCACACTCTGTAGTGGGGGAGGGCACCTACTGCTAGGAACACCATACCTTCATCATACACCTCACCTTGTTGGGGAAGGCAATGCTGGCCTGGTGGAATGTGGTGATGAGAGAGTGGGTAAGCCCCTGCAACTTTGCCTCATTACGGACAAACACCTCACGAGCATATGCCATTGCCACAGCGTCGAGTCCACTGCGACCATGCATACTGAGAGGACTGCCGCGATAGACCTGCGGCCACACCTCAATCAGGGCGGGGAAAGTGTGTGGGGCTAACCTCAGAGTCTCTGGTGAGCTCAAGCTCCTGGCCAGTCCCCACGAGTGAGTTGAGTATCATCTCCTTCTCCTCCTCCCACTCCCTCTCACAGCACAGCCACTGGCTCCGCTCTGCCTCTGCAAACGTCTGCAGCACACACACAGGGAGGGACTGGAGGTGGGTGGGTAGCTAAGGGTACTCACATTCTTCCTCGACTGTTCAATGGCAGCCAGCAGAGTGTTCTCCCTCTCGTTACTGAGGAAACCCTGCAGATTGTCATCGTTAACTTCTGAACTGTAACTATAGCTAGTATATGCTGCACTTAATGTTGTCAGCCTGTGAAATTTAGCGTGTGCTATGGAAATTGTACTTTTCTCCCTCAAGAAAACAGTTACCTCGATGTCAGTCTCCCAGACTGGCTCAATGGCCTCCAGACTCTTGGCCGCATTTAGTGACTCCAACTTCTGAGACAGTTTTGGTACGTCGAATCCTCTAGAGCCCAGCAGAATGGCACTGTTCCAGGGAAGACTCACGTGATCATCTGATAACTGCTGATGCATGGGGGTGCGCTAATACTCACGCTTTGACGTCGGCTTTCCCATCCCGGACACCGGCCGTCTTCTCCAGGAGGCGCTGCCCCGCCTCGTGTATTTGGTAGAGGTTCCTGTGCACGTGAGGCAGCTCTCCGCTCGCCTCTGTGATATCTGCAGTGAGCTGCTCTGCCTGCTGCACTAGGGCATTCAGCCCGTTCTCAGAAGCCATTTTCCGGGACGGTTGTGTCCGCCGCTCAAACTACCGGGAGCACCAACTGACGCTGCTGCAGACAAGTTCGTTGCACGCACGCACACACACACACGTCTTTGCGCGCGCGCACGACGTACACGGAAGATTCATAAACGCATGCGCAGTTGGCGTACTATCATGCTCGCTCGCTCGCGCGCCGTTCGAGTTTATGCAAAAATTATGTTGCAAAAATGTTCAGTTACAGGTGTAGCCAGATTCACATTTGAAGCTGAAGGGGAGGAGACAGGCTGTACGAACAAACTTTGTGCGGCAGCATATGTCGTGTTCGTAGCAGCCGAGATGGTAGCAACAATCCCCGCAAACCCACTTCCAGCAGTTGCAGCCGTAGCCGCACAGACCCAGGCAGTCCTGGTAAGGACATGGTGGGCATTCGCTGAGACATCCATTGTCATCTGTCACATGCAGAAGGCTGCTGCCTGTTATATTTCCTCCCTGCAGTTGGTTTAGCTGTAGAGCCGCCATGTAGAATGGCAGGACGCTGGGATAGTTCAGGCCCGTCACTCCCGTTCCGCCCAGCGTTGCAGCAGCATTCTGCAAGAGCGCGGCCTCAGGGAAGCTCAGGACAGTCAGTAGCGACTCCCAAAGTTTTACATGGCTTGCCTCCTGGTCAGTGGAACTGGAATTCAGGAGGCGAACCAAGTCCCGCAAAACCGTCCAGTCGGTGTTGCTTAGGATGCCGGTGTACGCATCTGGCACAGAGAAATCTTGGCTCTCGGTGGAGCCCGTTTTTACCTGAATGAACATGGTGCGACCTACTGCGATCAGTCGGAAAGACTCCCCAGATGATTCGTCGGCTGCTACTAGACCACGGCCGTCCAGTGTGCTAATGTGGAGACTGTCGTAAGTGCTCACGACGTGCACTCCTCGACCCGAGGAGAGATCCTCGTAAACGAAGTCTGCCACTGCAGTTGTAAGGCTTGCCACAAAAAGCTCTTCTTCTCCCGTTGCCTGACCAGCCAGTGCGACTGTCAGCACAAACACAAATAGTCTAATTCCCATCTTTTCCCGCAGACTATCCCTTGCAGCACTTACAATCTAGCTATATACCCATGCGAGCTGGGGAACTAAGAATTTGACAACGCTTCTTATTTAGAAACTGCTAGTCACACACACATAATGTTCTCCACAACAGGTGTGAGCAATATCTTAGAGTTTGCCTGAAAGAAAGGCCTTTATCATGTCCAGTGCATACAATGGCTGAGTGCCTGGTACCTATGTGAAGACAGGTTTGATAGAGCAATACAGATGTCAGGAGACATGCGAGTTAGGTACACAGACCATGTGGCCGGCTCCTCGCACAGTGGCATATGTCATCTGCTTGTACACAGTTCTGTAGCCACCCACTTGTCCATTTGATGCTGTACACAGATTTTATTGTGGCAGTGCCATACACCAGACGAAGGATTGCATACCTTTCCAGGGCATGAAAGGTTTTTCTACTGTCAGTCCTACATCCTTACTGGCCATCCATTCCTCGGTACCTGCTCTTATGCTCAACGAGTCAACACACTCCAGCTGTCGTTCATTTCTTACCTGTGTGAGGTACCACTCCATCAACGTCTCCACTGTAGACCAAGATCCTGATCTTGTTTTCCGAGAAGAACTTGAGGTAGAGTGGAATGACTGGGGCCAGCAGATCAGAGCGAGAATAGTCCACCAACACAGAGCATTCACTCCAACTGCAAAGAATAAGGACGAGGAGTAGGGAGGAGGGAGTTGTCTGGTCATGTTTGCTCACCGATTGGGGCATTGAGAGGCATGAATGGCTTCAATGACGTTCTCGCGACGTAAGTATCTGTGAATATAGAGGTACCAGTGACACTAGGAGAGATAAGAGAGTCTTCAACTATATACTCAGTGAGGTAGATGTCGATGCATGGGTCTTGAGAGGAACTCTTCCGTTGCCCAGTCCTGTCAGAATGACGTTGCAAAAAAGTTCTCTATTTCACAGTGCTCACCTCCTGAACAAGGAGACCCCACCATTGCCAAAGTGACGTCTGTCCCGACTGGTTCCAATGCATGCTTCCACATATATATCATAAAGGTTGATGTCTCCCATCTCTTCATCAGCCTGGTTTACTGCGGCCGAGCAGTCATCTCCAGGCTCAGCCACTTTGCCCAGAGCTGCCATTGAGATAGTATAATAATTATGTAGACATCCCACATAACATGCAGATCTAGCAGAGCAATTTTGCTTACTTGTAACAAACGGTCCCACATCTGAGAAATTGCAGGTTCGGAGGATCGCACTGAAAGTGCTGTTGCTGATGATACCAGTCTGAGCCCTAGGCACCAGGTGAACGAGTAACAATGAAAAGCACTAAAGTGCAAACCATCGGCACACTCTATAGAAATGTGGAACCCATACACAACTGTGGCACCACCACAATTGATGGTCTTGACCATGCATCAAAAAGAACAGCATGTTATGCACCATTTCCATGGATTATTATCAATAGGTTGAAAAAAATGGCCAGCCCTATATCTGTTTGAGGCTAAAAAAATATGTAAGGTTGAAAAATGGCCAACCTTTCATCTCTCTATTAATTTTCGTATTACCCGTGGATTGTTTAGTGCAAAAAAAACCCAAGGTTGAAAAAAAACGGCCAGCCCTTCATCTCTCCAGACAGACGTCTACGGACGCAGTGCTATGCCGAACTGTACGCTGCCCTTTGAGAAACATGGGTCAGTGGTAGATTTGTGGGTAAGGGGAGGAACCAGAGCTGTTCCCAGCCAATGCTCTGGACCACCTGACATTTTAGTGCGGGATCGAGGATACGAACCCCGCACCTATGGTGTCAGTCCCCACAACTCTAACCACCTAGCCACTCGGGCTGGCCTGGAGATGTGATGAAAAAACGTTCCATAAAATTATACCAACACTCCTATTACATCATTGTAAAAAAGACGTACACACCCGGGATTCGAACCAGGGACCTCACAATCAAGAGAGGGGGTGCTTATCCATCAGACCACCACCACCATTACTTGAATGGTGAAGAAAAGCACTAGTGCAGTGCTAACCCTAGGCGAACTGCGCATGCGCGATACTACTAATTGATGGGCTGGGCTATTTTTTATGCGTTTGCTCGTGGTATCCCGCTAGTAGCTGGCGAAGTGTCTGACACGGGCTAGCTACAGTAGTAGATAGCATGCGGGAGTCGATAAACGCCCTTCGTTGTGGCTTCTTGTGCCTCCAAGGTACACAGAGCAAGCGGACCCGGTCAGAGGTAATTTGCATATTGGCTTGTTCATTTGGTTTTCATGCCATAACTTCTGAACGCGGCACTTTTACGGCATTTTAAAAATGAAGCGGGTGTAGCGCTGAACCCGTTGGTGTCGCTATTTTACCTGTTTGTCGCGCGTGGTGGCAGAAAACGTGGACGGACGGACAGACTACAGTACAGACAGAACAAAAAGCACTAAAGTGCAAACCCTCGGCGAAGTAGCTCGCAGAGAGTCTGACACGGGCTAGCTACAGTAGTAGATAGCACGCGAGAGTCGATACACGCCATTCGTTGTGACTTCTTGTGCCTTCAAGATAGGCAGAGCAAGCGGACCCGGTCGAGGTAAGCCTGTGCTAAATATAAGCGCATGCGCATTATCCGCCAGCGATAAAATGGCGACTACCGGCAATAGCCGTACAATGGTGGAAGCGCTCTAGCTCTGCAACGGAGCATTTTCAGAGAAAACCGCCTTTATTTTCTGACCTTCGTCGCCCGTTGGGTAGATGGTATCGTTTCTGGGACGAACAGACATTGGAGAGGTGAGATTGAGAGTAACAGACAGACAGACAGACAGACAGACAAACCCAATGAAAAAGCACTGAAGTGCAAACCCTCGGCGCACTGTGACGCGCGCGCGTAAGTAAACGCATGTGCCGTACCACTAATTGATGGGCTGGGTTTAGTTTTAGCTGTTACTCGTGGTCTCTTGCCAGCTCGCGCAGAGTCTGACGCGGGCTAACTACACTACTAGATAGCATGCGAGAGGCGATACACGCCCTGCGTTGCATCTTCTGGTACCTCCGGGGTACGCAGAGCACGCGGATCGGACGTGCCATAGAAAGCCGTTGTGTATTTGCATATTGGCTTTTTCCCGCTCTAGATTAGCAACGGAGCGTTTTCAGAGAAAACCGCCTTTATTTTCTGACCTTCGTCGCCCGTTGGGTAGATGGTATCCTTTCTGGGACGAACAGACATTCGAGAAGTGAGATTGAGAGTAACAGACAGACAGACAGACAGACAAACCCAACTACAGTACCCTCGCTGCGCATGCGCGCCGAGGGTAATGAAAAGCACTAAAGTGCAAACCCTCGGCGAAGTAGCTCGCAGAGAGTCTGACACGGGCTAGCTACAGTAGTAGATAGCACGCGAGAGTCGATACACGCCATCCGTTGTGACTTCTTGGGCCTTCAAGATAGACAGAGCAAGCGGACCCGGTGTCGCGGTACATTTCATCCTCCCGAATTTTTATCCGGGCGGATAGGATATTCTATCCGCACCCGGGATATTTTATACCCGTGCTGTGCGTTATTGGGAGTGTCGAAACGCAGGCGGGGTGTTATTTTGAGGTTCTGTGGAGATTTGAACGTTACAGAATGCGATGATAGCCTTGTTTGGAGTTACACCAGCGGACTGTAGAACACTACCGGATATCCCAGCGAGCGTGGAGCTCAGGTTCGCAGGTGAAGGCGAGCAGACCCGCGCAACCGCTGTGTCTCGAAGAGAAACAGAGTGCAGTCATGAAGCCAATTGTGTCAACGTTACGTCGACCAGCGAATGATTATCTATTTAGAAGGTATGCTCCTGATGGCAGACAGTGCTCAGTCGTGCAGATTCAACTCTGTATGAGCAGCGACGGCGCCAACAAAATGGTCCCGCGCGTTTAGATGCGCAACCGTATGCGCATAAACTTTTCTTATTAGAGGGATAAAATATCCGGACCCCGGATATTCCACACTAAGAGTATTCTATCCGGCCGGATAGAATATACTATCCCCCGGATAAAATATACGGGGGATAAAATATACTGTGACACCGGTCGAGGTAAGCCTGTGCTAAATATAAGCGCATGCGCATTATCCGCCAGCGATAAAATGGCGACTACCGGCATTAGCCATACAATGCTGGAAGCGCTCTAGCTTTGCAACGGAGCATTTTCAGAGAAAACCGCCTTTAAATTCTGACCTTCATCGCCCGTTGGGTAGATGGTATCGTTTGTGAGACGAACAGACATTCGAGAAGTGAGATTGAGAGTAACAAACACACACAGACCCAAGTACCCTCGCTGCGCATGCGCGCCGAGGGTAACTACAGTAACCCTCGCTGCGCATGCGCGCCGAGGGTTAATAAAAAGCACTAAAGTGCAAACACCCTCGGCGAACTGCAAATGCGCGGTACCGCTAATTGATGGGCTGGGCTATTAGTGTGCGTTTACTCGCGGTCTCCCGCTAGTAGCTCGCAGAGACGGGCTAGCTACAGCAATAGATAGCATGCGAGAGTCGATACACGCCATTTGTTGTGCCTTATTGTGCCTTCAAGATACACAACAAGCGGACCCGGTCGAGGTAAGCCTGTGCTGAATATAAGCGCATGCGCATTTTCCGGAGCGATAAAATGCCGTCTACCGACATTAGCAGTAAGATGCCGGATGCGCTCAAGCTTTGCAACGGAGCATTTTCAGAGAAAACCGTTCGAAATTTCTGACCTTCATTGCCCGTTGGGTAGATGGTATCGTGTCTGGGACGAACAGACGTTCGAGAGGTGAGATGTAGAGTAACAGACACACGGACAGACAAACCCAACTACAGTAACCCTCGCTGCGCATGCGCGCCGAGGGTTAAAACTGCAGCTTTAGCACTGACATCTCACCAGAAGGTGGCAGCCCCACGGTTATCATAGAGAGGGTCAGTCCAGGCATTGCCCACCATAAACCCCTTGAGGTTGATGGGGTTGGCTGGACTCATGGAGTTCCACTCCAGCACAGCTCTAGCCAGCCACGGCACATAATGACCTCCATAAGACTGTGCAGAGAGAGAATCACACATGCACACCTCCGTATACCGAGAATACACACCTCTCCAGTTATCCAAAACTCATTGTTGGCAAACTGTTCGTAAATGGCAAAGAAACTGAGGAGAAACTGCAATCTGAGGAGATAAAAGTGAAGCAACTGATAGAAAATAGTGGAGAACATACGTGTCTTGCGTGGTCTGCTGGTCTCCAGTGGTGTAGTCAGAGCGAGTGTCAGAGTACGAGAAACCAACACCACTGCAACATCACACATTGCAAGACAGTCTGGACTCCATAGTTGGCCATCTGACCTTGGTGACTCCAGGAAAATGACATTAGCAACAGTGTTCCAAGAGTATGGGTTCCGAGCAAGGGTCTCGCCATCAACAGGATAGACTGAACAAGATGATGAAACTCACACTCTGCACATGTATTAGGACACGAGTAGGCTCACATGGTCCCAGTTCAGTGAATAAACCAGCAAGGGAGGAGCATCCTGGGCCACCGTTGAGCCTGAAACACAAGCACAATTACTTAGTGCAGCTTGCCTGCCATTTCATACTCACCAGAGAAGTACTGGATCATTGGCTGGATCGTTCTGAGACTCCACAAACCTGCAGAAGACCTCTAGCTAGCACATAAGCTGCTAGCTGAGGCTTACCAGTAGAACAGTCGCCTGCCGTGGCTGCCATTGACTGTGATAAAATCAGCATACTGCGAGAAAGGGATGGTGAAGTTTGCTCCCGGAAGATTGGTGATCTTAGCATCAGAAGCTGGTCGAGAAGAAGAGAGAGATGCAGTAAAACCAGCCCCGCCCCCGCTTAGCAGGCGCGCGCGCGCTCACGTTGTTGGGCGTTGCTTGCAGCAACTAGCAGCAGCAGCAGCAAAAGAAAAGAATGCAGGTACAAATGCATCTTGCACGAGCAAGCTGCCTGCCAGTCAGATCAGATATCCGAGGATGTGTGGAGCACGTGACTGTAATTCCATATGGAGGGAGATTAGTGTCAAAATTACACCATCATACACTCCTTCATTCAGGTATGGTCCCCTCATTCATTCAGGTATGGTCCCCTCACTCATTCAGGTATGGTCCCCTCATTCAGGTATGGTCCCCTCACTCATTCAGGTATGGTCCCCTCATTCAGGTATGGACCCCTCACTCATTCAGGTATGGTCCCCTCATTCAGGTATGCTATCTTCATTCAGGTATGGTCCCCTCATTCAGGTATGCTACCTTCATTCAGGCATGCTATTTTCATGCAGGTGTATGGTCTTGTGGATGTTAGTTTAGTTTCCACTGCCAATTACGCATTATTATGTAATCAGATTTTAATAAAGTCAGATTCTGGATTCTATGAAAGACAAACAATTTACAAACAATTGAACACCATAGTCTGCACAGTCCAAGAGGGGATTGATCTGGCGAGTTAGCTCATCATAAGTACTCTGGCTGAGAGAAATCAATGGAGGTGAAACTTCAACGACTGAATCCCCAGGCATGGGAGGAAGTGGTCCATCCCAATCCAGTCCATACCACGATTGATCCTATATAACACAATCACACAGATTTACATAAAAGATATTTTACTAACCTGTAGAGTTAATTCAACATCATCTGGGTGCTCTCCTGTCATCCACAGCTGGGTAGGAGACATATTACGTTCGGTCCCAAGAGGGTGATTGTTCCACATCTGTATGAATTGTTGAAGACTTCGATTAACACGGGGCAAAAATACATAATGCAGGCAAAAAAGGTGGATTTCATTGTCGACATCAAGGATGTTGTTATCTTCCAAATACGAAAAAAGCTGGTAGTAGAGCATGGTGCATCCACTGAAGACGTCACGCCATAACCGCTCTATACGCTGGTTGTGGACACTTCGTCCACAGAGAAAACTCCCCCTTCCTTCACCACGGTGCACAATCATGTAGTCTGCCACGGCAACATTTTCACCTCCACGGTCTCCGCGGACACGACTTGGGAGACCATAGGTATGAACAGCACCCTCAAAAACCCTGAGTACTGTATTGGCCAGATTATTGTTGGCACAGTGTAGGTATAAGACTAAACGGCTATAGCCATCTATGCCTCCATGGATGATCATTTTCCACCTACAATACAGAGTATAAAAACAAAACGATTATAAACAAACACAGGCCTGACCTTATTAGTTTGTGGTTTCCATCTATGTGCCAGAGGTGTTGAGGGCCCTGAACAGCATATCTCCGCCTATGTGTTCGGTGCAAACGACGCAGTATAGAGCCCTCAGGGTCAACACGTCGTTGTGATTCCCGTACCCGCTGTAATGGAACCCTGATTCCCATTGAAATTAGACTGCCATACACATGACGATTCCCCCACCCTGAAAATTGCACTTGGACAATTGCATCCAACTCTGTATCAGTTATTCTTGAATAAGTGCTACGAACTGACAGATTGAATTCAGTCATTCTCCTCCTTATGGTGCTCACCGAAACACCAAATACTTGAGCTATCTGAGGTACACTGAAGTGCATGGATATAAGTGTGTCCAGTTGATGGTATGATATATTGTAGTAAGGCCTTCCAACTGAACCATCAATGACATGGAGGGGTTGAACTAAAGTAGGTGGAAGCAGCTCCATGTTTTCAACAAGTTCTCTAAGACAGAAGAACGCATGAGCAATGAATGGCATGGCCCGTTGTTCGGCGATCGCTAACTCGCCATCAATCTCTTTCGCCACTAGATCCCTGTACACGAGCTCCACCCTCCACTCCAATGCTTGTGCCCGATCAATAGATAAATTAGAATCACTCGTAATAGAGTCAATATCCGATATTACACTCTGTACAGCCTGGAGTATCCACGAGCTAGCCATACTACTCTATCTAATGCACAGCAAATAAGTGCACATGCGCAACATGGGAAACATTGAACTTTAAACTTCGAACACGTGTCGGTTTTTTTTGCTCTGCAATATGTTTCCTGATCGGCGGGAACGGCCGAGAGACCCGAGAACAGCGTATAACAGCCCTGGACTTTCTCAGCCGTTAGGAGAATCAAGGAGCTATCTAACGCAGGCCGCCTCGTTACTGTCGCCTCCGGGTGTTGTGCAATCTTCATTCCCGACTGTACGTGGTCGGGACGATTTTCATGTTGGCTCTTCTGCTCGCTCGTCGTCGTTATACCGAGAGCGATTAAACATATTTCAGCCTCACCAACGGAGCAGATCGGTGTCAGCTTCTAGAAGGTCGAAAAACGTCAGGAAGCGAAGGATGTGGGAGCACACGTTCGTGTGCCTTGCAAGCAAAGTTCAATCTTCTGTCCCAGGTCCAATTGATCGTGGGCGTTTAATGCAGGCAGGACTTGGGGAAAGGCTTTTAAGCTTTGTTGAGAGTGATGATGCCGAGATGTTGCATGAGGATTTATTGCAAGCTTTTCCCAAACTCCGCGAAGCAGGGGGGTATGAACTCCTCCGTACATGCGATCGAAATGCCCGTTATATAGATGTCATCCCACCCCCTCCATCTGGCTATGACGTTACCTACTTGAAGAGTGTAGCAGGCCAGGCCAAAATATATGTAAGGCCCCTACAGAAGGATTTAGACCTGACACCTACTGGGAAGTGGATACTGTGAGTGTTGAAAATGTGTCCATTGTTGTGTAAGAGGTATGTACAGATTTTGCTCCCCATATAGGGATTTTGCCCTCATGAAACATGCCGGGGTTGCGGATCATCCCTCCCACTAAGTCAGCTGAAGAATCATATAGAATCTTGTCCAGATGTGAAAGATGAAGATTCAGTTTCGACGCCAACGCCACCATCAAGTCCTTGCTCACCAGCTTTTTCCCCTATTACCCCTAAATCCAATGCGAGTCAGGTAGCTATTCATTGAATTTGTGGAACCAGGGTCTTAATGTTCATTGTACAATTCAGGGTTACGAGAGTGCTGGGCAAACTAATCAGAGAAGGGAGTCATACAGGAGGTGAGTTGCTGAAAGACAAACCATGAGTGATTTTTTTTTACAGAGCGGAGCAATCATTTGATGATGACAATGATGATTTTATGTTTCCAGACACTGATGTCACCAATAGACCTATTCTGCAGGTATCCGCATGCATTCAAATTATACTGCAGCTTCTCTGTTTTGAACAATGGCAGAACCGAGAGGAAGCTGATCTTGAAGTCACTGAGGAAATCATGGTGTCTCGGGCAATTAGGGAGAGTACACAGAGCACCAGTGCACCTGAAGTGATTGATCTGTCTGATGCTGATTGGTTAGTGTATTGTTTTTTATAGTAATGTATAATGGTATACATCCTTTTTTGCAGCTTACCAGAGTCACTAAATGATGTTATCAACCACCTAAAGTTGAATGTAACTCAGGAGACACATGAGTATAATGTTCGTCGTGATGAGGTTTTCAGCGACATGATGAGAGAAGCCAAGAAGAGATCTTTTTCTCCATATAAACGAGTGAAGACTTACTTTGTAGGGGAACAAGGGAACGACACGGGGGGTCTTACAAGAGAGTTATGGTGCCTTTTTGCAAGGCATGTCCAACACAACCTTTGTGAGGGCCATGAGAATTGCAAAGTTATAAGACATGATGCTTCTAAGCTGCAGGTAATGTTTATACATCACATAGACATTTTGTAAACATGACTGTATACAGGAGGGTGTTTACAGAAGAGTGGGGGTGCTAATGGGGGTGTCTCTAATTCAAGGTGGCTCTGGGTATCCTTTTTTTGCCCCATCGACATTTTCATATTTGAGTGGTACCGACGTATGCTCCATACTTGTTGGTTGTGATGAAATTCCTGATATAGAAGTCAAGAAAACCTTACAAGAGGTATTTATACTAGATTATAGCTACTAAGTGTATTTTTATACCCTCCTTATAGATTAGATCGGCTTCCGATGACAATGCACTGCAAGAAATAGCTTCCAATGTCTGTGATGTTTTGATCTCTTGTGGCTACACTAAACCAATAGCTCTACTGAAGCATGAAGATATTCCAACAGTTATTGAATGTGTGAGCCTTCACTCTGCCATCCTCAAGGTTTTTAACATACTTGTATATAAAAGGAAAATTATAAATGATTATTTTAAAAGGTCAAGGCGGAGTTGGATGAAATCGGGAAAGGCTTGGCTGATGCTGGAGTGCTGCAAATGCTGCAGAAATATCCTCATTTTTTTCGGTCACTGTTTGTTTATGAAGAGTGTGTTCTCACTGCTGGTATAATATTTAGCTCGCTCTAAGACTATTATAACTTTTGTGTTCCAACATGCAGAAAAGATGATCACTCTGCTAGAGAAACGTACTTTTTCAGAAAATGGGTCATCACAACTGGTCAAGGAGAAGACGACTTATATTCACTTTTGTGATCTTTTGGAGGAGTTGGAAGGTATATAATTATGGCTAAGTTTCTGAAGTGTCATATTCAGCCTATATACACAGGTGGAATTGAGATGGAAGGAGAGAGAATTGTTACTCTAGGAGATTGTCTTTCATTTTTTACTGGAGCACAAAGAATCCCCCCCACTGGATTTATACAGGCGTGCACACTCAATTTTAGCGATTCCAATGTGTATCCAACAGCGTCTACATGTGCTCTAATTTTAACATTACCAACTTTATACCACAATTCATATTCATGTTTCAAAGAAAAAATGTTATTTGCTTTCTGCAATCATGGTGGTTTTGGCCTCTGTTAAAAGTTGTTGTATTGTTGCCTCTTCACAAACCATTCATCACTTATTATGTTTATATTAAATTCAAAACCACGAAGTATATACCTTCATCCACAAGACCATACATCTGCATGAAAATATAATACCTCAATGAGTGAGGGGACCATACCTGAATGAAGGTAGCATGCCTGAATGAAAATAGGATATAATTATATATACCTGAATGAAGGTATATAGCATGCCTGAATGAAGATAGCATACCTGAATGAGGGGACCATACCTGAATGAGTGAGGAGACCATACCTGAATGAATGAGGGGACCATACCTGAATGAGGGAGTGTATGATGGTGTAATTTTGACACTAATCTCCCTCCATAATTCCACGGGGGGATCCGGGATCGGAATGAACTCCCACACCACACGCACATCCGGACAATGGCCTTGAGTGACGGAGAATTGGAGGACTGCTATGAGGCAGCAGTAGAGGCGGCCCAGAGAGCTGGGAAGGAGGCCAGTGCTGCAGTTGTGAGGGAGAAGAATGTCCAGACCAAGTCCTCCATGGCTGATCTGGTCACTGACACTGACAAGAAGGTGGAGCAGCTGATCTTCTCCTTCCTCAGGGAGAGGTTTCCCCACCACAAGTGAGGCAGTGTGTCCTGAGGTACAGTAGTCTGTCAGTGCGTGTCCAGGTTCATTGGAGAGGAGAGTGTGGGAGATGAGGGGGAGGAGCTTACCAACCAACCTACCTGGATTGTTGACCCAATTGATGGCACCACTAACTTCGTTCACAGGTCAGGAAATGGAAATGGCTCAATTTTTAAAAAATCGTCCAATGCTGCAGGTTTCCATTCACCTGTGTGTCCATTGCGCTGGCAGTGCAGCAAGAGGTGTGTTTCCCTACTTTTCTTTGACCCCACTATAATGATCCATCACAGGCTGTGGTGGGTGTGGTTTACAACTTTATGTTAGACCAGATGTTTGCGGCAAAGAAAGGGGGTGGGGCTACGATGAATGGGAAACACATCCATGTGTCAACATGTACAGGTCCGTCAGTAGTTCAAGCTTTGCTGCAGGGTAAGATCCTAAGTCTTGGCTGCAGAGAAGACTCAGGCTCTCGTCCTGACTGCACTTGGACACCAGCGCTCGGAGCAACTCCTGAGATCCAAGGTTGATGCAATGCTGGACCTTGCTAAAAGCCCTAGTCCTGTTCACGGGTAGGAGATATTCTGATATGAGTTAGACCAGGCACTCTGCATGCAAAATGAACTGCAGGATCCTAATGACAGGCTCGGCAGCAGTGAACATGTGTCTGGTAGCCAGCGGCCAGGCTGATGTCTACTATGAGCACGGCATCCACTGCTGGGACATTGCGGCTGGTGACGTAATCGTCAGGGAGGCAGGGGGTGCGACTATGATGCCAAACGGTACGCAGGACTAGCAGATTTGAGAGGCCAGCTATTCTGTTCTGCAGGCAACACTCTGGACCTGATGAAGAGAGGAATTCTCTGCTCCTCCTCTACCCAGCTGGCCTCCCAATTAGTGCCCACCATTCGCCACATATTTCAGAAAGACTGATGACCAGTAATGATAAGTATAAAACTGAAATGAGTCACCACATGTCTGACAGTTCCGCAGTGTGGTGGTGAGGCTTGTGGTAAGGGAGAGGGCCCAGCAATTCCACAAGGTCTTTGTAGTTGAGCACCTCTTGTTCAAGCAGAGCCTCTGCCAGCTGCCGGTAGAGGAGGGAATTAGGGTGTGGTCGGGGGTGTGGTCTTACCTTCTCTAACAGGTGATAGTTTTCTTTGAGCACTGCCTCAGTACGAGTCGTTGCTTCGGCAACCATCCTCCTGACCTGAAAAGAGCTGATTGTCGTCTGAAGCTGAGTGGTTAATTTCTCACACCTCTCTGTCGACTTGAGCAGCCAGCCACTTGCTGTATGGTCGGCGGCCAGCAGTGTTGGAGGAGAGAGAAACGTGACCCACAATGTCGCTCATACCAGCCTCTGCCACCTGCCCGTATGCCAGTCGAGTCACCTTCTGCAGGTCATCTCCAGCTCCTGTTAGTGAGCAGTTCTTTCATTAGGGAATTACTTCATGTCGGCACATACAAAGAAATAGCACATACAAAGAAATAGCACAGTGTGGGAAGTGCATTCCACTGCACCTGTAGAAATCTTTCTGAAGGAGATAGCTTCTGCCATTCTGCCCCCCAGCAACACGCACATTCGATCAAACAGCTACAGTGAAAGCACAAGCACACAAGTGAAGGACAGGCAGACTGAGGACTGGAGAGTTCCGAGAGTGGCTGGCCAAACCTGTTCTTTGGAGAAGAGCCTTTGTTCAGACGGCAGGTGTTGGGCAAACCCCAACACACCCTTTGTCCTCGGAGCAATACTCACCTGAAGAACACTATTACCTCATGTCATGTGACTATCACATGACCCACCTTGAGTACAGGGTCTGTGTGTTCAAGAAGCCAGCCCAGAAGGGCGTGGCCAGCTTCGTGGTAGGCAACTACCTTGCGTTCTTCAGGACTCAGAACTCCAGTCTTCTTCTCCATTCCTGTCGGTGGAGACAGAGTGCGGGTATCAGGGGGTGTGGCAACACACTCACCAGCTACCACCCTCTCCACAGCATACTCAAAGTCCCTCTGAGTCACAGCTGCTCCCTTCTCCCTGGCCGCATGAAGTGCTGCCTCATTCACAATGTTGGCAATGTCAGCTCCTGTATGGAGTGGAGTTACCAGATATTCCAACACGTCCCTGCAGACCCACCGCTGTGACCAGGAGTAAGCGCAGCTAGTCTAGCAGAGTAGCTGACCACTGGACCCTCCAGGAGAACCTTGCGGAGGTAGACATCAAATATTGCTTTCCTCTCGGGCAGAGTGGGGAGGTCGATAGCTATCTGACGGTCGAATCTGCCAGGTCTCAGCAGTGCCTGGTCCAGTATGTCCACACGGTTGGTTGACGCCAGAATCACAACTCTCTGTACCGAGTCAATTCCTGACCAGAGGGGGCAGAGATACCATCACAATACAGCAGTCTCCAGTGAACGGAACGTGTGTCATTCACGCTTGCTCACAAGCATAATGTTAACTACTAAGGTTGCTAGAATGAAACTGACAGGCTACAAATCAGTCAAACTGCAGTGAACTGACCATCCATCTCCACTAGCAGTTGGTTGAGAGTGCTCTCCTGTTCGTGGTGCCCTTCTGCAGCCCTGCACACACACACACATACAGCTCTTACACAACTGTAGTTTGTCTGTACATATGTTATACTCACCCTCCCTTCCTGGACCTGCCCACTGCATCCAGCTCATCAATGTACACCATACATGGGGCAGATTCCCGGGCCTGTCGGAACAGGTCTCTGACTCTGGCACTGCCCACACCTGCCGAGGAAGACATGACCATCTCTCACTGAGGGGATAGCGCTGAACCTGCAAACATCTCCACAAAATCAGAGCCAGCGATAGAGATGAAGGGTACGCCAGCCTCAGTGGCGACAGCTCTGGCAAGGAGAGTCTTGCCTGTCCCAGGAGGTCCATACAACAGAGCTCCCTGTGGGTGGAATGGAACACAGACACTGCTGGTATGGAACAGGGCCACTCACCCTGGGAATCTTGGCTCCAAGATCAGAGTATTTGAGAGGATGTCGTAGGAAATCCACAAACTCCATGACCTCAGCCTTGGCCTCAGTCATACCTGCAACGTCAGTAAACCTGACACTCCCTTGACCTGGTTCCTGAACTACTGTGGTCCTAGCTCTGCTCATGTAGGCCTGGACATGAAATGGAGGGTGAGAGGAACCAAGAGACTTGACTGACTCACAAAAGGGTTGATGGAAACTCCACTGCCGGACTGGCCCGCAGAGCCCGATCCTCGAGGGAACAGGAAATGGAAGACGATCCTCAGAATGAGGAGTGTGCTGAGGGCAGCTAGCACCAGAGCACTGTGGGAACAGCAGACACTATCACACACCCTGGTGGGTCAAAGAGAGAGCCAACACACAATGTATCAGACTGAGCCTTGTACATGACAGGGACCCAGTTGCTGGGAGGAACTCCGAGCTCCTCCTGAGCCGCTCGCAGTCTGGCCTCCAGACTGTCCACCCCTGACACTGTGAACATGAACTGAGGACCATAGCGACGGACCTGGGAGGAGGGGAGGGTAGGCAGGCCCCGCCAGCAGTGTGATCCTCACCTCCCAACCATTGACAACAGCTCCACTGTGCAGGTGGACAAAGACTCGATCTCTCTGAGAGTTGACCACCAGATGGTGCACCTGACAGGAGGGAGACAATAGTTGTCCAATAGAGAAGTAGAGAGAATAGTTGTGCACTAGTGAGGTAAGGACCTCTCCTGCATACAGCATGTGCTGCAAGAAGAATGGGAAGGAGATTTCTGGAACTGGCTCCACAGAGGAAGTCAGGAGATAGGCCAGCACGGCTACAGCTGTGTAGAGAGGGAGCCAAGACCACTGGTGAGGGTCTCTGCTCCCTCTCCCTCCCTCTCCTCCTCTCTCTTCCTCTGGGAATGGCAGTGGGTGTCCTGATATAAAGACAGCTGCAGCTACCATGGCACTGGCAACTGGTTTACTCACTTCTGCGGTAGTTACTGTCATTGTGAGCCCATCTCCATCCCAGAGCGGCTGTCAGCTGTGTGTGTTGGCTGTAGTGAGGCAGTGAGAGCCAGAACTGACGGGGGGAAAGAAAGTTAGAAGGTTTTGGAAAAGTCAGAGGGTTGTAGCTGGAGGTAGCCAACACAGACTGCCTTCTGCCAATCGCTACCAGAGGAGACAATCCTGTGGGCAAAAGGATGAAGCTAAAATACGGAAGACATGATCCAAGTCAGTGTAGCACTCACCGTAGGCGGCTCCTCTCCTCGCGAGATACAACGGAATTACCGCCATGTCGAGTCAGCATTGTTTGGGCTGAGTCAACACGTTGTTGTTCTCTGGGTGGGGAGCAGTTGGGGAGATGTCTTGGAGCCAGCCTCCCTACGTGAGTTGTAGAGTACCTATCACTCGTTCCTAGCTTACACTGGAGCTGTATCTTTGTCCAGAATCCAGCTTACTCCCTGCCGTCGGCCGCGGCCAGTGGGGCACAGCCGTTCCCTCCGTCCTACTCCTTGCCTCCTGCTCCTCAGCCAGCGACCGAAGCTGCAGGACCTCCTCCTGGAGTGAACCCTGAGCTGTGGGGGTGGTTCCAGGTGAGACTGACCGTCTCTACGTGTAAGTTACTAGTGCGTCTACATATGCCTGCAGTCAGTGGATGCTGACAAGTCAGGGAAGATCTCAGCCATGGAGCTGCGGCAAGCTTTGGTTAACAGCAACTGGAGCCACTTTAACCAAGAGACATGTCGACTCCTCATTGGCATGTTTGACCAGAACAGGTATCTACTAGCTAGTTGAGCTGAAATGTTGATCAATGAGTCATCTCTGTCAGAGATGGCACCATTGATGTGTATGAGTTTGCAGCTCTGTGGAAGTACATTCAGGAGTGGAGGCAGTGTTTTGACAGGTATGTTTGCAATGCAGAGTGTTTGGTTGTGTGGGTGAGTGAATGACTGCAGATTTGACAAAGACAGATCAGGAAATATCGATGCTTCAGAGCTCCAGCAAGCCCTCAACTCATTTGGATACAGACTGTAAGAAAGACATTTGAACAGCTGTTACTGTCTCTCTCTCTCTCTCTCTCTCTCTCTCTCTCTTCAGTTCCATGCAGTTCTGCTTCCTGTGTACACGTGTGTTTGATCGTGGAGATACTCGCACCATGAAATTTGATGACTTCATCCAGTGTTGTGTCATGCTGCGATCTCTGACTGAAGGTTTCAAGCGACTTGACACCAATAGAAGTGGTGTTGTTACCATAAATTATGAACAGGTTAGTCAAGCCGCTCTCACTACTCTTGATTTGACACTAACTTCTTCCACTGTAGTTTCTGGAGATTGCAATAGACAATACCTTGTGACATAATAATACTGGCAAGCAGGAGCACTGTTTTGTCGTTTTATAACATGTTTTATGTTAAAAGTGAATACGTAGTGAAGAAAAATTTGGTGCTACACTGTAGTCATTTTACCCTCGGCGCGCATGCGCAGCGAGGGTTACAGTATTTGGTATGTCCGCTGTCCGTCTGCCACACCACACGCGACGAACAGGTAAAATAGCGACATCAACGGGTTCAGCGCTACACTGGCTTTATTTTAAAATGGCGATTTTCGTGTAAAAGTGCCGCGTTCAGAAGTTTTGGCATGAAAACCAAGTGAACAAGCCAATATGCAAATTAGCACAGGCTTGGTCCGCTTGCTCTGTGTACCTTGGAGGTCACAACAAAGGGCATGTATCGACTCCCGCATGCTATCTACTACTGTAGCTAGCCCGTTTCAGACTCTCCGCGAGCTACTCTAGCGGGAGTAAACACTACAAATAGCCCAGCCCATCAATTAGCGGTACCGCGCCGAGGGTGCTAGTATAGTGAGCCACGCCCCTTGTTGGCTTGTTGCATGCTAGATAATAAATAGCTGGAACCTGCGAACTTTTGACCCCGAGAACCGTGGCGATGGCGGAAGACGAAGGCTTGGAAGCGATCAGAGCTAAGAGGCTGGCAGAGTTACAGGCTCAATATGGCGGAGTAAGTGGTGGTTTCTTACGAGACACGCTGTAAACTCGTGTCTAGGGACAGCGTGATCAGGAACAGAAGCAGCAGGCGGCAAAGACGAGGTGAGCTGACACGCTGCCACTGTCAGTCATGAGTCACTCGCTACTCTCCCATTAGAGAGGAAGACATGAAAAACTCAGTGTTGTCACAGATCCTGGAGCAAGGAGCCAGAGCAAGATGTAAGCCACACCCATTGGCCACACCCACAATCACCTCTACTCCCGCAGTGAACAGCATTGCTCTGGTGAAGCCGGACAAAGCCAAGTCTGTTGAGATGATGTTGATAAGGATGGCCCAGAGTGGCCAGATATCGGGCAAGGTGTGTTTCCTCCCAGGGCTTGCTGATACTGCTCAGCCTTTTTAGATTGAGAATAAGACATCGCCACGTGACATGGCTGAACCCACCAATAAGAGGCACTTTTTTATCCCTAATGTTTACCACTGCAATGTAGACAGCACGTGCACATAAACCTATATACATGGATGATAGTTTGTGTTTGGTGCAGGTAGGGGAAGGTCAGTTGGTTGAACTGCTGGAGAGGATAAATCAGCAGACACAGAAATCTACCAAAGTCAAGGTTAGCTAACAACAATAATTTATGCAAGGATTACTTCTCTCATGCAGTTCGAACGAAGACGTCAAGATTCAGATGATGAGTTCTAGATGAACATTTTTCAGTTTTGTTCGTAGTTTTTATCATCAGTGGACACACATTCTATCACTGTTTGCTGCGAGGCAGTTGCCAGCAACCTTTGAAGTTGGTGTGCGCGGTCCAAGTTGCGTTGCAAGCGCAGAGCCTCATCCCTGACTCGCTGCACCGCTTCCCTCAGTCTCGCTACTCTCTCCATTATCCACGACTGCGTGTCTCGTGTTCTGCTTTGAACTTGGAATGTGATCAAGACAACTGAACTGCAAAAAGTTGGGCGGAGCTCGACGCGTTAGTCACATGCTTGCCTTGTGCACATTCTACCCATACCGGCACCATAACCATCTCTACATCTACTACGCCAGCCGCTATGAAGAGCCCCGTTGCCGTGTTTCTCCTGGTCGTAGCTTCAGGCCTGCCTTGCTGGTCCCGCGAGAGAGATGGCGAGATCAACTTCCTGGTGTTGGGAGACTGGGGAGGCAAGCCAGAATCTCCCTACACGACTGACACAGAGCGAGAGGTTGCCGATCAGATGGGAACGACAGCCGCTGAAGTTGGATCCTTGTTCACTATGGCCTTAGGAGACAACTTCTATGACCTTGGAGTGAAGGATGCCAGCGATCCTCGCTTTCAGAATACGTTCGAGGTAGGTTTGCAGCAGCAGTCCGAGATATGTAGTGATGATAATAATATGGTTACCTGGTCAGAATGTGTTCACGGCTAAGGCTCTCCAGTCTCGGTGGTACGTTGTGTGTGGAAACCATGATCACTATGGAAATGCATCAGCAGAGGTTGCGTACACCAAGATGTCCCAGAGGTGGTACATGCCTGAGTTCTATTATACTGAGGTAGGATTGTCCCACTGACTGCACAAGCTAGTCCGCGCCCTCCCTCCCTCATAGGTGTTCTCAATACCAGGCACAGGCGCTAATCTCCAACTGGTGATGATAGACACAGTGTTACTGGCTGGTCTCACCCACCCTGTGCTCAGGGAGCTGCCTCCCTCAGGACCTGCCTCTCTGAGCAGAGCTGAGGACCAGTGGCAGTGGATCCAGGAGACTCTAGCTTCCTCCACAGCAGACTGGATCATTGTGGCTGGCCACTACCCTGGTATGGACCACACATCTTTACTTTCATACCTCCATATATTATACCTCCCGCCGACATAGTGTGGTCAATAGCAGAGCATGGACCAACAAGCATCCTTGTGGAAAAACTGCGTCCAATGCTTGAGAAATACAATGTGTCATCGTAAGTCTCAGTGTGTGTTGCAAGTTCATTTGAACACCGTGATCCCTGCAGGTATTTGTGTGGCCATGACCACAATCTCCAGCACATCAGAGAGAGCTCCAGTCCAGTGGACTACTTTGTTGTTGGAGCGGGTCACCTGACGGACCCCTCCACCGCCCACGAGGTTGGGAAAGAATGCAGCAATACAGCACACCATTTCTCACAAAACTCTGTTACAGAAAGACATTCCTCCTGACTCCCTCAAGTTTCACTATGGAGTTTTCGATATATCCGAGAGCCACGGAGGCTTTGCTACAGTTGGTATAACTAACAAAATCATGACAACCACCTTCTATGATGCCAAAGGTAAATGGTGTATATACTACGATGACATTTTTACAAACTGTCTTTCATAGGAAACAAGTTGTACAGTGCAAACACTGCTCAGACTAGGAGCATCATGTAATGTACGCTACAAAAGGCACTCCAAACTGCTATATTATATCATATTGTATTATTATGTCCTATTTAGCAGAGTCCCTATATTTTTTGTGACGTATCACATGTTCATTTATGGACGTGCTGGTCCCTGTGTACTCAACTTATTGAGTGTGGTCCTCACTAACTTCTGCATTTCCTCTGCTCTTTTCCTGAGATAAAGTCTCATGAAACTTTGGAAAGAGTGTAAAACCTGTTATACCTTCCTGTCACCATGACTTCCTCATGAGTGGGTGGGATTGCCTCACTATCATTGTCCAAGACGACTTTGTTGGTCACAAGGGACAGACCTGGAGGGACACACAGCCATGTCAGGGAATGAGGGAGAGCAGAGCAAGCTAACCCAAAACTCTCATTCCACTGTGCTTAGCGACAATCACTTCAGGGGCCGTGCTCATCCCAACAGTGTCTCCCCCGATCTTGTGCAGGAAGCGTGCTTCAGCTGGTGTCTCATAGTTAGGCCCAGTGATGTGGATGTACACACCTTCCTGCGGAACAACTTGCTGCTGTGCAAAGAAACTCTTGTGCATGACTGACCCTCATGTACTGGCCCATTCCCAGCTCCTGTGCTGTCTGGAGGATCAACTGCCTCAGCTGCTTGTCATATGCAGTTGTGAGGGCCGGGAAACGGAGGCCAAACCTGAACAACAGAAACAGAAGCTATAGGCATCAGGAGTCTGGAGTGCTTTTCACCTGGAGTCGTTGGGCCCAATGAGAGGGTTGACACCAGTCATCCCTGCCAGGTTGATATGGTCCTTAATGACCATGATGTCTCCTATATTGAAGGCAGGGTTGAGTCCACCAGAGGCATTGGTAACTAGTAGTGTTTTCACTCCCAGCAGGTGCATCACACGAACCGGCATTGTCACCTGCAGAACACCTGAAGACTGCTAATCCACAAGACCTGCAACTCACTTGCTGCGCAGAGTAGCCCTCGTAGCAGTGAAACCTGCCTTGCATGCAGACTGTAGGCTGGCCTGAGAAGCAGCCGAATACCAAATTCCCTGCATGTCCCTTAACTGAGCAAACAAGATCTCAGTTTCACTCCGTAACAAGCACCTCTAGCGCAGCACACACCTGAAACTGCAGGGAAGTGAGGAATATCGCTGTAGCTGACAACACGAGGCGCAGGCTCTGCGTCTAGCTGCTCAGCCAGTCCTCCCAGACCAGAACCACAGATGACTCCAAACTCGGGCTTGACACTAGTCTGGCTCTGGATGTAATCTCGAGCCTCCAGCAGCTGATCATAGTCCACCCTAATTATACCAGAGTTGAGCTCTGAACGTCGTACGACCAAGGAAAGAGGGCTAGCCTGGCTTCACTCATGTTTCGGGCACACTCTGGCGAGCCTTCTCTCTGCCTCTTCGCCCCGAAGACAACTTTCTTCTTTCTTTTCCTTGAGTGGGCAAAAAGTTGGTATATAGCAGCCAAGGAAACAGTGCACGCCCTAACGTGACGCGTAAATCGATCCAAATGGCGGCGTCTTGTTCCTTTGTGACAAAGTCCCTGAATTATTCTGTTCACCTCCCAGTGTCGAAGAAGGCCCCAATTCTCATGATATGTGTTCTACTGCTGTCAGCACTGTCGGCGCTGGAGCTCAGCCCTCACAGTCCTTCTCTTGCGGACAAAAACAACGTGTTCAACTCTCTACTGGTGAAGTGGAGCTGGGGGTGGTCTCTACTGTGTCTGCTGCCTACCGTTACCCTCACTGCCTCTCTGTACACTGGGCTGCGGTGGAAAGAGGTGTTGGGTCACCTTGCTCGACTTGCCGTGGCGCACTGCATATGGTTCCTAGTCACAAATGCATTTGTGTTTGTAGATTCAGCATTAGGGACATGTTCCGATGGGTCAGGATCAGGCAGGAGAGAATGCGTGCAGGGGAAGGGTAGCTGGCACGGCTTCGACATCTCTGGACATGTCTTTCTCCTGACGTACTGTGTGTATGTTCTGACTGAGGAGGTTGCTGGGTTGAGATGGGAAGTTTGGGGAACGTATATGGAAAGTCTTGGGCGGCAAGAGAGGATAGTGAGCAAGTTGAGTTTGGCCCATGAACAGCTGCCTTACATACACCTAACCTGCACCCCAGTGGCTCATGGTCTGGAACTTTTTGCAGCTGCTCTTATGACCATATGGATTGCTATGACGATGACCACTTCTTTATACTTTCACTCCCTGCCAGAGAAGGTCTTGGGTGGACTGCTGAGTTTTCTAGCATGGCTGCTGACCTATGGCTGGCTGTATGGGAGGAAAGGCGCACCTCATAACCCAAGTCATGGTTTTCTCTCTCCTTTCACACACAGCCAAAGATAATGATTGTATATTACATACAGATCATAAGATTATCAGTTTTGTGAATAATTATTAGTCAGAATCGTGGGCTGTAGTTGCCTCTCCACTGTCCAGCAGGATGGAGGGGTAGGAAGATGGCCACGCTGAGCTGGAGACAGAAATGTGCAGCCCCTGGCCTGCAATGCTCACATTCAGCTCATGAGAATCATCCTCCAGAGCTGAATGAACCTGCGCATGTCAGCTAATAATCATGTGCAGGTCACAGGTTATTGTAAAGGTACATGTGAGAAGCTCCCAGCAGTATGTTGGATACTAGGCACAGGGAGAGATGAGTGTGCCACTGTGTGCTCCAGCAGCAAGTCTTGATCGTCATCTGTCAGATCTTCCTCATGGGTCAGTCTGTGGAGTAAACATGACAAGTGAAAGGAGATACCAGCTGGTCTCACTGGTGGGAGTGGGGAAGAAGGTGGTGGGAGTGGGGAAGAAGGTGGGGGTAGGGCCACAGCGGAACTAGAGGTCTCAGGTGCAGGTCTTTGAACTCTCCACCAGCTTGGTCAGCGAGGGAGGTGTCTGAGGCAGATGAGGATGCAGGCGACTGGGCACCTTCACTGTATGGAGGAGTACTGACAATGCTGTAGTCACGAGGGGTGCAGTAAGAGGCTGGAGGGGAAGAAGTGGCCACAGACGGAGATGGATCCAGAGGAAAAGCAGAGTCCAGTTTAGGTCCAGGACCCCCAGGCAGATGCCCAGTGTCTTGTGCATGAAGCAGAGACCCTGCCAGCTCTGCTGCACTAGGCAGCTCTTCATCTTCCTCCCTGTGCTCTGTGGGGTCTAGGCTCATCTTGACAGACAAGGCACTCAGCAGTGGCTGCAAATGCTCTGCAAAACCAGGCAGCAGCTCACAGTGGAGGCTGGGAGTAACGATTGGCTCATGGGGAAGCCCCTTGCAGGCGGCTTTGACATCCTCAGCTCTGTTAGCAAGAGGTTCCTGCTCATAGAGAGCTTGAAGAGGATCACAGTCTGAGATTCTGCGGCAGTCTTCCAACAGTCTCCTGCACGTCTTGCGAGCTCCACTCAGGGACCTGAGAGTGGGAGAAAGGTTAGCATGGGTTCTTGTGGTAAACAGCCCAACCTTAGTTGGGCCCGCAGTATGCAGGCTTGCTCGTCCGACCAGGCCTGGATCTTCTCCACTTCGCTTGCCCTCTTTTGTTGCAAAGCGTCTATAAACTTCCCATAGTGGAGATGGACACGCATCTCGCTGCGCTCTCTCCTGCGCTCCAGCTGCTGGATACTGGCGACAACTGCTGCCTCCCCAGCCTCCAACTCCTTAAGCTGCGTCTCCACCTCCGCATGCAGCTCTCGCACTGCTTTTACCGCTGGCTCACATGCTTCGGTAGCAATCAAACACTTGTGAGACTTGTGTCGGCCGTACAACTGGCAGTAGGCACACACCAGCTGCTGGCACTCCTGGCAGTAGATGCGTTGCTCGTGCTCGTGCTCCTGACAGTAGTGCTGGGTGGTCTTCTCCACTCCTTCTTGGACACCAAGCAGTGCAAAGTTCTTGGTTAGGTTCGCCACCTCTCCCCCCGGAATGTGGTTAGTGCTCTTGCACACCGGGCACGTGACCTGCTCTGAGGGACCAGGGCAGTGGTGGTGATGCGTGTGTGAACCAAGGATCCGCCTCCCCCAATAGTTAGTGAGCAGCTCCAAATGCAAACCGTAGCCTTCATCCCTCGACCCACCGTCGCTGTCCTCTCCCTCCACCTCCAGCAGGCGTCCCAGACACTCTGCAAAGACGTAACTGAGTGGTGTACCTCCAGCCCAGTGGCTGGCGTGTGGCCCATTATTACCTGTGCAGAAGGAATGTCCGCAGTGAAGAATCCGTGGAACAAGATCAGTATCACTGTCACTGTATTCTCTGTAGCAGACGGGACAACACACGCTCAAAGATGAGCCAGCTGCTGCTGACGTCGCCATCTTCGCGAGCTAACTTCGTGTGGACGCGTCTTCTGGGCCCTGCCCACTTTCGCGACAGTGTTCCGCATGCGCATAACTCAACGCGTATAAAAAACAACACACAACTGATGCACTAGGCCAAATCAGGGTGTTCAGGACATGTCTGACTGACTTTGAACCACTTCTTGGCACACCTATAATAAGGGGACCAGAATAAATCTTTATGACATACATTCCGTACATACTTGAGATGGTAGATACACAGGCATGGAAGCCGGACAATCTCTTCTCCTTCGAGAATTGAGAGAAAGCTGTAAAATCTAAAGAAATGGCAGTATATCATGGATTACCTGGTACCATGTCATCAAGGCAGATACTGCACTCTCCAGAGTCCTGTGCAAGAGTGTCAACTGGAAACAAGAACAGAGGAAAGTGAGGCACATGTGAAACAGAACTCTCACCATTGTAAGTGACTCGAGGACGACTCATGCACTGAGACATGTGAGCCTCCATTTCCGACGATGGAATGTCTTTGGAGCACACAGGACACTGCAGAGCTGCAGCAACACTCAACAGTGGTGACGCGAGAGAGAGAGAGAGGACACCTACTTGGAACAGGTCTGAAGAAGAGGAGAGGGAGCCCAGCAGGGAGTGAGGACGGATGGAGGGAAGACTGAGACCTCTCTCGTGCCTCGGCCCTCGCCTGCAGTCGCTGCTGAAGTGTGCTGAGAGCAATGTTGAGCTCCAAGAACTGTTCAGCAGGCGTTCTTGGGGAAGACCTAAGAGAATGTCGCTCCTGCAGTCTGCTGCTGGCAGACTGGCTGTGTGTTCTGGGCACTGGTCTCATGTGTGGATAGTTAGAGAGGGTGGGGAGGCGAGGCAGGGGAGAAGCATCTTGAGAAGATGACTGAGGCGGGTCGTGGTGTAAGGAATGGGGTGGACTGGAGTGTCTTGGGGAGGAATGATGCTGAGATGAAGATGAACGGTGAGTGGTGGCACTAGTAAGGCGGGGAGAGATATCCAGTGGGGCAGGGGTCGGCTCCTGACTCTGACGACCGCCCATTTCCAAAGGACAATGTCAGACACGCACGGACTTTCGATAGTGATCCGTTCAAACGGGGACCGGATGTTTCCGCTGCTTTGGGGGGGAAAGACAGTCGTGTTCCTACGTTAACGCCGCGACGAGACCGGCTCATAGCGTGCGAGGACACACTGCGGTAGGTCAGGATCCCAGTCCTACAGTCAACAGTCACACAATCTTCTTTATACTTGGCGTAAACAGGGTCCTTATTACGCATGCGCAGAAAGAGTATATACAACAAAAAAATTTTCATAGTGCACCGACGTCGCGCATTATGTTAAACACCACACTGTTTCCGAAGATAAAAGAGCCCAGGACCAGGAGACAGGTGCATACTAGGACCAGAGCAAACAAGAGTCGCCTCTGCAAGTTAATCTGTCTGCCCAGTGTCAAGTGCAGCCAACACATTGCTGGAGAATGATGCAATTCAGTATTAGGTTGTTGGTTATTATAATGTACTGTTGTTACCTGGGAATACAAACATGAGTATTGCAGCAAGACCACCAATAGGGTTGATAATGGGTGATATGTCTGGTACAAACAGCGCAAGCAGAAGAGAGAGAAGGAGCCACGCTGTGCCTTCGACCCCCAGTCGTACTCTCTCCCACCATCTGTAGCTGCCCAGTGTCACTGGGAGGCCTGGGGACAGTCGCTGCAGCACCTGCTGCACTCTGCTGTCCAAAGAACTTCTGAAAGGGGAGACACAGATACGCATAAAGATGAAACAGAAGACTAGAAAGTTCCATTTTGAGGGTTTTCTGCTATATAATATGATGGGGAAGCACAATAATTATACCTTCCACAGAAGGCGAGAATGGGATATGAGGTAATCATGACTAGTATGAGCATCACACGAGCCACATCAATGGCTGGGTCTTGTGGGCAGTAGTTCCTGAGGATGTCGGCCTCAATGCAGGTGTATCTGTTGTAGGTGAGGAAACCAAAGACTCCCGTGAGACAGTAGACCACCAAACACACTGCCAGAGCCACAGCCACCAGCGGCAGGTAGGCCCGCACACTCCTCCTTTTGAGTCCAGCATACACAGGAACTGATGACACATGACACTGAATTATAGGTACATGGGAGTTTGTGTCCACATGGTATTGTGTTTCCACCCAACCTGGTATCCAAAGCAGATGAAAGGAATGGCTGTGAAGAAGTCTGGCCACTGTCTCTGACAATGCCTGCACACAGATGGAATACGACAGACCTTAGGACTGTCCCACTCACTGGAGGGAAGTGGTATCTCTACAGGTCATCATGTCTGCAGGACTCTGGTCACCGTAGGAGACAAAGTACCGCACAGCCACCACAACAGATATGTACACACAGCACACCACACCCAGAGCACTGTGCCAGTAGGTTCATAAGCCAATGTTTGCCATGAACCATGTTACCTGGTGTAACTGAGTACGCCAATCCTCTTCATCCATAGCCAAGGCAAGATAAAGAGTAGGGCAGCCAGAGAGATAAGAAGTCTTCGGTCCACCCACCACTTATGGGTTAGTGGCCGCCCATCTACATGCACTGCTGCAGACACTAGTGTAGTGAGGTTCATGACAATTTTATTGCAGACTGACTGAACTCACTCACAGTCTTGCAGCTGGTCGCCAATAACTACCAGAAATGTAATGCTGGTACCAAAGGTATAGACAATGATGCAAGTGTCCACTATAGCTTTAGCAACCTTTCCACAAGCCTTACCGACGACTTCCTCATACGTGGAGGCCTGCAGAGTTTCTGCTAGATGGGCCAGAACTATCAGTCCCAGAGCAATCCACACCAACAGGAACTGCAGTTCAGGGGTTCAGAATTACAATAGGCTCTGATTATTGCAGGCTAACCAGTGTCACCGACAGAGCTGGCAAAACCCCTCCTGCCAAATGGAATGCAAGAGGGAAAGTCAGCAGGCCTGCGCCGAGAGCAGCATTGACGATGATGAAGACAGCTCCGAACGGCGAGGTCTTTCCCTGTGGCAGGCGAACCTCCCATTCCATCTCCCCTACTTTCTCCTGCACATTTCCTCCCAGCAGAGGCTGGCATTCATCATCCTCTTCTGGCATGACCTACCAAAAACAATAAAACCATGAGAGGGCCAGGAATTTTCAGCTCCACACACCCGCAGCTTTTCTTTATTCTCCATTGGTGTGGTGGGCTATTTTTGGAACACGCGTGACGGTGCGGTGCTGTGACAACTTCCGGTCGGTCCGCGGTCATCGCGCTAGCTGTACTATCCGCTGTCCTATATACGACCGACGGCACTCACTCGCACGATTGCTGGTCGGCTGAAGGCATTGCATGCACCGTTTTATAGTTTCCCACTGAGTGGTGGAGTGGAAGTGGGTCCGTTCTTCATGTAGCAGTATCTGCTGCAGTTCCCTCGGGGTCTTTTGAACGGTGACTGGCACGCGACGTGAGGAGCTGAGCAGAGGAAGCGGACAGATCCACGCAGCGCAGTTGTAGCCGATGGCCAGTGAGAGCTCGGAAATAGTAAAGAGAGGCTATCTCTATGACAGGAAAGGCATTCTGGTATGTTTCTATATGAGCGTTTTCCGGAATGTAATAGATATCAATTTTCTGGCAGGACCGAAAGCGTTGGTATGTAATACGGAGGGATGTTGCCCGCGGTTCGTGTCTCATCGAGATATTCAAAGACGAGAGAGCAGCAGCTAGAATGGAGTCACCCAAGGCAGCCATCAATGTCCATGACATTGTCGAAGTCCATCGGGTGGTTGAGCGTAAACAGAGTTTTGAGTTGTTGTGTCCAGGACTAGGGTATCGGTTCATGGCTAACTCGGATGTGGAGGCAGATGAGTGGGTGACAAGCATCCGTGGCCTCATCCTGTACCGCAAGGAACCTCCGAGCCTCTCTTCAACTCTGCCGTGCCACACACAACCTGTTGCAATCTCTCAGTCTGCCCGAACGATGCCGCCCCACTCCTCTCTATCTGACACCGGCAGTCTGCACCGCAGCCATTCTTACACCTCCTCCTCTCTGCCAACTCCCCCTGACCTTGCCTCGTCTCCCTCTACCCACCTCTCCAGTCACTCCTTTAGCAGAGGAAACAGCACCGAATTGGTTCCTTTTCCTGGCCCTTTTAACTCTTTCCCTCCCCCTCCCTCACCTCCTTCCTCTTCATCAGCTTCGGGGTCTTCAATGGCGAGTGGCTCCAATGCCAGCTATGACCAGGGAGTTGGTGGAACTGCTGATATGGACACTGATGTCAGTGAGTATCTCTAGCCCATAGCTACAGCTGCCTGCTGAGCAATGGTGCATGTTGTGTGAGTAGTTCTCACCGCAACCTTTGGTTCTGTGTGGTCAGACAATCTCCACCTCACACTAGGGTTCAGAGTGCAGGTGAAGGAGTCAGAGGCTCTGACTGTCAGTGGTGGTGCAGCTGACCTTGTCGTGGGTGATGGTAGACTGGCCTTACACACGCCTGACACTGGTATAATTATAGTACATAGACCAACCAACCTTGGTGTGTTTGGCGAATGGTCTTACTGCAGGCCGAATGTTGGTGTGCTGGCCTATTGCAGCTCTTCGTCGCTATGGCGTCAATAATGTCAGCCTCACAATAGTAACTGGCAGGTCAGTGAATGTTGCTATGGTGTGCCAAGTTTCCCTGGTGGTGCTCAGGAACTGCTCTACTGGGGAAGGGAAGTTTCAGTTTTACACCCAGCAGAGTCGCAGGGTGTACAATCATCTGCATGCTATGGCAGTCACCAAGGCAGCCAACAAGACACAACCTCTGTACAGGTCAGGCTCAGAGGTAAGTGTCTTTGAGTATTGTCCTTGTGGGGTGGTGAGCCAAGCCTGTTGTTAGGCTGTGGTTCATGGGCAGGCGAGTCCAGCGAGCAGCCAGACAGACCACTCCCCAACCCAACCCACTGCCAGTGAAGACTACTCTCGTCTTAACTGGCCAACTGGAACTGGGGCAGTGGACGGAACTTGTGATTTTTCTCATTCCACATCGACTCTCTGTTGATGTCTCTCTCTCTGTGTATGTGTGTGTGTCTTTGTGTACTTATTCAGTTTATTGTAGCAAGTGAAATGACTGGGCTATAGTGCTACACAAATGGACAGCTATAGGAGTTTAGGGAGTGAACGTAGTCTTCCTAGATCCAGGACTATGTGGTTGTCGGGGTGACACGGCAGTTGGAGGTAGCTGCCTGACTCAACGTTTGTTGTGTCTGTGGAAAAGATTCAACTTCACCGGTTGAGGAAATACAGTGTTACCTGCTGAGTGACTATTCACATATTTCATTGTGATGACATCAGCTGCGTGAGCTGTTTCGTCGAGAGTAGCTTCTGAACATGTTGTAACTGAGGCTCTACTGAAGGAGGGAAGAGTTAGACGTGATGGTAACAGACACACCTGGACTCACATTTGTGGAATAGGGAGAATGGAAAGCTCTGGACGAACTTTGTATTCTGACTCGCCCTCGTTGCCATGGGTCACTCTCCTGGCTTCCTCCTTTTCCACTGGAGTTTGTAGCAGTTCCTGCACACTTTCCTGACACAATAAACAATGACGTGGCTATCAGGCACAATATGGAGCTCTGATTAGGCCCCTAGAAACGTTTAATGTCGCCATGCAGAGAACTAAAAAAAACTGCTCAGGGCACCGAAAAAAGGTTGGACACTCACTAGCATGTTCCGGTAGAACTGCCTGCTGTTGAGCACACAGTTATTTTCTGCAGCAGTTGACACACTGTCCTCACAATTGTTCTCCAGACTGCTAGCTGGCAAGTACACATAGACAGACATTATAGTTATTGCAGTAGGGGAAGTGGTTTACCGAAACTGCACAGGTCAAGGTTGATGGAGCTGGCACCAGGAACAGAAGTCTCAGTTTTGAGGCTGACTTCTCCAGTGGCCACACTGTGCTCCACACCAGTCACTGTAGAGTTAACACTGGGGGCAGCAGATCCCAGCTGGCCATCATGAGCACTGGGGTCAGGATTAGCATTTTCAGGAGAATGGAGTAACAAGAGACTAAGGCCTGTGTTGGTTCCTTTGTCGGCCATTGCAGGTGTTTGGAATGGAATGTTCAACTCCGAGTGTTTCTGGAGGTATAATTGTACAGTTTTCAGATGATAGTGATAATTATTTAAAATACCTGTGGCTGTTTGTCAGAGGATTGAAGGATCTTCTCAGGAAATACTGTCAGTCCCTGTGTCACATGGCTAGTGTCGGGGGTCGCAGCAGGTTTTAGCTCAAAAGTGGTTCTTGGGCACAAGTCAAGGGAGCCTTGGAGGCTTTTCTCCAGGAAGCTGACAGCAGAGAGTTGGGAGACCTTTGCTAGGGTTGGCAGAGGACATGGCTGAGGTGGTGTAGTGCGATATTCACTGGCAGAGAGATGATGATGACGTGGGGGGACCTGCTCATTGGGGAAGGTGGGAGAATGCAGTGGAACCAGCTCTAGGAGTGGTGGACGAGACTGTGAACATAACTATACAGAGGAAGAGCAACAGTATTTCCTTCAACCCACTTTCCAAAATTCCAGACCTCAAGTTCTAGCTCCGCAGTAGAGTAAGTGAAGTTGTCCTCAATGTGGTGGTCAAAGTGAAAGAGAGTAGGCCGATTGCTAGAGGAGTAGACCAGGCACAGAGAGCCTTTCCCTGCTCTCCTCGTGAGCTGTTTGGAGTGCTTGTAGTGCAGCAGCGTGGCCCACACAGCTGGGTGCGTACAGCTACTAACTCCACTCACCCAACTAGCAGCACAGACAGGGAGATGAGGCAAGTGTAACGCAGTGTCAGTCATGGTACTCACACTCCAACCAGAGGAACACCCTGAGACTTGGGGTCCGAGTTTAGCAAGAGAACCAACTTCCTGGTGATTTCCATGGTCAAGTATCTACAACAGGAATGTAGTGACTGAAACAGTGGCTCAACGGTCAGTCGGTTAGACCACTCTCACCCCCACTTCACAGACGCCTGGAGCAGGGACAGAGGGTGGGGTCCAGCCAAGTTCTGTGCTAGAGCTGTCGGGACTATAGGGATGGCATTAACAGGGGTGAGAGTGCACGGTCCTGGATACACACAGCAGCCTATGCAAAATAAGCTCATAATATGAGAAGCAAGGCCAAGTCAGTACGTACATGTGAGAGAGACAAGTGGTTCCGGATTGGCAGAGTCAGCGACAAGAGTTGAAATGTGAAGCTGCAGGTGAAGCAGACTGGGAGGAGAGAGAGCTGATGTTTCCAGCCTCTTCAGCAGCTCTTTCTCCGCCAGAGGTTCAGTGACACTAATGGACTTCCAGGAGCCAACCTTGGGACACACACACACATCAGTCAGGTAATGGAAAAGAGTTCTCACTGTGCAATAAATAACAACATCCCCCGGAACCAGTGCTGTTGGCTGTAAGCAGTTACCAAGATCTCTTCCCAAATCAAGCCTGTCCACTTCGACAACAACTCCATGCTCTGAATGATGGGAGGGCAGCGTCACACTCAGTGCAGGTTCAACCTTACTCCCTGAAATGGAGGCAGACCCAAGGAGAAGGCAGGAAAGGTGGGACGATCTAGCTTGTCGACTAGCTCTCACAGCTAGCTGCAAGACGGACTGTGACAACCTCACACACACCCAGCTGAGTGAGAATTTGACAATCTATGAATCTTGAGAAGCTCACTGACCTTTGCCCATCAACACAGGTCTCCACCCTGTCTCCAGCTGGCCGGTCATCCCTGAAGGATGATAGATGTGGCCATGAGGCTTCCAAACCATCCTTTACGTACCATAGACACGTTGCTGATGGAGGGAAAACTAGAGGAGTTGTCATCTCGCGCCCACCCACAACGCGCATGCGTATTATGCCCATGACTCCGCCCCCCGACCCCGCCCCCCGATCTGCTCTGCTCTCACGCAGTGCTTGTTTCTTGCTCGGTTTCTCTCCTGAACTAACTGGAGCCGCTCACTATGGTAGGAATATGAGAACTTGTCGACTTATCACTACCTTTGTCTTTCATCACAAAGATTAGGTTCATTCTGATTCAAAACCGCGCCGGAAAGACACGACTGGCCAAGTGGTACATGCACTTCGAGGACGATGAAAAGCAGAAGCTGATCGAAGAAGTTCACGCGATTGTAACCGTGAGAGACTCCAAGCACACGAACTTCGTTGCTGTAAGTGTTGCTTCTGGGAGTTGGCTTGGTAGCTTAGCATCTTTCCCTCCCCACCAGTTTCGAAACTTCAAGATTGTGTACAGACGATATGCCGGCCTCTTCTTCTGCATATGCGTCGACCTTGACGACAACAACCTAGCCTACCTGGAAGCCATCCACAACTTTGTGGAGGTATATATGGTGTGCCAGTGTATTTTTCTCTCACCTTCACATAATTACCCTGGACAGGTGCTAAACGAGTTCTTCCACAATGTGTGTGAACTAGACCTGGTGTTTAACTTCTACAAGGTAGGCATCAAGCACTGGCTATAGCTAACCACAGGACTATTGGCCGTGCTCTGACAGGTGTATGCTGTGGTGGATGAGATGTTTTTGGCTGGAGAGATTCGGGAGACGAGTCAATCAAAAGTTCTCACACAACTCAACTACCTCAACACACTGGACTGACACATCTTAGAATGAAGACACAAAGATAATGATTTGTGGTTCTGTCCTTAGATGTTCTTTAGTTGTGCCATGAGGTCTTGTATGTCAGTTTCTTTACTGATATCCACACTCTCCTGCAAACTAGGCACCATCAAATTTCCACAAATTGACTGCACAGATTTCACCTGATCAACAGAAGGCGATGTTATCACAGTAGGGGAGTATGCCAAATGCAGCCCAGCACCTACTTCCAGTGATTCTTCGTTAGACACACTTTCTTCTATCCCACACTTATGCCTGCACATCAAGTTAGTATAGTGATCACACAGAGTGGTGATGATTATACCCCATTGGTTGTCCTCATGGAGAGCAGTTTGGTGTTCATTGGGTTCTTGTTTCCTTTGGTGCTGAGAAACAATTTGTTCAGTCCTGGCCTAAATGGAGTATATAAAACGATGACCAGCCAAAAAATCGGTCGACTATGTACCTGTTGTTGCCGTAGCCTGCAGTGCGAGTTCTGGCACTGGGGGTTGGGTTTCATTGACATGGTGGGGAAAAAATCAGTCAAGGCGCTGTATCCAACATAGTGAGTAACTTTTCCAAAGCCGAGAAGGTACCTGCGGGATATCATGGCTCACTCAGTCTTTATGTGTTTCCTACACTCACTTGAGTGCATTCTGTACCAGCAATCCTGCCACTACAGCCATTGTGGTAGGGAGTGAGGCAGCACACACCCCCTCTTTCTTGAGTGTCTTTTCGTCCATGCCAGTTGCCACCACCAGGGGAGGAGCACACTGCTTACACATCAATAGCAGAGCCACATTTTGAACTTTCACATAAACCAGCTCACAGCAAAACAGGCAGTGTGGCCTGGTTGAAGCAGCTGGACATGTCCAGACACAGCATCTTCACTAACTCCACTCTCCATCCACACCTGGTCCAGTTCACATGCTGCTTGATTTATAGCCATTCGTGCCTCAAAGTTGTCCACACAGCTTAGAACAAGATCCACAGGCTTATCGCCACGCAAGTGGCCACATCTAACAACAAAAACTGAATGGTAATGGCGTGCATGCTCTGACACAAACAGCTCTAGCCACTCAGCTACACATTTACAAAAATCCTGCAGCAACCAGGTACCATATAATTATACTAAGTACTAAGATACTTAGTGAACTAAGTACTGACATACTTAGTGCTCACACACACCAGGCATGCATGCACACACACCTCACAGCAGTCATGAACTGCTGAAAGCTGTCAATGGTGGTGATGTCATAGTTGTAAGCAGCTATCTCCACATCAGGGTTAATCTCCCTGCATGGCAGGAAAAGGGTCGCTTTATCATGATCAGAGTGTGTAACAGAAACAGGCAGACTTTAGGGTGGCCACGGCAGCATCCACCTTGCTGAGTCCCACTTGGTCCGGAGTGAAGAAAAGTCTGTTCATGTTGGCCATCTCCACACGGTCGTAGTCAAAGAGCAGAAGCTAAGGAGTGAATGCACATCACCACAGTTTCCTCCAACACTTGCCATGGATGATTGTAACAACTGACAAACTGACCTTCCCAACTCCACACCTGGTCAGCATCTCAGACACTACACTCCCCACTCCACCAATACCTACCACGGCTACTGACACGTCCCGTACCCTCTCAAAGTCTTTCACAATGCCCATTCTCTGGAGAGCCATCAGGCGACTGTACATGTTCAGTTTACTACGCACGTACACCAAGACAAACTATGGCCCTTACCTGTAGGGATTAGAGTCGACAACCTCGCTGCTCATTTTGTGTATTTTTTCTCTGATCGGACCAGTTCTGTGTAGCTGTTTCTCCAAATCAGCTATCCTCGCTTGTAGTCTGGCGACAAACTCATCCCTTGCGCTGTCCTCGGAGGCCATGTCTCTACTACGCCACCGCGGATAATATTCGATCTGCGCGTGTACGTATGCGTAACTTTCTGGAAAGTTTTTTCCCGCTGATCCCCTATATAACATACATAAGGGCAATATTAGGTCTCGGAGTGGAAACAACAGAGACCAACTATCCTTCTTTGACTAAAGTTGCAGTATGGAATGGTAATAAAATCACTGAAGTGCAAACCCTCGGCGAACTGCGCATGCGCTGTACCGCTAATTGATGGGCTGGGCCTGGAGAGTCTGGACACGGGCTAGCTACAGTATTAGGATAGCATGCGGGAGTCGATACACGCCCTTCGTTGTAACGTCTTGTGCCTCCAAGGTATATACCCAGAGCAAGCACATCTTGTCGAGGTAAGCCCGTGCTAATTTGCATATTGGCCTGTTCACTTGGTTTTCACGCCATAACTTCTGAACGCGGCACTTTTACGAAAATCGCCTGTTCTAAAATAAAGCCAGTGTAGCTCTGAACCCGCTGATGTCGCTATTTTACCTGTTTGTTGCGCGTGGTGGCAGAAATCGTGGTAACAGATGGACAGACGGACAGACAGACAAGTAGTATAACCCTCGCTGCGCATGCGCGCCGCCGAGGGTTAATCACTGCATCTTTCCCCATCTCACCTAAATTTCGCTGTCCTCCCTATTATTATAATAATTATTCTAAGGGTGTCAACGATTTCACATTTTTTTAGGAACATGAGGGGAAAATTAGAGATGACCAACTATTCTTTGACAGAAGCTGCTGAATGGAGTCTTCTATATATCTTGCTGCACCATTTCCCATCTCACCCAAATTTCCCTGTCCCCCCTATTATAAGGGTGTCAACAATTTCGCATTACTTTGATTTTCCGACAACAGTTTTGCATATGTTGTACGCACGTGAGTAAATGAAACAACAAACCAACACTTTGTTTATAGTTGGAGGGTGGAATAGCAGCACTATCTCGCTGTAACAAAACAATTACTTTCTTTCCTCTTCCTTCTTTACCACCCTTTACAACAAGGGTTTGAACAGTTTTGCATTTGTTGTACGCACATGAGTAAACGAAATGACAAACCAACAATGCCTAACACTTTGAATATAGTTGGAGTTTGGAATAGCGATACTATCTCGCTGTACCTAAACACTTATTTTTCTAGCAATTTTCTTCATTATCACCACTTCCGACAAGGGTTTGAACCGTTTTGCATTTGTTGTACGCACATGAGTAAACGAAGTGACAAACAACAATGCCTAACAGTTTGACTATAGTTGGAGGTTGGAATAGCAATACTATCTAGCTGTACCTAACCTTACTTGCATTTCTTCT